TAACCCTAACCCTAACCCTAACCCTAACCCTAACCCTAACCCTAACCCTAACCCTAACCCTAACCCTAACCCTAACCCTAACCCTAACCCTAACCCTAACCCTAACCCTAACCCTAACCCTAACCCTAACCCTAACCCTAACCCTAACCCTAACCCTAACCCTAACCCTAACCCTAACCCTAACCCAAAAGGTTCGCTTGGGGGGTATGTTACAAAGTAAACAGTATATATTGTTATAAAAAAGCTTTAAGCATAAATATTAAATGCTTGAGGCATTGGAAAAGCGGTCCCTTTGCTTGGAAGCATATAACGCTTTCAAACGTTAAAAAAAAAGCTTAGTAAGCAAGGAAACAAGGAGTTACGTGTATATAAAAGGCAGAGGCCCTTACGGGACCCTGCACTTCAAATCCTTTCTTCCTTAAAGCATATTAACCGGAATAGCCTCACACCGTGCTTATCCCTTTTACCTGCAACAATAAATAATTAAGCACGGGGTTAAACCGTTTATTTTTAAATTGGAAATGGAATTTGCTAACGTGCGTTTGGCGGTTAGCTAAAATATTTTATTTTTTAAGCTAAATAATTATTGGTTTTTACAAATTCGCGTTATTAATTAATTTTTGCAATTGGCTAATTAAAAAGTTGGCGTAAAGTAAAGCACGGTTTTCGGCAAATTATGCGGTACTTTAAGCATTTAACATACCTTTTATAGGATAATGCTAAAAATAAGCGGAAAAAATAAAAAAAATGATAAAAAGGGAACGCAACGTATTAATATAAACCAACCGGTTTTAAATTTGGAAAAAATTCGGAAATAAGCTGCATATCCAAATTTGCTTACATTTGCTAAAATGGCCCCAATTGGTTTTTACATCCGGAGCCGTTTTTTAAATTGGTTAAAAACCAAAGGCCGGAAAATAGCGTCGAAATTTAACGCCGGTTCGTTGGTTAGCAATTCGCGCAAAAAAAATTATAAGCACGGCATTCGGTAAATAAAGTGCAAATAAACCTTATAAGTAACGCTAAGCAGCTTTTCGGAAATAAATTGGTTGGGTACCCCGCAAATAAAAAAATAAAAAATAACAACAAGGTTGCATTAAAGCAACGAATTAAACAAAGGTAATTAGCAAAATCATTTTGTGCAATTGGCTAAATGGAAATTGCAATAGCGAATGCTAATTAATTATTTAGCTAAATGCATAAAGTAATTTAACGGGTGCTAATTTGCGGAATTACTTTTTGCATTTGGCCAAATAAAATGCTAATAGGATTTGGTACCAATTAAATGGTATTTAGCGGGCGATTGGTTTTTGCTGCAAGCATTAACTAAATAGTACCGTAATTTATTTAAACGTAAAAATTACTTTTAGCATTTGGTTAAATGGAATGTTAATGGGATTTGGCATTAATTAAATGGTATTTAGCGGGCAATTGGTTTTTGCTGCAAATATTAACCAAATAATGCCGTAACCCATTTAAACGTAAAAATTACTTTTGGCATTTAGCCAAGTAAAACGTTAGTAAGATTCGGCACTAATTAAATGGTATTTAGCGGGCGATTGGTTTTTGTTGCAAGCACCAACCAAATGGTACCGTAACCCATTTGAACGTAAAAATTACCTTTAGCATTTGGCCAAATGGAACGCTAGTGGGATTCGGCACTAATCGAATGGTATTTGGCGGGCGATTGGTTTTTATTGCGAGCACCAGCTGAATGGTGCCGTGCCTTTTTCGGATTGTCGTGGAGCACCATTCGGTGGGTGCCGTGTTTTCCGCCCTTTAAGGTTTGTAACTTGGGTTACTTCCGTAGCTTAAATTTCCGTAACTTTAGCTACTTCCGTAACGGTAAAAACTGGCAACAAAAACCCAAAAAAGGATAAGGTTCGTAGCTTGGGCCATTTCCGTAACTTAAACCTCCGTAGCTTTAACCATTTCCGTAACGGTGGAAATTGGCGACAAAAACCCAAAAAAAAAAGCGCTTTTAATAACGCAATAGCAATTAAACATGCAACCAAACCCCAGCAAATATATTTATATTAACGTTTACCAATCGATGCATTAAGTTTAAAAAAAGCGCGAATTAAAAATAAATAAATTACAATTTTTAAAATAAAATTTGGAATTAATTTCGTTAAATTGCATTATTTGTTAGTTGTAATTGTAATATGTTAAGGTAAAAAGCGACAAAAACCCAAATGCGGAAAAGCAACCATTTTAATTAAAAAAAGCGAAAGCGATAAAAACTTTAAAATAGTAAAGCGTAGCATTTAAAAAAGGAAAAGCGAAAGCGATAAAAACCCGAATTAAATTTAGCGTTTTTTCCGTATTGGAATGGCATTAGCTTTTGTATTTATACGCTGTTATGTTTATGGAAGAGACCTTAATGCTGCGGCTAAGTACATGCAAATGGGGGAAAAATAGCATTAGCTTTTAAAACTTAAATTTAAGCCGAAGAATATAAATGAATTTTTTAATTATTTTTAACGAAATTATTTTAACCTTTTTGGTGGTTACCGGGAACCTCCACTTTATATTCCAAAACCGGATTTTAATATCCTTTTGCTAAAGTTAAAGCATGCTTAACGTAATATTGTACTTAGCCCGGGGCATTACCACGTAAAATACCATTAATTTTCGGGTTATTTTTTAGCTATTCGTTACCCGAATTTTGTATTTTTTTACCTTTAGCGTAAACATGCGTTTTTTGGTATCGAGCCACGCTAAGTAGCCCCCGTTTAGCACCGGTATTTTTTTTGCTTTTACCAAAAAACGGTTGTGCAACAAGTTAACGTCGTTCCCGTTATTAACCAGCGCTTTTAATTTTACCCGGCAACCGTTAATCCGTAAACACATTTTGGTTTTCCAGCGCGTTTTGGCCGCCGGGGCGCACTTTTAAGCTTTAATGCTTAAATGGCTAAATAGCGATATTTTGCTTTTTTTGGGGCACGCCGGCCGGATATAGCCCAATTCCCCATACCCGTAATATTGTACTTCGGGCTTTTTCCTTTTTGCCTTTTGTATGGTTGCTAAAACCAATGGGGTTTCCGGGTTATCCGTTCGTATTTTGCATGCTGCAACGATGTAATTTAATTGCCCGTATTTAAAGCAAGTAACCGGCTTTTTAACGGTTAAAGCACCGGTATTCCCCGGCATCCCTTTATACGGTTCCAATATTATTTTTGCTTTAAAAGCTTTAATTTGCAATTTTTTTATAATGTAAAAAAGGCTTTTAAGTATTACCCGTTTTTGGATTTTAAAACGGAGCCGGTTAAAAAGTAATGTTATCTTTATCCATTCGGGTGCTAATTCGAAAAAGTTGTCCTTTACCAAATCCTAACAAATCCGGAACGTTTTAAACGATTTGTAATCCTTTTATTTAATAGCGGTATTTCCCGCAAGCTTTTTAATTGCTAATTACATTTGCGAATTAAAGTTTTTCGATTTTGCTTAAAGCCATTGCAAAAAATCGGTTTAAATAAACGATACCCCGGTATTTAAATAATGCATTTGCTTGTATTTTGTTTATTGCGCCCGTTAACGATAATCGAAAGTGCTAAAAGCTATTTAAACCTTTACACGGTTTTTACTGTAACGTTCCTTTTCGTTTTCGAAAATAAATTTGTAATTGCTAATGTAATGGGCGATATTTTGCCAAATTGCCAATTTTTTAAGCATGAAAGCTTAAAAGTAACCTTATTTTACGTAAAACTTTTTCGTTATTTAAAAATATTTTTTTATTTTCGTTTAAACCTTTATGCGCATGCTTTAACCTTTTGTTTTGGATTTTTTAAATTAAGTAAACGCGTTTGCTTTAAGTTTTTAACGCGTTGTTTATCTTTTGCAATTCCTTTACGGAAAGGTTTTTAAAATTATTGGGAATTTGCGGGGCTTTTTTGGTGTTTTATTTTGGTAACCCAGCGGCTTTTTCCAACGTATTTAACGTAGCGTCGGGCGTTATTGTAAGCGGTGCAAAGTTGCAAATGCCTTTTACAAATTTGCTCGATCCTTTCCGGTAATTACCCAGGCTTGCTTTTTAAATAAAAAAGGTAAAAGAAAAGGAATAATATGTTAAAGGTCGATTAATACAAAAGCGGGTAATTACCAAGTTACGGGCCGGATACGGTGTTTTTTTTGTTAAGCTTCCGTAAATTTCTTACCAAAGGTGCTATTTTTAACAAAAATTGTTCTTTTTTTAACTTTTCCTTTTTTCGTGCCTTTTTAAATACGCGGGGTTGGTTTTATAAATTTTTCGCGCTTTATGCGCTTTCGTGCAATTTAAACTTTACTTTATCTTTTTAACTTTGCCGTTATGCTTTGGCCGCGATACCGGTAGCTCGCCGGCATATCCCCGGAAGGGTTCGTGCCCGGCTAGCTGCCAGCGCCCCCTTCTTCCTTTTTTGCCGGGCGGTTTCGCCCGTCTTTTTAACGCCCCCCGCTTTCTGCCGGGCGGTTTCGCCCGTGCTCTTAACAGCTTGCTTGTAAGAAGAAATTTAAGCAATTTCCTCTTTAAGCTAAAGTTGTTGTTTTTACCTTACAGTAATATAAAACTTTAAACCTAATTAAACTTTTTACATTATCGTAATTACCTTGTACGGCCTTTAGCTTAACCCCGTAACAAATAAACTTAAAGTAATTTTCGTTTTAATATATTAATTTATTCGTCGCGGAAGTAGCTGTTACCTTGTTAGTATACGTAATTAAATACCGTATAAACCGCACTAGCACGCTAACCCGCTGCTTTTAAAATTCGCGGACATATTTACTAGCAAAGTTTTTGTATTCCACGTTGCAAACGCATCCTAGCTACCGTTTTCGCTTTTGCTACGCTTTTACGCCGCACGATAACCATTTACGCATTAACCTTCCGCTTAGCGTTTCGGCAAAAAATCGGGCGAGCTGCGAGCCGAAGCACGAAAATCACGCTGCGAGCTTTCGACAAAAGTGCCGATGCTTTGGCCAGCTGAAAAGCAGCCCACGCAAACCTGCACCGCGGCGACCAACAGTGGATTAGCACGAACGCAATGCGGAAATAACCCAGTTAGCACGCAAATTCCTCGTGGTCATGTGTCCGTTCCCCGCAATGCCAAGCGATATGCGGAGACGATAGAATTGTTCTGCCCCACGCGGGGAACACATATGGGGAAGCATGGGGAACAAAAGGAGCACTTATGGGGAACATGTAAAGAGCACAATGGGGACCATATGGGGACGCTGGGCTTTGGGCTTACTCCCATAGTCCGGCGGTGGAAAAGGCCCGACTGCGCGAGCCGACGATTACCCGTAAGGTAGCGTGGTGAGGTGGACAGTGGCTGTTTGTTTTGCTATAAAGATACGTGTACCAGACGGTCGGTATGTAGCATCGGATGTGACACCAGACGTGGCATTCGCGTAACCGAACGGACGGCACCATGAGGCTCTCACTACTCTCCTTCCTGGCGTACGTCGCGGCCCAGGACGTTATTAAGGACGACTCGTACTTTTACGGCCAGTCCGAGGCGGTTTACCCAACGCGTAAGTGTTTCGGCTCAGGGGGCAGTGGGAGGTGTACCCAGCCCCGGCATCTCCCAGTCGTCCGCTAACGTTATAGCCAACAACCATGAGACCGGACCGTGGGCCGAGGCGGTGGCTAAGGCCAAGAAGCTCGTGGCCCAGATGACCGTCGAGGAAAAGGTCAGCATGACGGCCGGTGCGCCATCGTCCACGGGCTGCAACGGCTTCGTGCCAGGCGTCGCCAGGCTCGGCTTCCCCGGGCTATGCCTGGTGGACGCGGGCAACGGGGTGCGCGGTACAGACTTTGTTAACGCGTACCCTTCGGGGCTGCACGTGGGCGCCAGCTGGAACCGCGAGCTGACGCACTCCCGCGGCACCTTCATGGGCGGCGAGGCGCGCAAGAAGGGCGTCAACGTGCTTCTGGGCCCCTTGATCGGCCCCATAGGGCGCGTGGTATCTGGCGGGCGCAACTGGGAGGGCTACTCGGTCGACCCGTACCTGACCGGCCAGCTGGTGTACGAGACGGTGCGCGGCACACAAGGCCAGGGCGTCATCACCAGCGCCAAGCACTTCATCGCTCAGGAGCAAGAGACGCACCGGCTGTGGCACGAGCCGACGACGGCCGAGGCGGTGTCTTCCAACGTCGACGACCGCACGCTGCACGAGCTGTACCTGTGGCCGTTCGCGGACGCGGTGAGGGCGGGCACGGGCAACGTCATGTGCTCCTTCAACCGGCTCAACAACACGTACGCGTGCCACAACAGCAAGGCGCAAAACGGGCTGCTCAAGGGCGAGCTCGGGTTCCAGGGTTGGATCGTGTCCGACTGGGGCGCGCAGCGGGCGGGCGTGGCGTCGGCGCTGGGCGGGCTGGACGTGGCCATGCCCAACGCCAACGGCAAGTGGGGGTCGCTGCTGGTGGAGGCCGTGGCCAACGGGTCGGTGCCGGCGGCGCAGCTGGACAACATGGCGACGCGCATCGTGGCGTCGTGGTACCGCATGGGGCAGGACGAGGGGTACCCCGCGCCAGGGCACGGCATGCCCAAGGACCTGGCGCAGCCGCACGAGATTGTGGACGCGCGGGACCCTAAAGCCGAGTCGACGCTGTGGGACGGGGCCGTCGAGGGACACGTCCTGGTTAAGAACAAGGGCGCGCTGCCTCTCAAGGGGCTCAAGACGCTGTCGCTGTTTGGCTACTCGATGCGTGCGCCCGATCGCAACAACCGCGAGGAGATCCTGCCCGGCAACCTGTTTCACCCGTGGAGCATCGGCGCGCAGTCGGCCAACATCACTGAGATCAGCCTCGACTGGCTCGACAGTCTCGCGGTGCCTGCGTCCGATATCGCCCCCAACGGAACGCTCATCTCTGGCGGCGGCTCAGGGGCGGCGGCGTGGACCACGTTTAGCGCCCCGTACGACGCATTCCTGCAGCGGGCCAAGAAGGACCGCACGCAGCTGTTCTGGGACTTTGACTCCAAGAAGCCCATGGTGATGGCGACGTCCGGGGCGTGCGTGGTGGCGGGCAACGTGTGGGCGACAGAAGGCGCCGACCGGCCCAACGTGCGAGACAAGTACACGGACGAGCTGGTGCTGGCGGTGGCGTCGCAGTGTGCCAACACCATCGTGGTCTTCCACAACGCGGGCACGCGCCTCGTCGACGCTTTTGCTGACCACCCCAACGTTACGGCCATCGTGTTTGCTCACCTGCCCGGCCAGGACAGCGGCGACGCGCTGGTGGCGCTGCTGTACGGCGACGAGAACCCGTCCGGCCGGCTGCCGTACACGGTGGCGCGCGACGAGGCCGACTACGGCGGCCTGCTGCGGGCGGACAAAACGTTGGCCCCGCACAAGTTCCAGCACTTTCCGCAGTCCGATTTTACCGAGGGCGTGTACTTGGACTACCGGCGATTCGACGCTCTCAACGTGACGCCGCGCTACGAGTTTGGCTTCGGGCTGAGCTACACGACGTTTGACTACAGCAACCTGCGGGTGTCGCGCACCAACGCCGCCGCCCAGCCGCTGCCGACTGGCGCCGTGGCCGAAGGTGGGCGCACCGACCTGTGGGACGTCGTGGCTGTCGTGGAGGCCGACGTGGCCAACACGGGCGGCCGTGACGGCAAGGAAGTGGCACAGCTGTACGTGGGAATCCCGACGCCGGGCGATGCGGCGTCCGTAGAGGGCCGCCAGCCCGTGCGGCAGCTGCGGGGGTTCGAGAAGCCACTGATCAAGGCGGGACAGACGACCACGGTCAAGTTTGAGCTCACCCGCCGCGACCTGAGCGTGTGGGATGTGACGGCACAAGAGTGGCGACTGCAGTCGGGGTCGTACGCCGTGTCGGTCGGGAGGAGCAGCCGCGACCTGCCTTTGACAGGGACGTTAAGCTTGGGTGGCTTGAGCCGTAGATCCAGGAGATTGTAGATCCAGGAGATTGTAGATGACTTGATGGTATTTAATGCGATATGACTATTGCGGCCGCAGTGCACCCCCCTCAAACACGGCACACCGTCCAGGCAGATACTGTCGCAGTCCCTTGCCCCAGAATGCAAGGGGAATGCCCATGCCCCCAGCTACCAGGATGGCGGCCGCAATCTCAACGTTCATGCGGAGGTGCCCCTGACTAGCCAGCCACTGGGGAGCGCTGAAACCCAGCAGACAGCTAAACGTGAAGCTGAGCCCGTTGACGGCCGCCAGCGCCCCGGCCGCCCACTGTGGAAAGGCTTCCGTCACCCACAGGGTCGACACCACGGCCTCACCTGTGAATGCAACCTGGGCCAACACCCACGCCACTGCCACAAAGGCCCAGTGGTGGACCCAGTCCACATAGCCGTCGCCGCCGGGAGGTACAGCCGTTAGCCCAAACAGCACGTTGGCCAGGGCGCCGCACAGGACGGGCAGGATGAAGCCGGGCAGATAGTAGGTGGCCTTGCGGACGCCGGCGTTGCGGCGGGTCAAGGTGCCGACGGTGGAGGCGGTGATGGCGTAGGTGATTGGAAGCGCGGCGAAGCACCCCAGGGCGGCGGAAAGGTCCATCAGCCCGACATCCGGCGACGACATGCTGTAGGGCGGCCGGTGCAGGGCGCGGGGGACCTGGCTGCGGATGACGACGGTGCCGAGCACGAGCACGCCTTTATGGAGGGCGACCCAAAAGATGAGGGGATTTGCGATGCAAAGCAGCATTTGTGGGAGGCACATCCATGCGCCGCGCCAGTCTGCACAGGCGGCGCGGCGGAGGGTGAGGTGCCTGGGGGTGCCTTTGCTTTTCATGTAGGCCTCAACATCCTTGCGCTTGACGTCGCGGTTGAGGGTTTCGATCTGGTGTTTGTGTTGGTCGAGGTAGGCCTCGAGATCCTTGCGGTCCTTGCCGCCGCGCCGCTCGTCTATGGTTTTGGGGCGGCCACGGTTCTGGTCTTTGAACAGCTCGCTATGGTCAATGTAGTAGGGGCTGTCTCGTCCGGTTTGTTCCGCAGTCTGTCCCACACTGCCGCTCTGTCCGCTCTGTCCGCTTTTTCCGCTCTCACTCTGTCCCTCAGACAAGTCGTATATCCGCACCTTTTCCGACCCGCTCTGCACCAGCACGCGGCCGTCAAACACGACGGGCGGCCGCAGAAAGTACGTCTCGGGGCAAAAGAAAAACACCAGCACCAAGGCGACGCAGCAGACGGCGGTGCCGATCAGATAAAACGACCGCCAGCGGGTCTCGATAGGGAGCGCCGTGGGCATGAGAGCCAGGATGATAAAGGTGATGCCCCGGCCGACGGACCACAGCACCGCGATGCACAGGGGGCGTTGGTGAATGTAGGTGATGTCGATAACCATTAGGATGCCCTAAGCTGTCAGCCCTGCTGTCTCGTGCCTCGCGTCACTTGCTCAGGAACCTGACTTACAGCAGTCGGCACTCCCCCACACGCCAGCCCCTGAAAGCCAATGGCGGCAATTAGCACCTCTAGCGATGGGGCTAGCCCCGCGGCGGCTAGCGCGAACAGAAGAATGCTAGCGCTCAGCAGCAAGACCGGGCGTCTACCCAGCCCGATGCACAGCGGCGTCCAAACAATAACGCCAACGCCAAACATAACGTCGGGCGTGGTGGTGGCCATGTCAAACCCCGCTAGGCGGTCCTCGCCAAACTCAAGGGCTAGGGCGTGGCGCATAATCGGGGGCGCGTTGAGCTGCGTGACGCCAACGCCGGCCAGGACGGCCAACGATACGAGCAGCATGATGCGGGTGCAGCGGCTCCAGTTAAGGGGATCATTGGGAGAATCGCTGGGGATCGGGAGGCTCCGGGTCCTGCCGTCGGACGCGATGAGATAGACGCTGCTGGCCAGGTCGGCCGAGGGGCGGCGGGCTGCCATGTCGGCCAAAGGGCGGGTTGCCATGTTGAGCTGGTGTTTGTCTGTGGTGTCGGCTAGGTCTCTTGCGTCTGCCCCCCGCCTCTTATACGTCGGCTCCTATCGTCCTGCCGCCGCCGTCCGCCTCTCGTCCCATCATCTTCGCCTTCATCTCATCGTCTTGTTTCTCTACTGTTTGGGCCGAGCTCGTGGGCTTGTGACAGCTCGATCTGGCATCCAGCTTGATCGTCTTGTCATGGCGTCTTTGGCATCAGTGCAGCAGTCGCAGATGCGCTGACGTGCTATGGCCGCCAGGCGCACGTGGCTGGCAGCAGCCCGTGCACGTCCTCCCCAATTCATCTGACAGAACAAAACATGCCCCAGCGTTCGAATCCACTCAGACAGGCCCGCTAAATCGGTTCGTGGAGTGATTCTCCACCACATGGTTGTTGGCGCTAAGACACCGCGACGGCCCGGATGGTCCTCGCACGTCCAGCGGGGTGAGCGGTTGGAACGCGATGGGTTTGAGGGGAGTGAAAACGAGATGGCGTTGTTTGTAGAGCGAGGAGTCTGCCTTGGTTGGTTTGGGTGTGTTGTCTGCGTTCGGGGCTGCGGCTGTCTTGTCTGCTATCGGCTGTCAGTCTGCTCTCCTATCTGCTTTGTCCCTGCTCTGTCCCAGTATAATTTGCCCTTGATCCGGTCCCTGTCTGTCGTCTTCCATCCATGCCTCGTATGTCCGTCATTTTATTCCTCCGCCATTTCCTCCGCCCCCTAAAATGCTACCCTGCAATGACTTGGCTGCAGCGCCTAAATTTGAGTGGATTCGTTCTGGACTGAGGGACGCCTGTTGCTCAGCCGCTGTCCCCACACCCCCTTGGTCGATATCGGGCGGTGGAGCAATGGCTGTTGCAGATGCAGTCGGAGATGGCAGGCTTTATAGGGGTGGCCGCGTCTAGTTTGCTTTTATTTTGTGTTTTGGCTTCAGTTCACTCATCATGTCCAAACCAACCATGTCCGTCACAAAGCTCGAGCTCGAGGAGGACGCCCACAGGGCCGCCCTCGAGGACAACCCCAGCGAGGTGCACGTGGGATGGAAAACGTGGGCGGCCGTGCTGTCCATGGCCATCTCGTTCGGTCCTCCCATCGGCATCGCGTTCGGGTCCGTCGCGGCCGTCGTCGCCCCCGTGACCCAAGAGCTCGGCGGTTTCGACAAGCTGGCGTGGGTGGTCGGCGCCTGGTCCCTCGCCACGGCCTGCTCTTTCTCGGTTTCCGGCGCCCTTAGCGACACATTTGGCCGGAGGAACCCAATCCTGCTTGGCCAGGTGCTGTCCATCGTCGGCTTCGTCATGGGCGGCGTGGCGCGCAACGTTGAAACGCTCATCGCGGCCGAGGCCTTTATCGGGTTTAGCACCGGGCTGATTTTCGTCAGCTACGCCGGCGTTCCCGAGATGCTGCCCAATAAGTACCGATCGCTGGGGCTGGGGATTCTGGACGGGGGGATTGCACTGCCGTGGTAAGTCTGCACACCGCTAGCATGTTGGTGGCTCTGCTAACAGAACAGGGGTGTAATCGCCGTTATACTTGGACAGGCCCTCCTCAAATACGCCTCGTGGCGCTGGATCTTTTGGATCGCGCTCATCGTCGAAGCGGTCGGACTCGCCGGAACTGCTGCCTTTTACTGGCCGGCATCACGGACTCGGGGCTCTCGGCTGCAGCAGCTCAAGGATATCGACTGGATCGGACTGACCGCCTTCATCGGAGGCCTGGCCGTGCTGCTGGTCGGGCTGACGTGGGGCGGACAGGCAGAGCACCCGTGGGCTGGAGCGTCGGTCGTGGCGCCCATCGTGGTCGGCCTCGTCACCATCGTGGCCGCCTTTGCCTACGACTTTACCGTCGCCACCAACCCCATCTTCCCGCTTAGCCTGTTCCGCCAGTTCCGCGAGTACTCGGTGCTGCTGATCGTCATGTTCGTTTCGGGCATGCTGTACAACGCGCTGCTGCCCCTCCTCACCCAGGGATCGTCCTACATGTTCACACAGGACGGCATCCAGGTCGGGCTTATGTCGCTGCCGTACACGACCATGACGCTGATCGTCGGCTGCATCGTGCCCATGCTCGCACACAAGATCGGGCACCTCAAGTGGCAGGTGGTGGTGGCGGTGACGCTTCAGACGACCTTTATCGCGGCCACGGCCGGCGCCGTCAACCCGCGCAACTACTGGGGCTGGATCTTCCTCCCCGCGTTTGGCATCCCCATGTTCACGTGGCTGACGATCCTGACATACGCCATCGCGTCGCTGCACGTGCCACACTCTAAGCTGGGCGTGGCCATGGGGCTGCTGGGGACGTTCCGGGCGGCGGGCGGCGCGGTTGGCAACGCCATCTTCTCGACCATTCTCAACAACAAGTTCAACGAGTACGTGGGCGAGGAGGTGGTGCCGCTGGTCTTTATGAACGGCTTTAACGCCACCGATATCGGGCCCATCATCGGCGGGGCCATCCAGCATAACCTGGGGATACCGTTTGCGCTGGCTGCGTATCCCCCATCCATGGCGGAGCCGCTGATGGAGGCGGTGCGGACAGCCTACGGGCGGGCGTTTTACGTGGTGTTTCTGTGCACGATTCCGTTTAGTGCTGTGGCGCTGGCCTTTTCTTTCTTTGTCGAGGACCCGACCAAATACATGACGAACCACGTGCAGATGGCGATGGAGGCAAAGGTGGAGGACGAGGAGGTGCAGGTGGTGGCGGAAAAGCAGCGCTAGGCGGGAATTCGATGTGGAATCAGCCCGGGTGGGTGTGGAATAAAGTAAAGTGTGGAATCAGATTTGTCACCGTGCGCAACGAACGCGAGACTTGACGCAATTAAAACCCCGCTCTCCGTGCTCCAACGCAATACCAGAATTCAACACGACCTTCATCACCATCACCCGGCCCTTTATGACCTCCTCCCTGGCCCGGCCTTTCAAAACAATCCTAACACGGCCCAAGACCATCTCGCGACCCTTCACCTCCCTCATGACACAAAAAGCCACCTTTGCCGCCGGCTGCTTCTGGGGCGTCGAGCACATCTTCCGGCAGCACTTTGACAAGCGCGGGCTCGTTGACGCGCGTGTGGGCTACATTGGCGGCGACGCCGACTCGCCATCATACCGGGCCGTGTGCAGCGGCGCCACCGGCCACGCCGAGGCCACGCAGGTGGAGTTTGACCCAGCCAAGGTCTCGTACCGCCAGCTCGTCGAGTTCTTCTACAAGACGCACGACCCGACCACCAAGAACCAGCAAGGCAACGACCGCGGTACCCAGTATCGCAGCGCCATATTCTTCCACGACGCCGAGCAGGAGGCCGTCGCGCGCGAGGTCACGCGGCAGGCCAACGAGCAGTGGTGGAAGGGCAAGATCGTGACCGAGATCCTGGCGGCGGGCAAGTGGTGGGACGCCGAGGATTATCACCAGCTGTACCTGCACAACAACCCTGACGGGTACCAGTGCGCGAGCCATCATGTTAGGGATTTTGGGGAGCTAAAGTAACTATCGTACAAGGATACTCGGTAGTTGACCGAATCACTTCCTCCTGTTCTGCATCATCAGGATTTGAACCATGCGGATGAAAATGTTGATAAAGTCCAGCTCCAGCGAGATGCTCTCGTTGACCGGGTCGCGCTTGATAAGGCCGTGCTGGGCCAGGCGCGCGTGGTGCAGCACCTTTTGAACGTCGTAAAGCGTGAAGCCGCCAAACACGGCCAAGCCGCCGTACAGCCAGATCTTTTCCGTCATGGCCAGCGTGCGGACCGCCGTCACAGGCAGCACCAGCGGCGCCAGGCCGGAAGCCAGCACGATGGCACCGCCCGCCAGCAGCGGGCCGCCGATGTAGAGGTACTTTTCCTGCTTGGCCGTGGCGCCGACAAAGGCGATGGTGCCCATCATGGCGACTGTGTAAAGGCCGGCGCGGGCCAGGATCGGGACGGGCACAAAGGCCATCATGGGTGCGACGAGGGCGGCCTGGGTGGCGTTGAAGGCGGTCCAGAGGGCGTACTTGGGGAGGTAGCTGTTTTGAGGAGCACATGTTAGAAGGAAGGCAGAGAAGCAATTAAGAGTTGGAGCACACTCACTTGTCCGGGTCCACCGACCGCGCGCCAATCATGGTGGCAAAGCTCATGCCCAGTCCTCCCAGCGCAAACACCCACGGGTTCGTCGCCATGATGCGAAACACGAACCCAGATCGCACCATCTGGCGCACCGACAGGGCGATGATGCCGACGCCGGCGCCCGTGTGCAGAAAGGTCGAGTTGAGGTACGAGCGCTCGTAGGAGGGCATGCCGCCGTCCTCGCGCGTCTCGCGGTTAAAGACAAGGTTAGTGGCCACCAGGGTGCCGCCAAAGACGGCGCCGCCCACGAGCAACTTGCGCATCAGGCCGGCCTGGTCGGGGACGGCCTGCGACTGGTAACCGCGGGAAAAGCTCGGCGTCGGCTTCGTCGGTTTCGTCCTCGAGGTAAAGAATTTGGTGTGCAGCGCCCGCGACGGGGGCTTAACCAGCGTGGCCGGCCTAGCCAGCGGCCTGGCTAGGCGGGGAGCGAGTCGTAGTGTGGTGAACATGGCGATGTGGTTGATGAGGACGTGGACGAGAGTCGCTGCTGATGCCCGAACGGCGAGGGGAAGAAATCAAATAGGTGTGCTGATGACGTGCGTTTCTCAAACTTCCAGGCCATTCCATGGTGGGGCGGGAAGTGAGATGTCACGTGCTGCGTCACGTGGCTCATTGACTGATGCTAATCCTGCGGCGGCAAACATCCGCACCCGGAATCTCACGTTGTGCGTTTTGGGACACGCGCCCTATGGCTAATATTGCGGCTAATGGCCCTTTCGGGCTCATGATACTGCACAGCACGGATGTGCACAATATCCGGCTTAGAACCACTAACCACGTTTATAAACTGCTTCATCTGGTAGATCTGCTCGCTTCCCCGCGTTGTCGTTAAATGCCGATATGTACCACAGGTTCGTATAAATGGGCTGCTGTCGCTCAGCCATGTTATCATTTGCAAATCTGCGTGATGCCTACTCGTAAATCCACCTGCTATACTGCCAAAATGAGGCTCATCCTACTCGCCACGCTCGCCACTGCCGCAGCCCTTCCAACCTTACAAACCTCTCGCCTAATAGCGTCCAACACGCCGGTCCGCGAACCAACCGACCCCCTTTCGTCATGGTTCTTACGATTCGTCTTCTCCAAGCAAGAAAATACGTCACACAGCCCGTGCTTCTGCGCCGGCGGCTCCCTCTACTGCCGAAACGACTCGGGCGAGCTTGAAAGCAAGGGCATGTGCGGGATGTAGTGTAAGACGAGCGAACAAGCCGGGAATTGTATGGAAGTTCAGGACAGGCTAACAGGCGGGCAGGCTGGCAGGCTGGCAGAGTTGATACGGTTGGCGTGGATGGCGTTGGGACTATCAGAGTGGCATGGACGATACCGTTAATCTACGCATATCTTGACCCCATCGCTGCCTGCCCGTGCTGCCAGTGCTGCCTCTGCTGCGCCTGCTGCACCTGCTGCGCCGGCTGTCCGTACTCCCCGTACCCGTACTGCGGCATGGGTGCTTGGTGCCCCGGAATCTGCTTGTCGTAAGGCCCCTGCACCGGCTGCATCGGCTGCATTTGCACCGGCATCTGCGCCGGCACGTACACTGGCTGGTACCCGCTCATCAGCGCGCGAGTCTTCCGCTTGCGGCGAGCATAAAAGTCGACGGCCGCCCACACCCCAAGCACAAAGTGGCAGAGGCCGGCGACCAGCACCATAACGGCGATAACGATGGCTAGTGCAAATCGCAGAGGCTGCTGACCCCACGCGGCGTTAACGGCAGCATCCTGGGCCGCGCAGTCGGCAAAAGCCGGGGTGCATCTGCGGCTGCCGCCGGTATACACCCAAACGCCGCTGCTGTCTTGCTTGTAAGGTCCCTCGGCCGAGCCGGTGCGCCAGAATCGTAGCCCGTTCGGGTCGTTAGCAAACTCGCGGACCGTCAGGACCGAGGAGACGACGATGGCGGCCAGGTACAGGATGACGCAGCAGAAGCAAAAGTCGACGATGAGGACCAGCAGCGGGTGCAGCGGCCTGGAGTAGCGGCGTAAAAAGCGGACGAGCAGGTCGGCGGCGCCCCAGATGAAAGAAAGGGCAAACTAGACGGTCAACACGTGGAGGCACTGCTGCGACTGCGGCTGCGACTTACAAACGCGACAAACAGCTCGTTTTCACCATTCCTCCGCGGCACCGTCAGCCGGTCAAAGTTGGCCAGGTTGGCGAGAACATATCCAGAGCAAGCGATGCCTACAGCCGCGGCCACGCATTGCAACAGCCGAACGGCGGCCTTCCATGGCCACTGCTTGTCGCTGGCTCGCAATCGCTCCCACAGCGAGGGGCGGCGGGGAGACGGCTGCACGCCAGCTGTCGCTCCAGTCTCTGACGCGGCGGGTGGTGGGCTTGGCGCGCGTGCCCCTGACGCCCCTGCGGACTCGGCCGGTGGCGTCTGTGCGGGGATTTCCGGGGACATTGGGGACACTGAGTCGATTGGAAGACGCCAGACTGGAAGACAGACTGGAAGACAAACAGACGCAAAGAGACCGACTTTTAACCCTGACGCCCGCTGCTGCCTGGCACGCCAAGAGATGCAGGGGCTCCCGCCAGCACTTCACTCACGTGCTGCCCTGGCTGCGACAGGGGTTAGCGGGCCAGCCGCCCGGCAAGTCATTCAAACCTAATCGCCGCCACGCGAAGTGGCGGGCGGCGATGCCGTGTAGATGCCAGAACACCGTTGATACTACGAATGCGACATGACTACCGGCGACCGTGCGATGGACGTTCAGTGAGGCTCATGCTTCGGCTTCATGGCTTCGATGAGCTTCATCTACGGCTGGAGCTGTGGCCAGGATAAGCTCTGGAAACAAGCTCTGGAGACAAGCTCTGGGGAGAACGAAAGCTCTGCAGAAAAAAGAAACCGAGCCGACTAATGACTCTAGTAATGACCTGCGTCCAGCGCCAGCGCGCGTCATGAAATTGCAGCGTCTGTGCCACACGAGCTCGGCCGTGTCCGCACCAAGGTTTGCGCCCCACCTCCCACTTGACCTCCAAAACCCGGCCAACCCAGCGTAGCATCGAGCCCGCACTGCACTGGCAGACGGCATCGCCATCACATGCACGTTGCCCTCTGGAAGACGCAGCGCTCTGCCTGGCCAGAGAGCAGTTGGTGTTGCTGTGCTGCTATCCTGTCTGCTGCTGTCGTCTGTTGTCTGCTGTGCTCTGATATAGCCCCCACTGACCGCGGCATTGGCCTGACATTGACCGCAGCATCGGCCTGGCATCGGCTGGCATCGACAAGTGGCATCGACTGCCATCGACAAGTGGCATCGACTGCCATCGACTGCCATCGACTGCCATCAGCTGCCATCCACAGAGCAGATCGCCGGCGATTGCTCGCGAGGCGACCAGATACAAGACAACATCAGCACAGATACAAACCACGCAGACGCCTCGACCGCAACCATGCGCCGCCGCCCCTCCACCCCCCGGCATCAGACGCCCTCCCACCTCATCCGCTCCTTCAATGTCGACGCAAATCCAACCCGCCCCATGCGCCCCAGCCCTCTTACGGCATCGGCCTTTCGCGACATGCCGCTCGACATCGTCGACCGCATCCGCTCGTTCCCCCTCTTCATGTCGGCCCCCGCCGAGTTCCTCGCCGCCATCGGCAAGCACCTGCGCCCGCAGATCCACAGCCCGCACGATCACATCCTCACCGAGGGCGACGAGGCCCGCGCCATGTACTGGCTGGTGCGCGGCGTCGTGGCGGTTACATCGCGCGACGGCGAGGCCGTTTATGCCGAGCTGAGACCGGGCGCCTTTTTCGGCGAGATCGGCGTGCTCATGGACATGCCGCGCACCGCCACCATCGTCGCCCGGTCAAAGTGCCTGCTGGTGGTGCTGAAAAAGGAGGACCTACACGCCGAGCTGCCCGGCTTTCCGGATATGGAGAAAGCCATCCGCCAAGAGGCCCAGGAGCGCCTGGCTATTCTCGAGCGCAAGCGCCAGGAGCGGGGCCAGGTTCCAAAGCCCGATGTGATCGAGACGGGCGAGGTTGTCAACCCCAAGAAGCGCAAGTCGCCTAGCCCAGGTGTCATCGAGGACCCGACCGTGGGCGGCAGCGCTTTAGGGAGCGGCTACGTCAATGTGCGCCGGACCCTGCGCGAGCTGCCGCTGTTCTCGGCCCTCCCCCCTGACATTCTACACTTTCTCGGCCTCAGCGCCATCCCCCGCACATTCCCGCCGTTCGTCGACATCGTCCAGCAGGGCAGCCGCGGCAAGGAGATCTACTTTATCGTCCGCGGCGAGGCCGAGGTCATGCACGAGAGCGAGCCGGCCAGGCCGTCCAAGCCGCGCCTGCACGCCGGGCAGTACTTTGGCGAGGTGGCCAGCCTGGGCCTGTCGGACCAGCGCACGGCCACGGTGCGGTCCATCACCACCGTCGAGTGCCTAGTCATAAGCGGACAGGCCTTGGACGAGCTGTGGAGGAGGTGTCCGCCCGAGCTCAAGACGCAGGTCGAGGAGACGGCCAGGATGCGGTACCAGGACAAGATGGACGTCGAGATGATGGACACGCAGTTGCTACACCCCCCGCAGACGCCCAAGCAGCTGCCCCAGGTTACGTTTAGCACCCCCAAGCCGTCGCCGGAAAAGGAGCCCGACCCGCGCCAGCCCACCGACCCGGATCCCTATCTTAGTGTTGATATGGAGAACCTGCGCAGCCGGCGACGCGGCTCGCTGGCGCCTCCCACGCCCGACGCGCACACCAACTGTATCAAGAACCACGCCGTGACCGAGCCGAGCCCGCTCCGGCCGATGCTGCCGCCGACGCCGCCGCGCACAGGCCACGACGACGAGGAGGAGCAATCGCCCTTCAAAAAGGCAAGAACGCTGCCACGCCGCCGCCGCGCCACCCTTTCGGGCCGCGCCGAGAACGGCGAGGAGGCGTTGCCCGAAGACGTGCTGGTAGCCGTCTTCCAGCACCTGGACCTGCTCCAGCTGATCCGGCTGCGGGCCGTGTGCCGGCACTGGCGCGACGTGCTGACCCGGGCGCCCAAGCTGTGCACGCACGTCGACCTGGGCTCGCTGGGCCGGCGGGTCAGCGACGGCTGCATCGCCAACCTCATCGCACCCTTCGTGGGCGCGCGGGCGCTGACGGTCGACATCGGCAACTGCTTCCATATCACCGACGAGGGCTTCCAGGCGCTGTGGAAGCGCTGCGGGCGTAACGTCAAGACGTGGCGTATGAAGTCGGTCTGGGAGGTGTCGGCGGCGCAGATCCTCGACATGAGCGAGAACGCGGAGGGCCTCGAGGAGGTGGACTGGAGCAACTGCCGCAAGGTGGGCGACAACCTGTTGGCGCGCGTCGTCGGCTGGGTGGTGCCCGAGCCGCCCACGCCCAGCAGCTGTGGTGGCGGCGGCAGACAGGTGGTTATGGCATCGTCCAGGGGTCGGCGCGGGCCGAAACAAGCGCCGCAGCCGCCACAAAACATGCCGCCGCCCGGCACCGTCATCGGCTGCCCGCGGTTGCGTCGGCTAGACCTCAGCTACTGCAAGCACATTACAGACCGTTCCATGGCTCATCTGGCGGCGCACGCGTCGGGCCGGCTCGAGGCCCTATCCCTCACACGCTGCACATCCATCACGGACGCGGGCTTCCAGTCGTGGGCGCCGCACCGGTTCGACGCGCTGCGCCGGCTGTGCCTGGCCGACTGCACGTACCTGTCGGACAAGGCCGTGGTGGCACTAGTGGCGGCGGCCAAGAACCTGACACATCTAGACCTGTCTTTCTGCTGTGCCCTGTCCGACACGGCCACCGAGGTGGTGGCGCTGGGGCTACCGCAGCTGCGCGAGCTGCGCCTGGCGTTTTGCGGTAGCGCCGTGTCCGACGCCAGCCTCGGTTGCATCGCGTTGCATCTCAACGAGCTCGAGGGCATCAGCGTGCGCGGGTGCGTGCGCGTGACGGGGTTGGGGGTCGAGAACGTGCTCGAGGCCTGCGCGCGCCTGCGCTGGCTCGACGTCAGCCAGTGCAAGAACCTGGCCGGCTGGCTGGGCGGCGGCGGTGTCGAGCGCTGGGGGTTCGACGAGCGGGGAGCAGCGAGGTCGACGCCGGCGCCTGCGCGCGGGGGGTTGGTGGCCGGGCCTCGGGACGCGCCGTCCTACGCGGCCGTGGTCTCCAAGCCGGCGTGGCCACGGCCTAACACACCTGTCCCTGCCGGGTTCCGGCCCGTCATGCGGCCCATTGTCCTGCCCAAAGGCGTTACGCGGACGCGGACGAGGCCGCCCGTGCGGTTTATAGTGGAAAAGGGGAGTTACGGGCTGAGGTAGCTGTACGATAACGAGGTGGCACGTGTTCACGCCTGATGACTTTCGCCCTAGGGCGCATGATGAATTCCGCTTCAGGTGCATTTCCTCCAGCAGGGTTTGATGTAAATTTACTTCAGCCGGGCCAAGTTATTGCAGGTGAATTGGTATTCACATCTGATGTGGTGTTTCAGCTTGGCGCCAATCGGATAATTGGACGACCCTGACGTCAGGACCAGATCCTGTTTTGGCCTGTGCTGACCTGTGACGAAATGGGCGATCAACATGATAAAAGGCGATGGAAGCGCGATGTTAAAACTGCCAAACTGCCAAACTGCCAAACTGACAAACTGCTACACTGCTAAACACTGCTCTGACCGTCAATTAAGCCGTCAACTACTCGAACCCAAAAAACACGCCAAAATGCCCACCATGCTCGGCCTCACCAACGACAAATCCGCCTCACCCAAGCCAAAAGAGGAAAAGAAGAAGCTTGACACGATCCAGCGCCGCAACGTCAACGACGCACTCACAATGGAGACGCTCCTCTGGCGCGCCATGTGCGACGACCCGGCCAGCGCGGGCGAGTACATCGCCGATGACTGCGTCATGCTCAACCCCGTCAACTTTGGCACCGACGAAATCATGGAGGGCAAAGACGCCATCGTGCAGGCCCTCCACAACGGCGACAAGTGGGCCGGCTTCAAGATGCAGGACGACAAGCAGGTGGCCAAGGCGGGCCTGATGGCCGTCGCCGTGCTGTACAAGGTCGCCCTGTTCAAGCAGACCAGCAAGGGGCCAGAGCAGGTGGATGCCATGGTGAACTCGACCTGGCGGCAAAGCGCGGGGGCGGACTGGTTTCTGGTCAGCCAGCTGGTGGCGTTTGCGGATTAGGAGGCGTTTGGCTTAAGCGATATCTGGGTGCGGTCTCATGTAACAGTCACAACAGTCTCTTGTAATAGCTAATTAATTTATCTACTGTCTTCACCACGAGCGCTTCCTCACCACGAGTACGCTTCCACCTGTAACCCCCAGCCCCTCTCTGCCACCAGCGCCCGCACGTCGTCGCAGAGACCTGCCGGCCCGCACACCACCACCCCAACCCGCTTCCACCCGGCCTCGCGGTCCAAGATGGCCGCCACGTCCAGCCGACCCACCTCCTTGTCCATGCCGGCCAGCGCCCCCTGCAGGTCCCGGGCCAGCCCGACGGCGTCCTCGCGCAGCGCCCAGTAGAGCTTCGCGTTGGGGTGCGACAAGGCCAGGACGCCCGTGATGCCGATGCCGCCGGCTATTAGCACGAGCCGGTCGCACTCAAGGAGGGTCGCGTGATTGCGGTACGGTCCGTCCAACAGGGTTGTGAGCGCGCCTGCTCTCAGGCGGCGCGACATGCCGCTGGACCGCCGCACGTAGAGCGTGATGCCCGAAGTGTCAGCAGACAACTTGCCGTCCTGCTCCCCCAGCAGCGATGTCGGCACCACCGAAAACGGGTGGTTCTCCCACGGGCGGAAGTGCAACGTCGGAAAGTAGACGTAGACGTGCATTCCCGGGCCGGCCCACGTGATGCCAGGGATATCAACGCGCATCACGTCGGCGGTCACCGGCGTTACCTCGGCGGTCCGGACGCCGTTCTTGGCCACGCGCAGCAGCCGCAGCAGCCGCTCCGAGGCCCAGACGGCGCACGCTGCGTACAGCCACATCTCGTAGCCGTACTGGCGCTGGAACCGCAGCTCGACGTGGTACCAGGACCCGACCAGCACCGCGACGGCCAGGACCACGTGCAGGCCCAGGAACACCTCATACGATAGGCGGCGTACGGCCAGGACGCTGAGCACGAGCATTAAACACGCGGCAACGGTCGCGACGCATCCCCAGACCCAAAACGCCTCTCTCTGCGTGTCCAGCATGGCCATGTCGGCGTACAGCGCCAGCTCCAGCGCCGAATGTAGCACGACCTGCAGCCCGAAAAGCCGGGCGGCCCAGCGGTGCAGCAGCACAAAGGTCGAGTGTGGCCAGTCGGTGGCCCAGAGCAGGAAGCTGTTGCGGCCCGAAAGCAGGATGACGAGCGGGGCCAGGGCCAGTGCCAGGACGCCGGTGCGGGCGCCTACTGACGCCACCGTTTCCTGCCACGGCGACGCATAAAACGTGCTGCCCGGCGTGGTCGTGTAGCCCAAGGCCGTCAGTGCGGCCGTCAGCACGGCGAGCGCGCCCACGTACAGGGCCTGTCCGGTCGTGGGTGCGTTGCCGGCATGGTGCGGGAGCGGGCGGACGTGGTAGCGGCCGATGAGGGCGGGGTCGACAAGCGGCCGTAGCCGGGCGATCAGACCCGTGCAAAAGGGCAGGCGGTTGGCAACGGTAAGCAGCACGGGCACGGCCGTCGCCGCCACGAGCAGAATGATGCTGGCACCGTTAGCACTACCTTGCACCCGCACATCGATGCCCCATGAACGCACTTACCCAAATCGAGAATTCAGCGTCTCTGCCCGCTCAAACGCAACCAGAGTGTCCCGTGTGGCAGTCCAGACGTCCATGTCAACCAGCGCGGTGAAGCCGAGGACGCCGTTGCCGCTGAAAGTCCTAGTCGGCGCCTCGATGCGACCCAATGCCTGCTGATACGTCCATATAGGCACGGCGCCGCCCGTCGCCTTCTCGGCCCAGTACTTTTCCAGCTCCCAGGGCTCGGCGGCGCACGTGCTTCTAATGCACCAGGCCAGCGTCGTGAGAAAGGACGCGTCGGATGCCCTGCATTGCGGCGTCGTCGTCACGCGCGAGCAGGCCAGAAGGGCGGGCGCGATGGCCTCACGGCAGGCAGCGGCGCACACGGGCGCGTACAGGCGGATGCCGTAGCCGACGAGGGCGGCGGCCGGAGAGGCCAGCAGTAGAAGCTTCATAATGAACTACAGCCGTCTGGCACCTGCGAGGACAAGTCGTCAGCACCTTGCACGAGGGCCATGGTGAGACTTTTGTAGCGGACCGCCCGTCGCACAAGCTATCGGCCGAGACCTCACGCGAGACATGCGCAGCCGAAACATCGTAAAGAAATTGTATTGTGCGACTGTTTCTGTCTACTCCTTGCCCAAGCCCGCCAAGGTCTGTTTTGTCAGCACGGCTTGCCACATGGAAGCGGTCGACTTACCGCAAACTCCTGCGTGTCGATGCCGGCCTTGTCCATCTCGTCCTTGAGCTTCTGGGACGCCTCGCGAAAGTCCTTGTCCACAAGCACCTTGGCCATCTGCACCATGCCGGGGCGCTGGCCAGAGTGGGCGTCTGAGATGTTAGCGGGAAGGGACATGGAGGACACGGCAGGCGACTCACCAATTCCGTGGCGCTGCAGAATCTCGCCCAGTCCCGCGATGGCCTCCAGCACGGCCGGGTGCTTGCTGACCTTGGTGAAGAGGTCGCGCATCTTGGGATTGGCCATCAACTCCTCGGGCGTCGGAGAGTCTTTCGTCGTGGCACGCAGCCTGGCGCTCGCATGAAGCCGGCGAAGCTGCAGGGGCGCGGCGGGCCCGAGGGGCCTGGCGAGGGCCCTGGCAAGCGATCGGGCAAACATGCTGGTGGTGTTGAGGAGAAATGAGAGTTGGAGCACGGGCGCCGTGACGAAATGGGGTCTTCATCACGTGGGGCGGGCACAGCCACATGGCACTGAACTGGCCCCAGAATAGCACACACAGCCCACCCGCTACACCCAGCCGAAACAAAATACCAACTCACCCTGTCTGTTCCCTGATGTCCCCTCTGCTATTCTTGGTGGCCCCATCGGCAGCGGTAAGGCTTGCCGTGGTTATGCCCTAAAACAAGCTCTAATTAGGGATCGCCACGCTATGGCCTAGTTTGAGCAACTCGTTTGTCTGGGGAAGCTAGAGTCAGGCTTACTGCGGCGGCAGTGCTGGCAGTAAGGCCCAAAATGGCCAAATGGAGGCGAGGTGCATCAGTCTAGATATATATCGAGAGTCGATCCTTTGTGCTTCGCCCAGCTGTTTACATCGCCGCCTGCCCCAGCGTTTTCCCACTCGCCCTGCTCCATCCAGCCAACGCGTCCAGCCTGCTCATTTACCAGCAACCAACCGCCACAATGCAGCACCAAGCAATGCCCGTTGTCTTCTTCAGCTCCACCTCCACACCACTCTACTCCAACGCCCTGGCACCAAGAAACGGGGGCCAGTATGCCGGCCTCTGCGTCTTCATAGTGGCCCTGGCCATGTTTGCGCGCCTGCTCATCGCGGCCCGCGGCGTTGTCGACGCCTCCCGGTGGAAGACAAAAGGCGGGTCGACCATGTTGACGGTGCTCGAGAGGGCACTATTCGACGTCGTCGTGGCCGCGCTCGGCTACCTGTTGTAAGTGTCTGGGGACATCACACGCTGTGTTTGGAAACATTACTGCTGAACCGCGCTAACTTTACAGGATGCTCATCGTTATGACCCTCAACGTCGGCTATTTCTGCTCCGTCCTGGGCGGTGTCTTTATCGGCGCCATAGTGTCGGGCAACTGGGGCAAGGAGCACGAGGGCGACTGGCTACCGTGCTAGATGAGCCACATGCATATTTTTTTTCTGCAGCGTTTTAGCGATTAGCGATCCATTTACTGTACATCATTCTTCCAGTCTCATCTCGAACGTCCCGTTCGCTCTTTGCATGCCACTACAACCCCGACGTCTAGGTACTGATCACCCTACGGCCGCCTGTAACGGCGTTTCCCTGGTCCTCATCTCTCCAACTCTCAGCCCAGCCCGGCTCCGGCTCCGGCCCTACCCCTGTGATCGCCCGTGTGGGCCGCGTGCTGTAGCGCGTGCTGTGGGTGCCGCTCCTGCTCTCTCGCGTGCTGTGCGAAGCCCTGCCCTCCCCCGCGCCGTGCTTGCCGCTCTCGCGCGCGTGCGAGTACAGGTGCCGCGGATCCCAGCTTTCGGCCTGCGACGTGGCGAGGCTCGACCGCCCCAGCTCGGCGTCGTCCCGCGGCTGCATCCTTTCGCGCGTCGGAAAGTCCCAAGCGTTCTCGGGCCTGGGCTCGGGCCGCAGCTCCATCGGCGTGCCACACACGCGCCGTTTGGCCCTTTTGTACGACATCTCGATGGACCGGTAGAGCGGGGCGAGCATCGGGATGCTGGCGGCGGTGACGATTGCCGATGCCTCGGCGCTGCTCCAGTCAGCGATGCTCGGCGCTCTGGCGAGGTACGACTTACTAGGTGGTTATGACCGTCCCGTTGTTGCCCCCTAGACTGTCGGCTCGTTCAGCTTGTCCTTTCAGGTAGACTTGCAGGAAAAGTCGGGATCTGCGAGCCCGCTAAAGTTGCTGCACTTGTATGCCGCAATCCCGGCCGCGCTTCAGGGTGTCAGCAAGGCCTTGGAATCCACACTTGATTCACTTACATGGCTCCAATGCCCATGGCAATGCTCAGGCCTACCGTCTTGATCCGGCTCATCTGCATTGAGTAGAAAATCACTGCCGGCCAGACGGCCTGGGCGGGTCAGCGGCATGGAGAGGGTTGGCGGCATCGTCCACGGTGAACATACAAGGTAAAGATCCACAAAGGCGGAAAAGGCTGTGAGATTGTCAGCGGGGGGCAAGTGGCGAAGCATGAGAGCGACACTCACCCGAGGCAAACGTGCTGCACCAAATCATAACCGAAACGTCCATGCACTTCTTGTCCTGGACGGAAAAGTCCCCTGCGCCCGGACCGGCAGGCACTGGAAAAAGACGACAAATACGATGGCGATAAAGGCGAGGGTCGACATGATGGCTGGGCCCCATGCGACCGCCCGGGCCTTCGGCCCCGGCACCAGGATCCTGACCAGAATGGTGGCGACGACCAGCTTGGGGATGCCGAGGGCGGGGAGGACGGCGGGGACGGTGAGCATGTGCCAGAAGATGACGCGCTCCTGCTGCTGGACCGTCAGGGTGTCGACGTGGCGGCCCTGGCCGTTGGACACGGCCATGTAGATGCAAACCTCGCTGTACAGCAGCAGCACGACCGAGACGACGACAAAGAGGTCGTCTAGGTACACCTGCCTGCGGATCCACGTGCGGGCGTAGAACCGGGCTAGCCCGAAGACGGCCGCGAGGAAGACGAGCACCGACGTGGCCGCGAGGACCATGGGGCCGCGATTTTCGTGAGCCTCTGTCGCCATGGCTGTGGGGCCTGTCGCCATGGTGTTGTTGGAGAAGAGATTAGGATTTGGCAGTGGCGGCCTCAACTGATGTCGTTCTGGATAAGGTTTGCTGCGTCTGGGGTGGTCCTTGCCTTTGCATGCTGCCAAGGTTGAGGGCCGAGCTCCCGGCGGGACTTGTCTGAAGACGAGAGCTGGCGGCTGACTGCCTTGACAGGGTGATACGGGTGCCCAGGCGGCGGACTAGCCACGCCGGAAATATCAACTGCAGTATCGTGAAGCGCAAAACCGAGATATCACATTATGGCGAGAGCTACGCTACAGGCAGTCAAAGCTCATTCCCTGCCAGCTCTCGGATAAAACGATCCGCCTCGGCCACGATTCGCACGCTCTGCTCGACACTCGGCGAGGCCGGGTCCCCCGAAACGGCCTGCCAGTCACGGAACAGACGGCCCAGATGCTCGCCGCACGCCAACACGTCGGGCTGGTCGTGAGCGATATCTAGCAGCAGACCCTTTAGAGCCGGTGTGCGGCACGCGGCCAACAACAAACACATGGCACCGGCCATGCTCAAGGCGCAGATCCACGTATCCACCAGCACCGTATGCCGAAAGCCCCGCAGGTTGAGCATGTGCAGGAGGCAGGCATCGAGGCAGGCGCGAGTGCTGCGCAGGGCGTCGCCGTCGCCGAGTTTGGACGCGTCGACGCCGCTGAGCATCCACATCAGGTACGGGCGGTAGATGACGCTGCGGCACGTCAGGTAGCGCTGTCGTAGGAAACCGCCGTGCTCGGACGCGCAGGGGCGGGCGTCGAGGGTAAAGGCAAAGGCGACGGGCAGCACGTCGCGCCACTCCTCGAGCTGGTGGTCTAGCTCGGCGACCACGAACGGAAAGCGGGTCGGGTCGAGCGAGGCGCCGGTGCCGCGGGCGTACAGCAGCTGGTGGACGCGATTGAGAAGGCGGCGCATCGAGATGCAGGCCAGGAAGTAGAGCGACGACTGCTCCTCGGCCTGCTCAGTCCGGTGCGTGGCGTAGCCGGGGCCTGGGAGGGGGACGGACGACTCGATGCGGGCGATGCCGGACTGGGGGAGGCCCGAGAGCTCGGCGAGGTAGTCACTGAAACAGTTAGACGGAACGCTGGCACAGGGGACATGGGACATACCTCTCGAGAATGTAGCAGGACCAAAAGATTCGCCGGATCCGCTCCTGGTCAGCGCCGTCCCCGCTGTCGGACTGATACGACAGCAGCAGCAGGCAGCGCGTCGACGCGGCGTTGATGTACTCCCAGGCCTGTAGGGGCCTACGGAGAAAGGCAAAGTAGAGGCTGCTTTTGTTAGCTTGCGACTTGCCCAATCTGGCTTCGACCGACTCACCCCACGAGAAACAGGCAGTGCGTGGCCGTGGACCCAACCACAGCGTGCACCACGTGCAGGCGCTTCAGCACATTGTCAAAAAACAGGTCGCCCATCTTGCGCCGGGCGCGGCGGAAGCGCATCTCGTCGTCGGAAAGTGCCTCGCCCAGGCCGGCGACGGCTTGGCTAGCGCAGCCCAGGGCCATGACAACGTAGGCCAGACAGGCGTCGACGCTGTCGTCGGGCTCGGGCGAGTCGTCGGCTGACACGAGCACCCGGCGGCACCTTTCCACCTGCTCCACCGACGTGGTCGGGTACCAGAAGTTGACGGCGGCCTGAAAGGCAGACAGCACGGCGTCGACGTCGTCCGGGGCGACGCAGGGCAGCATGCTCGTGGCGCGGGCGCGCAGGGGCGGGCGGCGCTGCTCGAGCGGAAAGATGGGCACGTAGTCCCGGCGCAGCGACGGGAACAGGTCCAGGTGCGGCCACTGCAGGATGGACTCGGTGGTGGACGTGTGCATCGAGTCCAGCACGGCGTTCTCGAGGCTGTTGGGGTTGTGCGGCTCGCTCGGCGTCGGCATGGACGGCGACGTGTGCACCGGGTGCACCTCGGCCAGCGGCGAGCCCGAGAAGCTGCTGCTGCGGACGGAGCTGACGGTCGTGGTCGAGGCCATGGTGGCCTTCATATCGTGCAGGAAGCGCTCGACGCGCAGCACGCCCTCGAGGATCAGGTCACTCTTACCTCTCCTGGACTGGTCAGCTAGAGGCAGACTGGCGGGACAACATGGAACTCACGAGTTCGCCTCGGAGCCGTAGGTGCAGTCGCAGTCGGCGGCAGCGCAGGCGGTGCACGGCGTGTTTCCATCGCAGCGGATTTTGCGGCCGCGGCAGTTGTCGCACTGGGGGAGTCAGCGGATAGAACAGTGTAATACATGAACATAGCCATCACTAACCGCGTGCGACACCCTCAGCCGCTTCCGGACCGGCTCCGAGTCCATGATCAGTCCGGGCAACAGCCCAGTGCCGTCTGCTGGTGCTCTCTGGAATCAGTCGGGATCGGCCATCTAAATTCAAGACATCGCACGCGGGGAGGCCCACAGATGCGCCTAACCCATATAGGCATGCCATGTCGTGGGCCGAGGTCAAGCACATGGTCTTATGCTTGGCGGTGCCACAGAGTGGGCACAGGGATTCACTCTAGGATCAGTCACTAGCATTTGAGGATCATCACTGGCATTTAAGCATCGTCATCATGGCAGGATCGCATCACTGCCAGTGAAATCACCTCCAAACTGCTGACATCAGGCCGGATGGAATCCGCTGGGCCGTCTGACATTTGAATGCGGGAGCAACCTGCGAGGATGGCAATTGGACAGGAGACTGGGCGTCGAAAGGTGCGAAAAAGCAAGTGTCGGCATCAGCCCTACCTACGATCTGGGCAGAGCGATGGATGCCACGTTCAGATTCAGGCCCCAGCCTGGACTAAAATTAGCAGGCCGGCCAACTGCGGCAGGGTGCAGTAGCGGATCGCAGCAGCCAGCGGCTGTGGCTGAGGAGGCCGCAGCACTCCAACGGGCAGAGTTTTTGGGGAGAGCTCAGTGAGATGAGAGGCGGTTGGCCGGATGTCTAGGTGGCCGGCTGTATGGCCCCAGTCCAGGCTTCCCAGGCCGAAATAGTTGTCGGTCAAGCATGCCAACAGCGAGGCGAAGCAGCCGCCGGCGACACGGTTGCGCGCACCAACATCATTTAATATCCCGTTGGCGCGTGACGGACATAATTTACGCTGCCGGCGCGGTGCTACACACTCCCGGTGTTTATTGGCGAATCTCCGACAGACGCCAGCTCAGCAGCCATCGCAGACCGTCTGACAGCCAAGCCGCGCGGGAGCCAACTGCTCCGCCCGAAATCGAGCCATTCCGTCACCCTGGTCGATCCTGCTTCGCCCCTCGTGTGTCTCACATACATATTCTGGAATTCGCCGTCATTCAATTGCAAAACTGCGAACAAAAGCGCGCAGATGGTCTCGACCCCATCACCAGCACATCACTATCAAAGCACAAGGCCCTCACAATGCTCACCGCCGCAAAGCTGGAAACATCGTGCCCTAGCGGCGGTCGCTTCTACGTCTGCGCCGACGCCCCCAAGCGGTTCCTGGGATGCTGCACCGTCGACCCCTGCAGCAGGGGCGGCGACTGTCCCAAGGGCAACCTCACCACCACCACCTTTAGCGCCGACCTGTTTGAGGACATTCCGCCCCAGGACTGCATCGGCGCGCCTGGCAGCAAGAGCTGGTTTACGTGCAAGACCAACAGCCCGCCGTTTATGGGCTGTTGTAGTGATAACCCATGCCAGTCCAAGCCGCCTGGCTGTCCCGTCAGCAAGCTCATCCCTGCGCGCCTGAGCGACAACAAGACGAATGCCGCTGTTTTCCTGTCTTCCTCCTCGCCCTCTGGCACGCCGACGCCGACTCCGCCGCCGACCCCGCCGCAGCCAGCGGCTGGCCTGCACCCGGGCGCCATCGCCGGGATTGTCGTTGGCGCGCTGCTGGTTATAGGGCTGGTGGCAGCGCTACTCTTCCTGAGGCGGCGGCGCAATCGCAACCGCGAGTCGCACATCATCGCCGAGTTCCCCGCAAAGTACATACCCGCCGCCCTGCCCGACATGGGACAGCACCAGGCCAAGGACGTCGCGTCCCAGAGGAGTGCGTACCCCGGCCCCTGCTCCCCCGGCCCCTACTCGCCCGACGCCGTGACCAAGCCGCGCGCGTCGGTGGCGTCGACGCGCAGGACCAGTAACTCATCGGGACCCTCGTTTCCAGATTCGTACGTTAGCAGCACCACGGCCTCGGGCCTGCTCCCAACCCACCAGCGCAGCATGCGGAGCTCGTCGGGCGACTCGCACGGCCAGTACGCGCGCGTATCGCGTTCCGACGACCACTCACCCGAACCGTCGCCGCGCTTCGAGCCCATCCCGGAGGGGTCGTCGAGATATGAGGATCCAGACAGCGTGGCCGTATCGCAGGGACCGAGGTTCGAAGACCCAGACAGCGTGGCCGTGCCGCAAAGACCTCCGAGGTTCGAAGACCCAGACAGCGTGGCCGTGTCGCAAAGACCACCCAGATTCGAGGATCCAAACAGCGTGGCCCTGTCGGAATACCACGGACGGGGCGAGCGGCCATTTTCAGAGCGTCCTAACACGGACTGGGTGCCGTATAGGCCGTAAGCTCAGCCTATTTCTTGTACAGCATGGCGTTGGGCTAGTTCGAATAATAATGCTTTCGGTGATGCATGACTGGCTGATGTCACGCAGCGAGTGATAATGCTTGTTGACGGTGTCACTGAACGGGTGTCACTGGTGCTCGGGTATATAATCATGGTCCACACGCAAGCAAGACAGCACTGCGAGACGGCACCAGGTCACCAGAGACACAGCACCGCAATGGCTCTCGAGCTGACCAGACTCCCCGGCTGTATCCGGATCGCCCAGCCGCGAGACCTGAACGTCGTCACCAGCCTTTACATGGAACAGGCGACGCAGATCCCGGAAATCGCCTGGTGCTATCCCTACTGGGACCGGAGCGAAGCCTGCTTCGACGCCTTCCACGCCTTTGTCTACAACGACTTTCTGACCAGAGTGCAGGGCCACGGCGGCCCCAACAACAACCGCTGGCTGGCCGTATACGAGGACCAGTTCGGGAGGGTGACGGGCTTCGTGGCCTGGAATGTGCGCCACCGCGTGCTCCGCGGGGCGCGCGCGCCGGCCCCTGGCTTTAGCGTCGGTGTCAGCCGCGGCGACATGGCGCGGATCCGGGGCCAGGCGCGGCAAAACGCGTGGGCGCTCGCGGGGCGCGACGGCGTCTACTACGACGAGTTCCGCAGCAACGTCATGGAGCTGTACCATGAGCGAGCGGCGCGCGAGATGCTAGGCCGGCGCGGGGCCAACGGCGCGCAGAACGGGGTCGTTACGGTCGAGCTCGTGTGCGTGGCGCAGGAGCGCAAGCGAGCGGGCATCGGCGCCGAGCTGGTCGCCTTTGTCGTCGGCGGCACGCGCCGGAGTGGCTACTACGTCATGACCGAGGTCAGCGACACGGGCATTCACGGCTGGCTGCAGAAGCTCGGCTTCAGCCAGCTGTCGGCCGCCTCGGCCATGGAGCCCGATCGGCACGACCAGGTCGACCGGCGCGAGGCCTTTGTCATTGCCGTCTGGGGACTTTTGCCGTGGCAAAATGTTCGGGTCAAGAGCGGCGGCGTGTGGCAAGACCAGCCAGACAGCGAGCGAGCGGCTGCTTACTGAGTTATTTTATACTACATTCCGCGACGATTTTACAGGAAGTTGATTCCATACATCTGCTTGTTGAACAATGAAACCAATGAAACTAATGAACCCAATGAAACCAAACTAAGCCTCTCCCCAAATCTCGTCCGCAATGTCCCGCACCAGCTTGAGCTTGGCCTTTTCCTCGTCCAGTGTCAGCGGGTAGCCGCTCTCGTGGGTGCTAAAGCCGCACTGCGGGCTCAGGCCGACCTGCTTCAGCGCCTCCTCGCGGCTGCAGCTGTTGCCCTCGGCGATGAAGTCGGCCGCCTGGAAGATGCGGCGCTTGATCTCTTCGCGGTCCTCGAGCTGCTTGACCTTTGTGCTGATGCAGCCGACAATGACAAAGCGGTTCCTGGGTAGGTACTTGAGCGGCTCGAAGCCGCCGGCACGCTCCGTGTCGTATTCGAGGTAAAAGGTGTTCACCTTGAGGTCCTGGAACAGCTTCTTGGCGATGACGTCGTAGGCGCCCTCAGCAAAGTGGCGCCCGCCGATAAAGTTGCCGCGGCACAGGTGCACGCCCGTGTGCATGTCGGCCGGCAGCTGCGAGATGCAGTCGTTGTACAGGCCGATGTAGGCGTCGAGAAGGTCGTCCACGGTGCCGATGTTGTCCTTGTCCTCAGCCCAGCCGTTGCGGAATTTTTGCGAGCAAAAGTAAGCCAGCCCCGGGTCGTCAAACTGCACGTTCCTCAGGCCCGCCTCGTACAGGTGCGCCAGCTCGGCCTGGTAAACCTTGGCGACGTCCTTGAAGTATTCGGCATCGCTGGAGTACGCCTCTGGGGTATAGGCGCGCCCCTGCTTGTACCGCATGTGGAACCACGCCGGCGTGATCATGGTGAGCTTGATGTTCGGCCACTCCGCCTCGGGCAGCGCGGCCTGCACCAGGCGCAGCTCGTGCAGGTTGCTGACGCACTTGTCGCGGCTGTGGCGCAGCTTGGCGCCGGCGATGACCGAGTCGCCCGGCATGACCTTGCGGTCCTTCTCGATCAGCGACACCACGTCAGGGTGGTAGAGCCGGAACATGGCCGCGTCGGCCTCCTGCAGCCGCTCGATGCCCTCAAACTCGTCCCACATGCGGCCCCAGAAGCGCGTGCGCACGTACTCGCCGTCCGTCACGGGCTTGAAGCCGAGGGACCGCTGCAGCGCCACAACCTCGGCCACGGCCGCCTTTTCGACGCCCACCAGCTGCGAGGGGTCGCCGCCGGCCGCCACCGACGCCCGAACCTCGAGGAGGTTCTGGGGGCGGAGGAGAGAGCCGACGTGTTCCGCGCGAAAGGGGGCCATTGTGTGTTGCTAAGGTCTAGAAGTGTCTAGTGAAAAGGTATGCCAACAAGACGACGACAGGTGATGAAGACAAGACGCGGGACAAGACGCGGGGGAGCCTCAAGTGGGCCGGTTACGGAGCACGACTGACTGGGTCTGCTTGGTGAGCATGACCTCAGTGTGGTGGGCGGGGAAATGGCACGGCACGTTCCGGACTGGACTATCAAGGTGAGGGGTAGACCGTAGGACGGTACCCCGCCCGGCATGTTGATTCGGCAAACTACACAAACACAAAGTTCTTCTCGCCCTGCACCTGCAGCGTGTTCAGCACAGTCTCGGCGCTGCGCTTCTCCAGACTCTTCTTGACCGGGTCAGGGGCGGCAAAGACCTCTTCGAGCTCCTCCAGGGTTCTGTCCTTGGTCTCAGGCCAGTAGCTGGGGGATGTTAGCGGTGTAACGAGAGGATGCAGTGTGATGGCAGAAGGCAGACTTACAAGTAAATCACAGCAGCCTCAACCAGGTTCCAAAACACAAACACAATGTAAAAGTAGTGGCCGATCCGCTGAAATGCTGGCCCCGACGAGTACTGCAGGATGGTGCCGGCAATGGAAGAGCCCAGGTTGCCGACAGCCGTCCCCTTGGCACGGGTCTCGGTCGGCAGCGTTTCCGCAATGTACATGCTCTGAAGCGGGGTCCAGCCAAAGGAGAAGACGATGCCAAAGATGAAGATGAAGGCAACCGTCGCGTTGGCCGCCGCCGACTTGGCGTCGAGGTCCGTGGCGAACTCGTCTGTGGCCATCTTGGAGGTGCCCGTGATGATGGCAAAGCAGACCGAGGCAAACAGGATGGTGTAGATGAGCAGAGGGCGGCGGCCGAGCACGTCGGTCATGCGGGCGCCCAAAACAGCGCCAAAGAAGCACAGGATCGGGTTGACCATGTTGAGGGCCAGCACCTTCTTCTCCTCAGTGATGCCGGCCGTCTTGAGCACGGCGGCCATGTAGTACGACGACAGGCTGTTGCCCGACGACTGGCCAAAAATGGCCATGCCCAGCACGCAGATGAGGCGGCGACGGGCCGGGCGCGTGTTGACCAGGGCGCTGTAATCCCACCAGCGCTTGTCGGTGGCGTTGGCGCGGATCTGCATCGACATCTCCTGCAGCTGCAGCTTGACGAGCGGGTGCTCCTCGTCGCCCTCGCCATGGTACTTGGCCAGCACACGGCGCGCCTCCTCGACCTTGTCGTTGGCCATGAGCCAGCGCGGCGACTCGGGCAGCAGAAAGGCGCAGAGCACGATAACGCCCGACGTGCACAGCTGGCACCACACGGGGATGCGCCAGGCCTCCAGGCCCGGGATGTACGAGCAGCCCAGCACGACGGCCGACGCGATGATGGCACCAATGTACCACGTGCAGTTGTACAGGCCAGTCAGAGTGCCGCGCCACATTGGGTGCGCGATCTCGCTGACGTAGGTTGGGGCCGAGACGGAGCAGAACGAGACGCCGAAACCCAGCACGAAGCGGCCAGCCAGGAACTGCTGGCCGTGCGTGGATGTCGCCTGGACGCCGGTGCCGATGATGATGATGACGGCGCCCGCAAACATGCCGGCGCGACGGCCGAGCCAGTCGTTGACGGGGCCGGTAAAGAAGATGGCAGCCAGACTACCGATGTTGTACATGGCAAAGGTGAGCCCGGTGCTCTCGCCGTCGACCTGGGTGCCAAAGTACTCGCGGTATGACTCCATGCCGTTAAGCCCGCCCATCAGCGAGCCGTCGTAGCCGTTGAGACAGCCGCACAGGTAGGCGCAGGCCAGCACCACGTACAGGCGGCACATGGCCCAGGTCCACGGCGAGTAGGTTGTGTTGTCAACCTCGTGGGCCATCTGCACGGCCTGGTTCAGGTCTGCATTGTCGGTGACGTCGGGGGACTTTTCGGAAGCCATGTTGATGAGTGGCTATGGGCTGCCGATGAGCTGAGAGGGCCATGTACGATAACACCGCCAACGGGGTGTCTCCTCTTATAGGCCCGACGGTCTGGTACCGTTGCCCGGGCGGTTACCCCAGATCAGTCGACTGCAGGGGCTCCTTGTCAACGAGCACACCGTTGCAGCAGCTGTCATCTCGCCAACGCTAGACTGCAACGTTCTGGACTGGTAGACCCCGGGCATCGCGTGCAAGCCAACTTCTCGAGTGGTGCGCATCACGCTCGGGAAATCGGAACCGGGGTTGCATTGGGTATAGCCGACCCCAAGTTTCCGGGGTGAGTCCCGCAGGGAACCGCCCGGCTCCGACATCCCCGAGGAAATGAGGGGTAGACCTTGCACAAAATTCGCGGGCCGATTAGGTTGCTGGGGGCAGGCCATACCAACAGAACCGGAGAGGCCACCAGGAACCGAGGAATCGACCGACGTCGCGTAGTCACGAGGAGAAAGAAAATGGACCTTCCGGATTTGAACATGCAGGTGCCAGGCCATAACAAAGCTCCATCTCGGCAGCATCCCCGTCGGGGGTGGCGGCTCCAGCACGTGCGGCGGAAAACAGCGAAAGCCTCCACTTGAAACGCACTGTGAAAACGAGTCGAGAGAAAATTCGAGGATACAAAGGTGAGGGTGGGATGAGAAGGGTTTGAGGAAAATCGAAGACTGAAGAGGACAAAATCCAAAGGACATCACAATGCTCATCCAGGAATCGCCAGACCGCCCCGACTACGCCAACGAGGCCGTGTTCCGCCGCAACTGCCTCCCGCACAGGACCTACTTCATTCCCGAGACGGCCGTCCTGCTCAACGGCCAATGGGACTTTCACTATGCCTCGACGCCGCTAGAGGCCCCTGAGCCTGAGGCCACCCCCGACTGGCAGCCCATCACGGTCCCTGGCCACTGGCAGCTCCAGGGCTGGGGCCACCCGCACTACACCAACGTGCAGTACCCCATTCCCGTGTGCCCGCCGCACGTGCCGACCGAGAACCCGACGGGCACTTACCGCCGCAGCTTTCACGTGCCGCCCGCCTGGGACGCCAAGTCGCAGCTGGTGCTGCGCTTCGATGGCGTCGACAGCGCCTACCACGTCTTTGTCAACGGCCAGCTGGTCGGCTACGCCCAGGGCGCGCGCAACGCGGCCGAGTACGATGTGACCGACTTTGTGCGGCGCGACGCCCCTAATGAGGTGCTCGTGCGGGTTTATCAATGGTCCGACGGCTCCTACATCGAGGATCAGGACCAGTGGTATCTGTCGGGCATTTTTAGGGACGTGCACCTTCTGGCGTTCCCGACCGACTGCCGCATCCGCGACTGGTTCGCCCGCACCGACCTCGACGCCGAGTATCGCGATGCGGAATTGCTGGTGGACGTCGACGTGACCGCCACGGCCGCCGGCAAGCTGAAGCTGTCGCTGCAGGAGCTGCCCAAGAACGGCGGCGGCGCCGTGGGCGAGACCGAGGTCGACGTGGCCGCGGGGGCCGCGGGGGCCGCCTCGGTCAAGGTCAAGCTCGCCGTCGCCAACCCTGCCAAATGGACGGCCGAGACGCCGCACCTGTACCGGGCGACGCTGACACTGACCAGCGGCCCATCCACGTACACGATCCACCAGACGGTCGGGTTCCGCAAGGTCGAGCTCAAAAACGGGCTCATGTGCGTCAACGGGCGAGCCATCCAGCTTCACGGCACCAACCGGCACGAGCACCACCCGCGGCTGGGCCGGGCGGTGCCGCTTGACTATATCCGGCGCGACCTAGTGCTGATGAAGGAGCACAACATCAACGCGCTCCGCTGCAGCCACTACCCGCCGCACCCGCGCCTGTTCGACCTGGCCGACGAGCTGGGACTGTGGGTTATGGACGAGGCCGACCTCGAGTGCCACGGCTTCTACGACACCATCGCGCGCCCGCTTGACATTCCCGAGGAGATGGACTACGAGGAGCGCAAGAAGCTGACATTCCCTCAGTGCGCAAAGTTTACCTCGGACAACCCTACTTGGACGGCCGCCTACGTCGACCGCATGGAGAGCATGGTAGTGCGCGACCGCAATCACACCAGCATCATCTCATGGTCGCTCGGCAACGAGGCCTTTTACGGCCGCAACCACAAGGCCATGTACGAATACGCCAAGCGCGTCGACCCGGGGCGTCTGGTGCATTACGAGGGCGACGTGCACGCCGAGTCGGCCGACATGTTTTCGTACATGTACCCGCCCATCGAGCGGCTGGTGAAGCTGGTCAAGACGGAGGGTGTGGCGGCCGACGGCACCTTTGAGAAGCCCGTGGTGCTCTGCGAGTACGCCCACGCCATGGGCAACGGCCCCGGCTGGCTCGAGGATTACCAGCAGGCCTTCCGCGACCACCCGCGCCTGCAGGGCGGCTTCATCTGGGAGTGGGCCAACCACGGCATCTGGAAGGACGAGGGCGGCGGCCAGGCCTTTTATGGCTACGGTGGCGACTTTGACGACTTTCCCAACGACGGCACCTTTGTCATGGACGGGCTCTGCTTTTCCAACCACACGCCCACGCCGGGGCTGACGGAGCTCAAGAAGGCGATCCAGCCACTGGGGCTGTCCGTCGCCGGCGGCAAGCTGCTTGTCGAGAACTACTACGGCTTCGTGGACCTTTCCCACCTGGTGGCCACGTACAAGGTCGAGGAGTTTGGTAGCGAGACGGTGCTCGTCGACTCGGGCGAGCTGCCGCTGCCGACCATCAAGGCGGGCGAAAAGGCCGAGATCGCACTCCCGGTCTCGGCCGGCCACCGCGGCGACGGCGAGACCACGCTGACCGTGTCGTTCCGCCAGCGCAGCGGCACGGCCTGGTGCGACGCCAGCCACGAGATCGCCTGGCACCAAGCCCAGCTGGCCGCTCCCAAGGCCGCCCCGGCACTGGCCTCGCGCCCGCAGCTGGCGAGTACCAAGGCCGAGACGAAGGGCTCGGTTCTGGCCATATCGGGTGGCGACTGGTCGCTCACGTTCGACAGGGCCCGCGGCTACGTCACCAGCTGGGTGTCGGGCGGCAACACGCTGCTGTCGGCCGACCCCGCCACGGGCGCCGCATTGATGCCCGGCTTCTGGCGGCCGCCGACCGACAACGACTACCCCATCTCGCTGCCGTACTGGAAGCGGTTCGGCGTCGACGTCCTGACGTCGCAACTGCGCGCCTTTTCCGTTACCGAGTCCGGCGATAGCACCGTCGTCGAGGCCCGCACCTACATCTCGCCGCCCATCGTGGCCTGGGGTTGGGAGGCCACCTCGACGTACACCGTGTCGGCGGTGGGCAACCTCTCGGTCGACGTCAAGCTCGCGCCCACGGGCACCGCGCCGACACACGTGCCGCGCGTCGGGCTGAACCTGTACGCGCCGCGGAGCCTCGACAACGTGCGGTGGCACGGGCTGGGGCCGGGCGAGAGCTACCCCGACAAGGCGGGGGCGCAGCGGGTGGGCATATGGGCGGCCGGGGTTGCGGATCTGCACACGCCGTACGAGCACCCGCAGGAGGGCGGCAACCGCATGGGCACGCGGTGGGTGGAGCTGATGCATGAGGATGGGCACCGTGGCGGCCTGCGGGCGCGGGGCGACGGGCCGTTCAGCTTCGTGGCGAGGCGGTACGCTGACGCCAACGTGGAGGAGGCGCGGCACCCATGCGACCTCGCCGAGGTGGACGCCACGCTGGTGCGGCTGGACGCCAAGGTGGCCGGCGTCGGCACAGCTGCGTGCGGGCCGGGCGTCCGGGAGGATCTGCTGGTGAAGGTCGACGAGCTGTCGTTTCGATTCGAGCTAGAGCGGGTGGGGGCTTAACTCCTGTGGATATCGCGAGTGTCTGGCAACCTAGATCGCTCCTGCATGGAGAGTAGGCCCGCGCCAATAGCAAAAAATCATATCCATGCGTGTCCACTCCTTTGCATCACTAGGTCTGTCGTCATTCGCGTCAAGCTGTAAACGGGGATGCCCAAAAAAAAACACTAACAATGGCAAGGATACGGCACAACACGGGACGACACCCCAGCGAAGGTTCGGACAAGGAGCGGGCGGCCAGCAACGATACAGACGGAGCTGGCCGAGGATTACAAAACAAGAATAGGCGTTGGCACAAGATCGACATGAAACAGGACGGTTCTGGGCGGGGAACATCAATCAGCGTGGCAACGAATAGTGATCGAGACCTTTATAGTATTTGAGTGCCATGGGATACCACGGCACCGCCCGAAAAGAATAACGCGCACTCACAACCACCGCAAAAAATACCAAACCAAACCAACTCAATCAATTGCAGTGCCTCAACACCACAACAAGAATGATTTAAATACCGGGGAAAAAAATAGCAAAACGGAAGGGGAAATGGCAGCCCATTAAATTGCATATAAAAATATGTTTGTGCGATGAATTGTTGTGGAGAAATAGCCTCTGAAGTAAAGGCCCTTTGGTTGTGAGTGCGCGTTATTCTTTTCATGCGGTGCACGGATATAAATACCCATGCCATCTATGCGCCGTGCGTCCCGGCACCCTAGTCTGCAGGTGGTGGCAGTTAACCAAATCAGTAGAAACCAAACACCTGTAACGCAGAATGGCAGTTTTTTTTTTTCTTAAAAAAATGTTCGCCGCCCAACTGCCAGATGCGGACACCCCACCCGTCCGTTCCATCAACGTCGATCTGAAACATACCAGGGGATGGCGGCGGGTCCGGCAGCTGCGGGGAGCGCCCACCACCCGTATACAGGTGCCGAGCTGCCTTCCAAGATGTCGGCATGCGTCAAAGACCGACGTCGCGCGGGCGTCATCCCATTTATGTATGCTTGTCCGAAGGTTTTCGGAGAAAAGCTCGGCAGGGGCTACGATGGCACCATATAGAGGAGAAGCCCTGCCTGGCCTGATGTCTCCATCTTTGCCTCTGCATCTCCATCCTCTTCCTCTGCACGAGTGACAGCCGTAGACCGGTTTTTTTTCTTCTATTCGTTCACTGAACTTCTTTTCCATAGCAGCCTGGACGCCGACTTTTTTCTAATAGCCATTTTTTTTACATTCACAATGCGGTCACACTATCTTCTCTCTCTGGCCAGCTTGGCCATGGCCCTGCCCCAGCACTCAACACACAATATCCCCAGTCTCGTCACAAGGACACAGCTGAACCTGACGGACGAGGCGGCGGTCGAGGAGGCGTTCCAGGCGGCGGTCAAAGGTATGTCGAGCACCCCTTCTCAGCCCGCGCACAACTAACAGTCACAGCCCGAGATGCTGGGCAACGAGCCCCTCGGAAGCGGGCCAACCAGCTCATCCCCATCGTCGTCGGCGGCGCCCAGGCCCTCTTCGTTCCCAGCATGATGCTGGCAGCAGTCGGCGACGTCATCCAGTTCCAGTTCGCCGAGGGCAACCACACCGTGACACAGAGCCCCGAGACGGCCGCGTGCCAGCCGCTGCAGAAGACGGTCGCCACGGCCGTCCACAGCGGCCACATCCCCTACAAGGCCGGCCAAACCACCGTCGGCACCTTCAACGTGCCCATCACCGACACCAAGCCAATGTTCCTATACTGCGCTACGGGCCCACACTGCCAGCTAGGCCAGGTCATGATCATCAACCCGTCCAACACGGCCCAGGTCGTCAACTACGCCAAGCTGTCGGCCCAGGCAAAGGATAATGTCGACGGTGGCGCCCCGTCGGGAGGCAGTGCCGCTTCCATTCAGCTGTCGGCCGCCGCCTTTGTCCCGGCCCCGCCCGAGGCGGGCGGGGGGCCGCCGCCGCCTCCTCCCGACAGCGCTCCCACACAGCCAGCGCCGCCTGCGACCTCGTCGGCTGCTGGGGGCAAAGGCAAGGGCAAGGGCAAGGGCACAGCCAGGGCCTCGGGGTCTGAAGCCGCCCAGCAGCCTGTTGCTACGGCGCCGCCGCCTGCTGCTCCTGTAGCCGCGCCGCCCGCTGCTCCTGTAGCCGCGCCGCCTGCTGCTCCTGTAGCCGCGCCGCCTGCCTCTCCTGCGGCCCCGGCCCCTCGTGCAGCCGAGGCACCTGCTGCTGCTTGAGAGGCACCAGCAGCCGAGCCAGCACCGCCCGCCGAGGGTGCTGCGCCGGCCTGAGTGACGGACAGTATATAGATTGATAACTGGGGCAGGACCTTGCAGTGCATGTATAAGAATCTACTAGTGCTATTACTGGTGGACCGGCATCCTTATAATTGCCGTTCCGGAGCTCCCACCGACCAGTGACTCGTATTCATATGAGACGTCTACACCAGACTACCCAAGATTGTGCTCCTCACCCGCCAACGGCCGGTACCGAGGTCGAGACCGACGCGCGCACCACACGCACGTCAGGATCGCCAGGAACGGCACCATAGCCGCCACGCCAACCTCTACGAGGTGGTCGCCGAGCCACGGAAAAAAGTGGCTGTCCCAGTTGGACCAGGTGCCGCCGCGGACCTGGGTGAAAAAGACCCAGCCGTCGGCCCCCGGCCTCATCTCCATCAGCACGTGGTGTAGCGGCCTCCAGCCGGTGCCCTCCATCCCGGGGACGGTGCCGTCGCGCAGCAGCCAGTGGTAACGCTCCCACATGGCCGTGACGAACCACTGGCCGCTCGTATAGCTAATGATGACGTAGGGCAGAAAGTAGTTCCAGTCCCACGTCGGCAGCTGCTCCGTCAGCAGCACGAGCAGGGGATGCCTGGGCTGGCCGCCCATGATGTTGTTGCTGAGCGCGCCGCGGCCGCCGTCGGTCGTAAAGGCGGGGTAATAGGTCAGGGGGTCCAGGCTGGCGGCGCAGCCGTTGTCGAGGTCGAGGTAGATGCCGCCATAGTGGCGCAGCAGGAAGTAGCGCAGCACGTCGACGCGCTGGATCGGGAATCTGTAGCCGTCGTAGGTCGGGAGGAACCATGGGTAGTGCTCAGCCAGAAAGGCCCGCGAGGTATCGGTATACCAGATCTGTCCCGTCAGCGCCGTTCGCATATCCGGCCGGCGTGCTCACCTTGTGGTCCCAGTCTGGATTCAGCGTCTGGCACGTCCGGCGAGCCTCCTCCCAGTGGGGCGGCAGCTTCGTGCTCCCCGGGTGCTCCCAGGCGTGGAAGATCTGGTGCGTGATCTTGGGCACCACCGGCACCCGGTCATCGCTCCGGTTGTGGGCGAGGGCGATCTCGGGCTGGCTGATGGCGATGCCCGCGTGCGGCCGGAAGATGCCAAAGATGGCGAGGAAGACGAGGAGGCGCGTGAGGGCGTATGTCAGGACGAGCAGGCCAAAGGCTGCCGGCAGGGCGATCAGGAGCCGTCGCGAGCGTAGATGGACCATGGTGCCGACCTCTGCTCGTCTAGGAGAATAGAGTCGTCTCCTGAGAATTTCTAGAGGGACATTCCACTACCCGTAGCCAGACGGGCATCAAAGCGCAGTCCGGAGCCATGGTGGCGCCAAACTTTGGCACGGTCTGTCCATGACGTCTGGTCTGATATTGGAAGGTGCAAACTTCGCAGAGCCGGGAAGGTGCAACTGCAGGTGTCTTGCTTCCTCCCAGCTTCGTCGTCGGCTTGGACCGTGAATCAGATATCTAGCATTTCCAGACCGATGGTCTGGTCGCAAAATCGCGAGATTGTGACATCGCATCTTGGCATTCTCGCTGGTCTTGGCGGAAGTTGCGCTCCAGCTCTAGACCTGTCCTTCCTTCGGCAGTGACGCTTAGTGCCGATTCCTGAGCCACAGCATCGACGACCGGACATCCGTTGGAGGTTTAGCGCTATTTTTGTTGGCTGTAAAGAGGGACCGAATTGGAGGCCAGAGTGCCAGCCCAGACCAGTAATGCTTACTGCGGCGGCTGTGCTGTTACTGGGGCAGTGGGGCAGTGGTATCACGTGACTAACGCGACAGGATTCAGCACCCAACTCCCACCATCAATCGCGACGCCACCGCGCACCACGCCTTGACGCCCGACCTCCACGGCAGATCGCCGACAGCAGATTCGCGATCGACGCAATGCCAGCTTACTTGGCATTACCTGCTGCGGCGAGCCCAACAGTAACGGCGGCCAACAGCAGACGCGGAATGGCGTTGGCGGGTGCTATGTTGGCGCGCTGCTGCCCTCTGAGGTGCCATGGATATAAGACCTGGCGAGGGCTCTCCAAGAAGTCCAGGTATCCACATCAAGGCATGCCACCAACCCAAGCAAACATCCAAACCATCCAAAAAACACCATGAGGTTCTCCGTCGCCTTGATTCTGGCCTTCTCGGCCGCGGTCCTCGCCGAGGAAGCAACCGCAACCGTCACCACCAGTGTCGTCTCGACCGTCACAGAGGGCTCCGTCGCCACGACCACGGTGACAGCCACGCCCTCGGGCCTCCGCGCGAGCAATGCGACGGTCACCGTGACCAAGACGGTGACCAAGCGCCTGCGTCCCACCGGCAGGCCCAAGTACCGCCACAAGCACCTCGGGGCCAACTGCCCGTGCATGAAGATGCGCAAGTACAAGCAGCGCAAGTACAAGCAGCGCAAGAGCAGGCCGGGGCACAGCAAGAACAGACAGCACAAGACCCATCACTCCCCAGCCCACCCCAGAATCATCTACCCAGCCTTTGCCGAGGCATCCACCCAAGACGCCATGCCCCGCCAGCCCTCGACCGAGCCCGGAATGTCCCCGGCCATTTCGTATGGCTCCGGCCGCCGCCTGCGCCGCAACGTCGGCACCCGTCGCCGACAGGCCCCCGCGACCGACGGCTGGTGCAAGGACGGAAAGACATGTCCTCAGGGCACGTGCTGCAGCAAGGAGGGGTGGTGCGGCCCTCCGGCGACTCACTGTCCGGGGGGTGCTCCAGCGGCCCCGGCTCCAGCCGGTGGTGATCCAGGCGCTGGTCCAGCCGGTGCAGGGGGTAATTCTGGCGCTGCTGCTGGCACAGCTCCTGATGCTGCTGGCGCAGGTGGTGACCCCGCCGCTGCTGGAGGTCCTGGTGGCGCTGCCGGCGCTTCGGATGGTGCTGGTTCTCCTGGCGCCGGTGCTCCGGGTGTTGGTGCTCCGGGTGTTGGTGCTCCAGGTGCTGGTGCTCCCGGCGCTCCTCCTGGTGGCGCTCCTCCTGGCGGCGCTCCCGATAGTGCTGCCGCGGCTGGTGGCGCTCCGGGTAGCGCTCCCGCTGCTCCCGCTGCTCCCGCTGCTCTCGGCGCTGGTGCTCCGGGCGGCGCTCCCACTGCTCCTGGTGCACCCGCCGCCCCTGATAGTGCCGCCGCGGCTGGTGGCGCTCCGGGTGGTGCTCCTCCTGGTGCCCCCGACGCTCCTGCTGGTCCTGCTGGTACCGGTGCCGATGCTGCTACTGGTGCTTCTGACGATGGGGCTCCTGTCGGTGCTGCTCCTGGCGCAGCCACTTGAGCCTGCCCCGACGACGCTGCAGGCGCCCAAGTCGCCGAATCTGCAAACGAGACCACCAAACAGTAAGCCCATTTTTCTTCACGTGGCTTGGTCCACCAGCTATTTCAGCATTTGCACTTCATCCATGTCTTTTTTTACTGGAGTTTGGGTCTGATTTATTTAGAACATGAAATGACATCTTTTGCAACCCCCGTCTCGTCTGGAGTCCCTTATGTTCTAACCCCTCCTCGCTCGCATACGGTCTCTGTCGCGCTCAATGTCGTCCCTAGGAACGATGGTGCATCGCTTCGTCTCCCGTTAGCTAGCCCTCGACTGTGGATGAGTGTGCTTACCTTCAAAAGCGCTGACACCTGCCCAATGCCGCCCCCGTCGCAAATATTCTGCAGTGCGGCCCGGAGCACTCGTCTCTGCTGCTCAGTGCAAAACTGAGACACGAGACCTGCGTAGAGGGCCCCCAGTGACGCGATCATGGTGAACTCGGTTGTGCCCCCGGGGCGCAAGGGCGCGCACGCTGTGGGCCGCACTAGCGCCGTCTTATAGTACTGGATGCAACGGACGATGCCACGGATGGCCCGCTGCGCCATCTCGGCCGCCAGCAAGTACTCGGGGTCGCTCTCGTATGGCGTGCGAATCGTTGCCTTGAGCGAAGCTGAGCCACGCCAGGCAGCGTGCGGTGTTGTGACTAACCAGCAGGCCGCCTACCCGCCATGCATGTCGAGTAGAAGCTGGCCTCCTTATAGTCGGCAAAGCCCAGCATCTGCATACCCTCGTCGGTGTCGGGTTGCTGGCCCGGGTCTGGCCTCCCTCCCTCGGGTGGGGACGCCAACGGGGTGTGAAGGGACGGGGAGCGCGGCCAAAGCACTGGACTGCCATCATGCCGCGCCTACACGCCGTCCTGGGTGGGCGTGCAGGGAGCTCCGTACCCGGGAGCGGCGGACGTCGAGGTGCGCATGCGAGTAAGAATCTCGGGGATGGTGTCGCCGCGCTCAAACGAGTCGGCGGCGTCCAGAAATACACCGGGGCCGTATTGGCCGCTTTCGATGGCCTGCACCATGCGTCCGCGCTGCCAGGCTAGGCTCGCCATCAAGAGGCCCAGTTGGCCCAGCATGTCGTGGTACCCTACCGGCATCAGCGACTGCATGAGCGTGTCGGTGAAGGAGGTTTCGTGCCCGGGCAGGACTTTGAGCGCGAGCTAAGTCGATCAGCATCTCCTGTGTCAGCATCTGTCCAACAGTCCACTCACTATGAGGCCTCGTGCCAGTATCAACATCTCCTTGCACTCCGGAGTCTGCAGATTCTCCATGCCCAGCAGCTTGATGAGCTGCACCGCGCCCCTGACGTGCGCCTCAAAGGCGTCTATCTGCTGGCTGGGGCAGGCGAGCGTCTGTTGATATTAGTTTGGGCTGTCAATGGGCTGTTGCCTGACGGGCTGTCGACTCACCTCGTATATTGCCATCAGCAGCACCGATGCCAGCGTCTGCGTTTTGCTCTCCTCTCCCCTCGCCAGGCTCTGCATGGCGTCGCTGACGGCGCGGATGGCGCGGATGTACTCGACCTGGGCCTGCGCCCTCGGGCGGCGGAAAGACAGCCGGGTCGACAGGGCAGCGAGTGACGCAGCCCGGAAGGCGTGTTCGAAGCAGGGCACGATGCTGCCGCTGCCAAGGATGGACAGGATGAACGAGTTGGACCCCCGCTCGCCTGGCCGTGTCGGCGCCCTGACGTAGCTGTCGAGGAAGAAGGCCCGGGCCCGGTCCGCGATGGGCACCTCGACGCAGGTGGGGATGGTGCCAAAGGGCGTCGGCAGCATGACGGTAAACTTGCCGTCGTTCTCAAACGCCTCGTCTGGGCACGTCGACATGTGGCGCCACCGCGACTCGAGCTTTTCCGTGTACGCCACCCAGCGCTGGCCCACGAACGGGACCGGCTGCTTCCGGGCGCCTGCGTCGCCCTGCGCTTGCCGTCGCGCTGTATTTTTGTTTGGTGGCGATCCCCTGCGTTTCTTCTGCGACTCCCCATAGCCGGGGCAGTTGATTCGCATCCTCTCGCATCGCGCGCATCCGGGCTTTCCCTCGTCGCACTGCATGCACCGCGCCTGGCACAGGAGGCAGGCGGTAGGTGAAGCTTGTCCGTGTCGGCATCGTTCTGGCCAGCAGAGGGGCATGCTCACCTTGCGGTCTGCCCAGCGGCCCTCGCACGCCAGGTTGGCTGCCCACATAAACTGGTGCCCGTATAGCCGTCATTTTACCCCCTGTGCTGTCGTCTGCCTGTCTGCCTGTCTGCCTGTCTGCCTGTCTGCCTGTCTGCCTGTCTGTATCGTCCTCACCTGTTGCGGCCCAGGCTAGGCGAGTGCTCAAGATAAATAAACCTCGCCACTATCTCAGTTCCTGCAGCTCACCCGCTCGGCCTTAAAGCCACCGACATGAGCCGGCAGCCCCGGTGCATGTTCGAAGTGCCTGTGGTGCGGGGCAGCATGTGCCAGTTGGCTTGTGAAACAACCTTGACAAGGGCGCGGGTTCAGACATAACCGGCCCTAGTGGTCGTCAAGATCGGACCAAGCGCGGTCGAGGGCCGTGTGCCCAGGTTCTAGGGCGGCGCCATGCCAGAAATGGCCAGTGACGGCTAACGCACGAACAGGACGCTCGTGGGGTTCAAGTTGTTTCGGGCAGCCCTTTGCAGAGACGCATCTGGCAGTGCTCTTGTGCCTCACTAAATAATTCAGCCCGTAATAGACTTGAAGCTTCACGTATTAGTCGCCACATTGAGATATGGATGCCCGAATGGCAGTGTGGTGTGTAGACAAGCAAAGCACAATCTGGATGTGCTGGCGTAGCAGGGCGGAGACGTTGAGCACATGGCAGTCGTGTACCTGCGCAATAGCCCAGCACTGCAGGCTGCAGCTCATAGATTAGATGGTAGTAGCACGTAGACATCAAGCCACGCGGGCGTACCCAAGTGGCGTATGGCGCCCGCCGATTTGCACCGACTTTGGCTTCAATATGAGTGGCGTGTCCAATGCCTCTGGCCGAGAAAGCGCAATCAGACAAACCCTGCGCAAACATTGTTGGTGAGCAAGCGCCGCCCAAGCCAAGTCGAAATGGCTTCACGCGCGCGGCAGGCGTCAGGGATAAAGCCGACGCCCGGGGCGTTCGCCTGGAGCTGCTGGATCTCGATGACAACACAAGGAGATTGTGATTTGCTAAATCCAAAAATATTATGCCCAAACGCCCAAATCCCAACGCCGAGAAAAGCTTGCTTAGATATTGTACAAAGTCATGAGATGTGCCGAAGAGGCTCAGCACGGGATGGCTGCCGCTGTTTGGTAAATAAACCCCAGAAGCCTGACCGGCTCTTTGGGCTGGCCTTGCTCTTGGGGTTCGGACCGGCCGGTTTTGCGGACGGGCTCTCCCAGGACCCCGAGTAGTCGCCCCATTTGTCGAGGCTGCTATTGTTAGTCTCGTCCGCCTTTTTGTCCGAGCGGGTGATGTCGTCGTCCCACTCGCTACCGTCATAAATGAACTCGTCGCTGTCAACGAAGCTGTAGACGGCGCTGTGGGTGCTGGTGGGGTCTTGGGGGATGGCCTCGTAGCCGCTAGACAACAGGCCGGATAGGCTGCCCAGCTGCGTCTGGGGCCAGGTAGAAAGGGCTTGCATGTTGTTAGGAGGGATATTCGAGGGCAGAGGTGCGGGTGCAGAGTATGTGATTTCGAGGCCAAAGTTGCCCCCCGATTTGACATTTACCCATCAAACGGACAGAGCACTCTTGCTAATATACGAGGTCGTCGATTGTCTTAGTCCGCATGACTACACGCGGTGTCGATGCTTGGCCCTGACTGGGCACAGTAATGCGCCCCACTTCTTACTGCGACGGGGCGCCAGCCGCTGTCAAACCTGCCTAATGACACTGACATCGCTGTCATTTCTTGTTGACATTGGCATTGGCATCAGCATCGAAATCTAACACGGCCATGCCTGACTCTGCACTCACCCTAGCGATCAAGATGGCTTCGTTTGCGTGGCCCACAGGATCCACCATGAATGGGGTGGAATTTTATGTTTTTTTTTGTATTTTTTTTTCCCCCGCTGACTGGGCACCTGTCCTCTCACATATGGCGTTCTGATGACCCCTCCCCGTATCCCGCTGGCGCCAACCAGCCTGCCTCCCCCGCGGTGCCTGCCTGAGCTGCCTGCCAGCGTCGTCTTGGCGGCCGTGGCCAACCTGCGCGCAATCTACTGCCCCTTGGCCCCGTCGGCCGCCGACATCTACCGTCGCCATGACAGACCACCGCCGCCACAGGCAGACTCGGGCTACACGTCCGGCAACGAAGATGGCGTCCTGGGCAAGCACGAAGCCGCGCTCGAGAGCCTGCGCGCCGACGCCCTGGAGCGCAACGTTGCCTTTCGCTGGCTGAGCACCGTGGTCCTACGCGCCGACGAGCTGCAGGCCACCGACGACGAGCGCGACCAGCTAGTCGACGAGGCCTCGGTTGTCATTGCTGCGTTGACCGTGACTGGCCCAGAAGCCGCAGACAAGTGCGCCGACTGCGACGACGGCGGCATCACGCGCGACTTCTCCTTCCCCGTCGCGCCCAAGCTCGACGCGCCGCCCGTGCGCGTGTGCCTCTTTGACGCAGACCCGTCTGGACCCGACCACCTCAATGTCGGCCTGCAGAGCTGGGGCGCCTCCATCGTCTTCTCGGCCCTGGCCTGCGCCGCCCTGGCCTGCGCCGCCCCGGCCCGCTTGGGCCTGACGAGAGCCGCACTCGGGCCATCACCCTGCGTCGTCGAGCTCAGCGCCGGCACTAGCCTCGTGGGTCTTGTGCTAGGTGCCCTGCTGCCCCGTCTCGGCATCGACGCCACCGTGGTCGCGACCGACTACCACCCGGCCGTGCTCGCCAACCTCGCCTCCAACGTGGCCGCGAACCAGGGCACAGGCGTCAAGACTTGCATGCTCCTCGCGGCGACTTTTTGCTCGTGGCCACTGTGCGCGCCGCCGGCAGGTTCGAGGGCATCAGCGATACGGTGGAGATGGCATTTGACGGTGGTTCGGACCAGCGCTTCATAATACAGCACACGGAGATGCTTCCCAAACAAAAGGGCGTGGGACGGGGAGACGAGGACGGCTACAAACTGTTCAAGATTGGATGGGCCGCGGGCTGCGGACAACGATAGACGACACTGACATTGCGATAACTAGACCCCACGCGACATGACGATAGACTAGACGGCACCGAAATGGACATGGACGAGAATAAGCGACTGCGATGCTACGACGGCTGACGGTAAAAGAACCATACGTCGACCCCGCCCCTGGGTTACATTCATGCCGTGCACCCGGATGCTGCACTCTCATTCGGCGTTCAATTTCTCCGCATCCTTCTTTTCCTGCTCCTCCACCGCCCCCTTCTCCTGCATGGCCTTTTTAGCGCCCTCCGGGTCCTGCATCTGCCGGAACATGGACATTGGGTCGAACCACACGTCGATTTTCTGGATCTGCAGCTTCTCGTTGACCTTGGCCACCAGCACACCCTCGATGTCGATGAGGCCGCCGTGCGCCTTGACCGTGACCTTTTCGCCCTTGCTGCGCGGTGTCAGTGTCAAGTCTCGAAATGTCAGTCTCGGAGTACCTACTCGTTGACGCCCACGTAGTCCTCCTTAAACGTCCCCCAGTGCCGCCATCGAAAGGCAACCGTGGGCGGGCCGCTGTACACCTCGAGCACCTCCCAGGCAAACGTCGGCATCATGCGCTTGAATGACTTGTGGCTCGCCTCGAACGACGATCGCATCGGGCAGTAGTACTCGTTGGACTCGATGATGGCGTTATAGGTGCCCACCTGCAGCATGTGCTCGCCCGACTGTGGCGGCCCGCCATTGACCGAGAAGGTGTACTCGAGCGGGTCGACGGTGCGCCAGTCCTTGAGGTCCTTCTTGAACGACGCCTCGATCTCCCAGTTCTTGACGAGCTTCTCGACCAGGTCGGGGAGGCTGCCAGCCGTGTGGCTCATCTTCTTGCTGTCCTTCCAGACGCCGCGCGTCTTGCTGTAGTCGGGCGCCTTGCCATACCGCCAGTTTGCCTCGTCCTTGAGGACGGCGTTCTCGTCCGTCACGTAGTCGGGGAGGCCGGGTGTCTCTGTCTCTGTCACCATTTTTTTTTTTTTGAACAAGGGAGATTGGGGAGTGGGAAACTGATGGGACCAGATGGCTGACGGACGCAGGCTATATAATGCCAGGAATGCATGGTACCACAGTGAGTCTGACTGCATTCCGGCTAGGGCACAGCCCTTCCATTGGCCGTCCACCTACCATGGTTCGACCTGAGGGCCAGGCCCGCTCGGCCGGGTTCAATGCCGAGGTGGCTTTTACTACACGGCGCCGCCAAACTCAAACCGTGGCTGCGTCTGCTAGCGAGCAACCTGTCTGGGCATCGCGTGGGGCTGGCAGGTAGCCCAGATGTTTATTGCCCTTATTTCTCTGGAGTACAGCGTACATCATCGTCATTCCACGCTGCAGACGCAACCCTCAGGCCACGCAGAGCCGCAAAACGACAGATCGGAAGTGGCCAATCAATGTGACGTAGATCTCGGTATTCGTTAGATCTGTCTCTCGATTTGCCGCTAGCCTAGGCCATGCTAGCAGGGTTGGGGGAGGCGCGACTGCAGCTTCAACATGGCCATTTCCGCATCCACCCCCACGCAAGACCCCATTTGCGCAGAAATCCCACCGCGCCTTCGCCTGGGCCTGGTCGTATCGTGAATGCTTCCACCTTCGGACGTGAAAGGACTTCTAAGCGCTCCTGCGTCTGCCACCAGTGGCGCATCGCTCACGCATTTCGGAGGATAGTCGCGGCGGCGTCAAGGCAAACAGCACATATGCCGAATAGCACCCCCTATAACGGACAAACGGTACAAGATAGGGTTTATTGTATGCTTATCTAAATCTCTGAAGAGAAGGGAAGACGGGCACGAGGCCGCGGGCCTTGTGCCCTCCTTATATACAGTGATACCCCTTTCTTGCAGGTGCGGTACCCACTACCGCACCCCTGCCGTTGCCGACGAGCGCTCTGTAAGCATTTGCCCGGTACAACACTGGTGCTCCGCACCGGTGCCCGTGCAGATCCTCCGCGCCAAGGCCTGGAACAATGTGCCGGCCCTTGGTGATAGCCTCCTTTGGAGCACGTTGTTACGACCGTACCAACAGCTAGGAGCAAGGGGAGGTAGGCGGCTTGGGCCACACCTTGGACCTCCCTACCCCACTCTGCCAGCTTGCTAACTCACGTGATACTGGCTACATAAGTAAGGGGATCTTGGATCTGTATTTTTAGGAGATAAAGGCACAGATCCAGGTAGGGATCTCTGGATCTGGGATCACAAAAAACAGAGGCACAAAGCCAAGGGAAGTCGTAAGAAGGCACCACCGGTATAAAAAGGAAGGGTTTCTGTTGCAGGCAGAAGGGATAAGCACTGTGTGAAGCTATTCCGGTTAATTTGCTCTAAGGAGGAAAGGATCTGAAGTGCAGGGCCCGTAGGGTTTCTGCCCTTTATATACACGTGACTCCCCTGTCCTCCTTGCTTACTAAGCTTTCCTCCTGATGCCTGGAAGCGTCATACGCTCCCAGGCAGAGGGACCGCTCTTCCGATGCCTTAGGCAGCTGATATCCATGCCTGAGACCTCCTCTCTACAGTGTACACTGTCCTCTTTGTCACAGTTTCCTATTGTCTTAGATAGTTCTTAATAAATGCACTGGCATTAGTTAATTTAAGTTAGCTTCTAGGCATCCCTTGGAGCAAGCATTTAAACCGCACCCAAGATCTTTGTAAATCCCCTCAGCTTGTTAAGTTACGTGCTACTGTTTAAGTACTCGTCAGGTGCCCTACCTTAGGAGCAGAGGATTAACTGTAACACACGTCCTCGACCGCTTAGCTACCATGTTAGTGGGTTGAGCGGTGGCGACAATACCTTGGGAATTGCGTCGGCCGGAGGACGTAGATATGCGTAGGAGCGGTTGTGATTCTGCACTTAGCCGTTCCTTTCTCACCGAGTAATTACAAAACTCGCGTAAACGTGGGTTGCTGAGGGAAGTTAAATATAAGCGCCAGTTTGCCAGTAAGTCTTAACGGGATCGAGTGGATATCCGCAATGTAACGAACCAATTGGGCCACCAAGCTACAAGCGAAGGCCCCCGTTTAGTAGCTGGTAGCTATAACGGACAAACGGTGCCAGATAGGGTTTATTGTATGTTGATTTAAATTTTTGAAAAAGAAAGGAAAACGGGCACAAGGCCGAGGGCCCTGTACCTTCCTTATATACAGTAATCCCCTTTTTCGTAAGTGCGGTACTCGCTACCGCACCCTTGTTATTGTCGACGAGTGTTCGGTACGCATTTACCCTGTGCGGCACCGGTGCCCGTGCAAATCTTCTGTGCCAAGGCCTGGAACAGTGTGCTAGCCCTTGGTAATAGCTTCCTTTGTAACAGCAGCTACTAAGTAAGTTTATATCCGTTTGCGATACACCCTTTAAATTGTACCGAGCGTTCGCAGTAACGATCGGATAATTTGCCCGTAGTAAAACTATTTATGTTACGGGACCAAACCAAGGTAGTACCCGTTACACCAAGGTGAAAGAGGAACGTTATTGTAGCTAAAGCTACAACCTATACGAAGTTCTTATAAGCGACCGTACCGTAACAATTTATGCTACAAAACTGTAGCTGACAACTGTGCTTACGTCAGTAGTGGACGTTTGTAAAGTGGTTGCCTTCTGGCAAAATGCAAAGGAAATTACAGGTTTTAAGCGGGTACGCTGCTAGGAATCGAACCTGCGACCTTCCGGGCCCATAACTGGAACGAACCAATTGGGCCACCAAGTTAGAAGCGGAAGCCCCCGCTTTTGGCTTAGTGGCCCAATCGGTTCGTTGCGCGCAAAGCCGGTACAAGTCCTAAGGATTACAAACCTTAATACGGTGGATCCTGGCGGTACATCCGTTTAGCTTAGTTTTATAAGGAAAAAATGTATTTTGCATCCACCGCATTAAGGGTTGTAATCCTTGCGATTTGTAAATCCTTATTACACGGGACACCGTGGCGGGACAGGAAGATTGGCCCGATCGCTTGCATAGGACAGGCGCCGGCTCATGCGGGGAACTTGTAGCGGTGAGCATTCAAACTCCGCGGTAACTGCGGAAAGGGCGTAGCTCCTCCGCGCACGGGCCAACTGCCTAGCTATATTAAGAGGACCTTTTGCCCCGATACCTCGAAGGCATTTTGTTTTTTTAAGCATTCCTTAAAGTCCTGAGTGATTCCCAGTTTCAATTTGAACTCGTTTCCCAAGCCTGTTTTGCACCCCTGTAACAATGCTACGTATAGGAAGCACTGTAATTTATAACCAAATGTGTTTTTAGCGAAAGCAAAGCAACGTGGAGGGATGAACATTGCCGTTTACTGAGCGAGCTAATGCTTTTAAAAACAAGCCGCCCATTGTTATAAGTATTTCTCGATTGGTTTTAAAGCTCCCAAAGCGCGAAGCAGTTTTAAGATTTTGTTTTGGTGGACTTAAGAGTTATCTCGATCAACACTAAAAATTGCGGGCTTCTTATGTATGTTGTCATATTGGTTATGTCGCAAAAGGATATTTGACCCACTTGGCAGCTACCGGCTATTAAGCGGGGTCTTCGCTTTTGGCTTAGTGGTCCAACTAGTTCTTTACAGGTTAGTTCGGCTCTATACTGGCCTCAACGGCTTGCAGATTTTCTAGCTAGCCGCCCAAGTTCTGCGCTGGCAGGGCAAATGGCGCCTGCATGCACAGCACCGTCCCGCATTTGTAGGTGTGGAAACTGTCCAATCGGCCTCTTTGGTTATTTGGCCTGCCCTCACCTCAACCTGCGCGCTCCCCTGGCCAATCCGACACCTAGCCGTTGAGATTTGCAGGACAGGGGGGCAAAAAAATAGTTCGGAGGTTAGTTCCTGAGAGATAAGAGGAGCCTTTTTCGCCTTTTCTCTGTTAGCCTCTCATCTCACCACCACACCGGGAACAACTCCAGTAAGATGCGGACGACAGACACCGAAAACGAGCAGGAGCCAGAGCACGCCGTCTTTACGGGTGCGAGAAATACTAGCTACAGTGCTGACAATCCAGCTACTCAACCTCGGACTGAAACAACCGGAGAAGGCAGGGAAGCACAGGGCGAGTTTAGACAAGGAGCTGAGCTGTGGCTGGGTCTGGAGTTCTACCAGGATCAAACTGCCGCCCGAGGTCAAGCTTCTGTTCAGTATTACTCCCATGTCGCTCAGGGCCAGATGAATACCAGCACCAACACCGGTTGGCAGCCAGCTTTCCCCGGATATGATCCTACTGGCGAGCCTTTCCAAGCACACACACACGGTGCCCAAGTTTCTCTCAACGCGCCTCTATTGAACACCCTTATTAACCAGCCACCACTCAACCTGCCTCCCACTTTGCTGGGTAACACCGACTCTGCATTGAGCGTGGAAACTCAGCCTACTATCCTGTGGGTTTTCACGCTCCGTCTACGGAACGGACCTGCGAGAGAGGTTAGCAGAACGCGCAGCTAACCAGGGCATGATTTCCTTGCTGGTTAGCCCCCGCCAGTGCATTCATTGTCTCAGGGTGTTCCCCAGCAACAACAAGCTCTTGCGGCATATCCGTAGCACGCATTGGGGGTACAAATACCGGTGCTGGTGCGGCTCGGAAAGCACGCGCAAGGACAACCACCTCCAGCACTGGGAAAGGCATAGCAACCGCGGCGAGCGCTACTCTCCGGCCACGGCCCAGTCGTCCATGATGTGCGGAGTTTGCGGGGAAACGACCGTCGATGCGGGTGAGCACCGCATACACGTGCAGAGCTGCGGTGATGGGGTGCCAGGGAGACCCTCGGGGAGCAAGAATGCGGCTCAGTAGGCGCTCTGCTCATGAAGTCAGTTCGGCCCCTCCGCCACGGCTTGTAGCAGGTCCATCGTGCCAAGAAACTTTCGGAACCCGCCTGCTTGGTTTGCTTGTAGTTTGGGTGTTGCGTGTCGCGTGTTCGGGAATTCAAGTTTCGTTTTCGTCCCACTGCTAGTCCAGATCTTGACCCTAGATAGGCTTGTCTCTTCCATATGATTGTTGTGCAAGTGGCTTGTGGTGCAGGGTGCCTCTAAGGCAGGGTCGTTGGCAGGTTGTTGCCCACAGGCTAGAGCCCAAGGTTGGCATCTGAGTTTTGCCGCCGTCCAACAAGACCCTGATCGGCCGCACCGGCTAGTGCTGCACCTACCAGTGCAGAGGTGCATCGCACGGGCCACAAGGTTGCACCGGCCGCCTTGCACCAACGGCACTGCGATCCGTTGGCCGGTGCCAAAAGGGGCCCGGGCAGGGGGGATACATTGCCCAAACCCTTGTCAATCGTTCGCAATTTGCACCAGCCGGTGCGGCACTGGTCGGTGCAGCCAGCCGATCACGCCCTTGGAAGTTACCAAAGGTGGGGGCCAATCAGTAGCCATCTTGTCGAAATGGCCTATTCTCGGTGCCCGTTGCTATACAGCCAACTTGGAGCAGAAACTGCCTAGGGCTGGCGGCGGGAAGCTTTGCAGGCAACCTTTACGCTGGTTCCTAACGGGTGCTGCAGGTAAAAGGCAAGTGGCCCGAGAATCCTAACAGCAAGTGCATTTGATGTAAATGTTTGATAACAAAAAAGAAATGTGAAGCGAAAAGGGCGTGCCATTAAAAGAAACAGGGGAGGAATCGAAGCAAGATGCCCATTATATATGCCATGGCCGCCTCGCTGCTTGTTACCTTTTTCTGGGTACCTCGTGGTTCGCGTCCCTATTAGCCTTTCAGGCCGACTTTTGCATCTTGTACCCCCAAACACACAGTCTTACCATTTCTTCCTGTCAGTGGCTGGACTGGAATGCAGTCCCCGCTGTTAAGGATGTGTAAAAAATGACCTCCCACGAATCATCAAATGGCCTTACGGCTTTCAGCCATGCATTAGCGGGACTTTGAAAGTGCATTTTTTGGGGCTATGCATTGCAAAACCACCAATGGGTGCCCATGCCATGTAAGAAAACTGGCCCCCATACCTAACTGCATCGTTATTGGCCCGTATTAGCGCCCGACGTGTTGAACCACAGGGAGGCCGATAATTAGGGCAGGCTGCCAATGGCTTGCTAGGCGCATTTTTTCCGCCATGTGCTCGACGCTGGGAGTATATGTCGCAAACGGATATAATAAACCCACTTGGTAGCCACCAGCCACTAAGCGGGGGCTTTCGCTTTTGGCTTGGTGGTCCAATCGGTTCGTTACAGCATATGTTGCCCGCCGTTTTCCAGGCGACCTGTATCCTTCTAATCTGCGGTCCAAACTGTATTGTTTGGGTTGCTTTATGTTGCCGGCATTGTTACCCATTTGGGGCTGGCTCGGGCACAACGTCCGTGGAAACCGTGGAGCCTCATGCGGGTATCATTAACGAATAGAAAACGCAGTAATTAGAATTACAGCCGACCGGACTTTACCCCAATTCCGTTGGTGGCCACTGTTATTCTGCCAGCAGCAAAGCCCCTCACACCAAGATATCACCGGCGTCTGGTGAACCCTATCGGAATGGTTACGCCCTAACAGTTGCCCCTGGCTTTGACTCGGTGTTTCTCCTGCCCTCAGAAGCAGCCCCGTAGACCTGGACTACGAGAGTCACGGGCACGCACAAGGGAAGAGAGCAAAGTATTCCCTGTCAGCTGTCTACACCCCAATAACCATAACCATGGCAAACGGCGGCACCGACGTCGTGTACATGTACCCGCGGCTGGTATACCGCAACTCCCTAATCAAGTTCTCCGCCCCGGCCGGTAGGCTAGCCGCACATCCGAAGCGGCGTAGACGCCAAAGATGACCCCATGGATATTGCTTCCTGGCGGCATAAGCTGGGCAATTTGCGCCATGCCTGGAACACTGCGCATGTCGTGAAAGAGAATGGTCAGGGGAACTTTGTGTCCAATACGCCGGGCTACTGAGCATAGTGTATCCCAAATGTGTAAAAGGCTCGAGTCGCCAAGCTCGACTGGTGCACTGCGTCCAAAAGCACGCCCAAGTCCAACGTGACGGGGAGCACATCCAGACATAGCTTGTGCAGGGCCTCAGCGCGCTCCGAAAGCAGATATGAGCCGGCGTAGTTGTGGGATGCGCCGTTTAAGCAGCCGGCTTGCGTGCTGTCGTCCGAGTCCTTGACGGACACAAGACCGACGGCTGGGCCCAGAAGAACGCAAGTGTTGAGCCCCCACCAGAGGAACATGGGCTCGACATAGTGGGAGTTGAAAAGCCCGGCTGCGGAGTGCGGGCCGTGCTTGTGGCCGGACCATGGCGACGATGACTTGGATGATGAGGGGGAGGAGTGCAAAGCGCGTGTCATGGGGCTTGAAAAGAGGATGATTTGCAGGCGTGTCATGCCCAAGTAGACCAGCTCTTGCAGCTTGCCGACCTGGCTGACCTGCGGAGGCTTGTGGCTGCCGGCTGACGTGCCAGGCATTGTGAGGTAAAAGTGACGGGAGATAACAAGGGATGACAAAAGGTAATAGCAATTTCGACAACCCGAGCCCAAAGCAGCTCGGCTTTATCTGTCATGACCTCTTTACTTGCAACTTAGCCAGTGACAAAGTACTTGACAACCCACTTCTGTAGTTGCATAGCCCAGTACCCATTGTCGACAGCAACCAATAGCAAAAAACCCTTTTGGCCAATAACACGGTGTTCCCGACTATACAGGTGGCCAAAATAGGGTTTCCGGGCGGGAAACTAGAAATGGCAAAATCCCCACGAGGCCATGTCTTGGGCCCTCAACCGGGTTAGGCTGTTTATCAGTAAAGATCTGCAGGGGCCCCATGTCCGGGTTCTGCCGTGGCAAAAAAGCTTGCATGGCGGGTATGTCGATCATTCGAACGCAGCGGCACTCAAACAGGGACTATTTCAGGCTTATACCACCCATGCTAAATCTCGCAGCAATCAAACCTTCAACACACCGCCCAAAAACTCGGCCAGCAGCCCGTTTACGGTTTCCACATTCTCCCAGTGCCCAGTGTCCCCCGTCGACGATCTCCTTGCGCAGCATTCCCTCGGCAAACCACGACTCCATCCCATCAGTAAGTGCCGGCGGCAACGCCTCATCTCCCGATGCCATGACCACCATGCTGGGTAGCTGGATCGGGGGTACCTCGACCCCTTCCTCGTCCTCGTAGTTGACCCGCCTGGTGCGGTACCAGTTCGTGGGCCCGCGGAAAGATCTGGCCGCAAACTGCCGCACGTACACATCCATCCAGTCCTTGCTCATCAGCTTGGCGGGCCCAATAATCCGCAGCGTCTCGGGCTTTTGCACGCCGTCAGACACGGTGAAGGACTCCTCGCCGTTTGGGCCGCGGCCGTCGTAGATGCCGTTCAGGAACCCGCAGAGATTGGCATGCGAGTCGGCGGGGTTGTCGATGACGGACACGGCCTCGTCCCCTGCAAGCTGCTGCATGTAGCGCAACGACGGGATGGCGGCCACGTAGGCGTCCAGATCGACAAAGGCCCCGCGATCGGGCGGTAGGTAGGGCGCGTTGTGGCAGATGACACCTCGGAGCAGGTCGGGTGTCCAGAGCGCGGCCATTCGCCAGGCCAGCGCGGCGCCCCAGTCGTGGCCTATCAGCAAGACCCTCTTGTCGGCGTCGTCAGCCAGGACGCGGCGTACCAACTCCCGCATGTGGGACGCCATCTCCTTCAAGCTGTACTCCTGGGCGTCATCCGGCGCAGAAGTGCCCCCCATATCCCAGCATATTAGGGGCGATGACGCGAAGGCCCAGAGGCGGGGCGATCAGGGCGGGGATTTGGTGCCGCCAGGTCCATGCGGTGTCTGGCCAGCCATGGAGCAGGAGGATGGTGCCGCGGGGGGCGACGGGCAAGGATTCGAGGTTAGTGGTAGGTTTTGCCGCTGGCCTGGACCGAGGCGTTGCGTCTTCGGGGGCTAGGGGTGACATGTTGGCAGATGCGCCCTTGACTCGAGGCTGAGGCTTAGAGGATGAATCCGGGTTGTGAGGGATTTAAATATGCGAGAAATGCGAATGCACGAGGCATTTTGCGCGACGTCGCGGTTGATGAGGATTGTCCTCATCGGTCGGAGGCCTCTCGAGAAGATTCAGTTTGCATGGAAGAAGCTGTATAGGCTGGGTAACCCGCGTTTTGGGTAATGGCTTGGTTTTCGGTGAGGGTTGTTATCGGCGTTATTGTCTGCGTCTTTATCACAGGATAATACACCTTGCAGTAAGTGTTGGGCTGTCTGCTGCATATATCCAGTCTTGTCCTGGCTGTTTCAGTTTTCCGCCACCACACGCCTCCGCCACATTAGTTCATCCTCACATCAGTTCGCCCTCACATCATCATGGCCACAGCAATCACAGAGTGCCCCAGGAAGGCGGGCTGCCCTTACCAGAAAATCCCCGGCCCAACAGCCTACCCCCTCATCGGCAGCATCCCCCACCTGGATCTCAAAGCACCCTTCGAGTCCATGCTCGCTATCCAAAAGAGTACGGCCCCATCTTCCAGATGATATTTGCCGGCAAGCGCGAGATAAGCGTCTGCACCAGGGAGCTGGCCCACGAAGTCTGCGACGAGACGCGCTGGCACAAGCTGGTCACGAGCGGCGTGTCGACGCTCCGGCAGGTGGTGCAAGATGCTTTGTTTACGGCCCACCACGGCAACAGGCAATGGGGCGTCACACACCGCATCCTCAGGTCCATCTTTGGGCCGCTCAGCATCCGCGGCATGTTTGGCGAGATGAGGGACTGCGCCGAGCAGTTGTGTCTCAAGTGGGCGCGCCACGGCCCCGAGGAGCGAATCGACCTGGCACAGGACTATACGCGCCTGACGCTGGATAAGATAGCGCTGTGCATGATGGACTACCGGTTCAACAGCTTCTACCGCGATGGCCAGCACCACCCGTTTGTCAAGCACATGGTGGCCATCCTCAGCGAGGCCGACATCCAGTCCATGCTCCCGGACTGGGCGGGCGTTTTCAGGCCCAGAGCCATGCGCAAGTTCAAAAGGGACATCCAGCTCATGACGGACCTGTGCAGGGGCATGGTGGAGGAGAGGAGGGCCCGTCCGGTGGCGAGGCACGACTTTCTCAACGCCATGCTCAAGAACGCCGACCCGGAAACTGGCGAAAAGCTAGACGACGACGAGATTGTGCGGAATCTCATCACATTTCTCGTCGCTGGACACGAAACCACGTCGGGCATGCTGTCTTTCGTGACGTACTACCTCCTCAAACGCCCCGAAGCCCTCGCCCGCGCCCAAGAGGAGGTGGACGACGTCGTCGGCACGGAGCAGATCACAGTGTCCCACATCCAGAAGCTCCCCTACCTGGACGCCGTCTTCCGCGAAGCTTTGCGCCTGATGCCGACTACGGTAGCCTTTTACGTCACGCCGTACAAGCCAGAGTTGCTTGCAGGAAAATACCTGGTCGAGCCCGGCGAGGCGGTCTGCTGTCTCCTGGATCCCATCCACCGCGACAAGGCCGTGTACGGCGACGACGCAGACGGGTGGAAGCCCGAGCGTATGCTGCAGGAAAAGTTCGAAGCCCTGCCGGTAGATGCCTGGAAGCCGTTTGGGAACGGACAGCGCATCTGCCTGGGCATGACTTTCACGTGGCAGGAGAGCAAGCTGGCCATGGCCATGTTGTTGCAGAACTTTGACTTGAGCATGCATGATCCTGACTACAAGCTCAAGATCAAGCATCTGCTAACCATCAAGCCCGACGGATTCTACATCAAGGCGAGGCTGGGACGCGGGCGGACGGCGACAGATCTGCACAGGGAGCTGCGAGGGGATGTGAGCCAAGAGGATGTAAGCCCAGTGGCACCCAGCATTGGCAGCAGGCAGATCGCAACTCTCTACGGGCCAGACACGGGCACCTGCGAAGCCCTCGCCAACCGTCTGTCCTCGCACTTGTCCTCCAGGGGCTTCAACCCGACTGTGGCGACCATGGACAGCGCCGAAAACCTGCCATCGCTGTCCGTTTTCATCCTGGGCACGTACCACGGCAAAGCAGCCGCCAACGCGAAAAGGTTCATGGCCTGAACAGAAACGCTGCAGCCGGGCGATCTGGGCGGCAAGCAGTTCGCCGTACTGGGCTGCGGGCACAGCGACCGGACCAAGACCTTTTATCTCATGCCACTGCTCCTCGACGGTCGGCTCGCCGCGTGCGGTGCCGGAAGGGTGCTGGAGATGGGCAGGATTAACAACGCCAAGGACGACGCATTCGAGATGTTGGACACGTGGACCGGCCAGCTCCTGGGCCGTCTGCAGCCCGACGCCGTAGCCACCATGCCCACTGCAGCGTCGGTAACAGTGACCAAAACCCCTGGCCAGACACCCCAGCCACCCAGCCCTCCCCTAGGCTTTTCCACCGCCACTGTCACGCAAGCAAGGGCTCTTGTTGTCGATCCAGCGACCAACCGCGTGGAGAAAGGCCACCTCGAGATCCTGCTGCCCGAAAGCATGGCTTATAAAGCCGGTTGGCACGTTCAGATCATGCCGGTAAACGACGAGGTCATGATCCAGCTTGCTCTGTCCCGCTACGGGCTGGACAGCACCGATATTGTCACTGTCAGTTCGTCCGGCTTCAAGCTCGACAACGTGCCTGTCGAAATCCCAACCGTCGCGTCCCAGATTTTTACGGGACGGGACTTGCGTCGGGCCGTCGGTAACCCGGCTGTGCTGGACCAGCCTGTCAAATACGCCGTCGACGACGCCACCCGAGCCCAGCTCGCTCAGATCAAATCATCCAACCTCGAGGCCATGCCGCAAAGCCTGCTCTCTATTCTGGCATCCATCCCGCACTCCTCTCTCCCATTGCCGCTCCCCATATTCGTCACGCTCCTCCCACGTATGCTGCCCCGGACCTACTCCTTTTCGTCTAGCCCGGACTACCTACGCAGCCGCTCCCAATCTATCAGCAATCGACTCCAGGCAACCCTAACGTTCTCCGTCGTGGACTAGTCGTCGTCTCCGACCCGCGGCGTGGGCTCAAACTACCTCGCCACCCTATCTGCATCGTCGTCGCTGTATGTTTCGATCCAAGAAGGCCAGCGAGACGCCTACCAGCGCTTTCGCCTGCCGTCCAACCCAGCCACGCCCGTCATCATGATCGCCGCCGGCACTGGCATCGCGCTATTCCTCAGTTTCGTGCAACAGCGCTCTCTCTCGCCCGCGCCGGAGCCAAACATGCTGCTCCTATTCGGCTGCAAGACGCCCGCCGACGACCTCTACCGCGCCGAGCTGGACGCACTCTCCGGAGTCGTCACCGTGGACCGTGCCTACTCCCGCCAGGACGGGAAGTATGCCACTGACCTGATCGCGACGCGGAAGGACCTGATCAGGATGTGGGGTGAGGGCGCTGTCGTGTTTGTGTGCGGGGCCAAGAAACTGACCGATGGTGTCAGAGAGGCACTTGCGCCTGTGCTGGGTGGTGACGAAGAGCGGTGGGATGAATATGTCAGCTGGGGGAGGTATGTCGTTGAGGTTTTTGCCTAGGTAGTATCGCCAGTGAATGCGCCTCAGTCACAAGTTGGACAGTGTTTGCCTTCCGCCCCGTCAAGAGGCCAAACAAGCTACAGCGGCGTACGTGGAGCTCATACCATCAAGCAGATGTCGCACGAGCGCCGACACCAGTCGTAAGACCGGACAGCACAACGATCACAGGCACTGACACAGGTGCTTTGTGCGAGATCTGGCCTCGGATGGAACCAACAGTGATGGCACGATGAATAACACTGGCAAGGCAGTATAAAAGGGAGCTCCGGGTCCTGACATGTCGTCTGCAAGCCATGCCAAAATGTGCTACATCTACCAGGATATCCAGCATTGCCGCTGCGTAAAGGCCAACGCCAAACGCTGCCCCCACGCAACCGAGCTCGACGAGGAGGATGCGGACATCGAGTTCAATGTCATCAGCCATCTCCCTCGTATAGGGTGGGTGGAAGTCCGCGGGACTGCGAGCAACGGCTGGTTTAGAAGGCACAAGAACTACCCGCCGACCTGCAGCGACTGGATCAGCGAGCCCATCGTCAAGTGGTGTGAAGCGTGCAAGAACGACTGGAACCTGCCCCGGGGCTTCTCGTGTCCCGACTGGGGCGGGAATATTGAGGATCACCACCATGTGGACAAAATGTGCAAGCCGTGCAGAAAGACGCCGTCATGCAAAGAGTCAGACCCAGAATTTGAGGGGCATGACGACAAGGGCTACAACGGCTACCTGATGAGGAAGAAGGGCGGGGCGGTAGGGTGGGCTGAGGCCGAGGTGTATATAAGGAAGAAGGCGGACAGGAAAGAGGAGAGTTGTGTGATTTTTTAACGAGCAGATACACCAGAACTCCTCGTCTCCTCAATGGCGCACACGTTAAAAACGCCAAAGACAGGAAAGAGGAGAGCTGTGCCATTTTGTAACTGGAAGCGGACGGCGAGCGGACGGCGAGCAGACAGTAGATACGTCAGAACTCCCTCGTCTCCCCAACGGCGCACACATCAAAAACTCCCTCCTCCAGCCCCGACCTCCGCAGTGCCTCCTTTAGTAGGCGCGGCGGGTCTTCCACCGCCTCCGTGGTAAGCACCCAGGTCCCCCAGTGCACGCCCATGGCTCTGGCGCAGCGCGTGTCCTTGAATATTTCGACGGCGTCAAACGGGTCCGAGTGCACGGGACTAAAAAGCCACCGAGGATCGTAGGCGCCGATGGGGATCAAGCCCAGGTCGAACGGCCCGCGCAGGCGGCCAATGTCGGCAAAGTCGGGGTTGCGCGGCAGGTCGGCGTGCTGCGGGCCGTAGTCGTCCTCGCCCCGCGGCAGCTGCGGGACGGCGCGGTAGCCCGTGTCGCCGCCGAACCACACGCTGCGGCCACCCGACGACACAGCCCAGCTCGCCCACAGCGTCGTGTCCCTATCGCTCAGTGTGCGCCCGGACGTGTGCTGGCAGGGCAGGCAGGACACGGTGGCGAGGATTTCGTGCTGCGCGTCCTTGTCCACCAGTTTCAGCTCCCTGTCCTCCCACCAGTCCATCTCGGTGACGTTGTCGATGCCGGAGGAGCGGAACCAGGACGCCAAGCCCAGGCCCACGAAGAAGTGGACGCCGGGATGTGTGGCCACCAGGCCCTTGACAGTGTTTAGCGACAGGTGGTCGTAGTGCGAGTGCGAAATGACGACGGCGTCGACGAACGGTAGGTCTTTGGGAAGACACGGCGGCGGCGTGATGCGGGCGAGGTTCGGAGGCATCCATTCCGGTAGCGGGGAGCACGTCTTCTCAAAAACGGGGTCGAACAGCAGCCGCAGCCCCGAGGGGAACTCGATAAAGTAGCAGGCGTGGCCGAGCCATGTCGCGCGGAGGGAAGCGGGCGGGGCTCGGGTCTTTAGGAGGGCGGGCTCGACTACTTTGATCTTGTGGTCCTTTCCGTTGGGCATGGCCAGTTCCCCTCGCCATTTCGCTCTGTCGATGTTAGCTGTGGCTTCCTGGCGGACTAGGGGACGTACTTGAGCGCACGCGACCCCTGTTGCGTTATGGACAGCCGCACGCCGGCCGACGGGTGCGGGTTGACAAAGCCCACGCGCTCGCCATGGCGGCCCAGGACATGGTGGGCCTTGGCGGCGGCGCTGTCTGGGACCGGGCCAGTCGTGGGGGTGACAGAGGCTGCGTAGGCCATGGGGGTCGTCGTCGTCGGCACAAGTCGCTTGGGTAGCCTAAGGGCTACAGACGGGGCAAGCGCCGTGGACCTGGCCAGCGACGACGCCATGGTTATATTGGAGGCATCGTAGCAGAAGACGCACAGCGACGGCGGGGCTCTTTTGGTGGTCAGAAACCGATCCAGCTGGCCCCGCGGAATTTCGGGATCGAATCAAGATACATGTGGGCTGATATCAGCACGTGGCAGACCCTGGTCGGTGTTTAAACCCGCGGGCTCGGGCTGGCTCTACAATCCTAAATCCGACGCGCTACATTCTTCGCATTACTACCCGTTGATCGTTAATCCCGTGCCCATCCCCTAGGCCGCCACTTGTCAGCATCGCCCAGTCGATCCGCCGTCAGCCCGGCCTGCCCGGGGTTCGCCATGCCCGATTCGAGCTGCCGCTGGTAAGATTTTTGCCGCAGCCTCTCGGCCTCGGCTGGTGTTAGATGAAGCTGAACTGTTAGCCGGATCCCACGCACTTCCAGAACTTCCCATAGCTTACATAAATCTCGATGCCCACGGCGTGCAGGGCCAAGGCCAACCACATGGCCGCGCCAAAGCTGAGGTCGATGGCCGCGCCGACGCTCTCGGGCCGGCCCAGAGTCATACTGGCCGCCACCAGGGCGTGCTGGTCCGGGTTGGTGCCGCTGTAAAAGGCGGCGCACTCGGGGTATCGCGCCAGCATCGCGTCGCGCCCGCCCACCAGGCTGGCCACCTTGGCGCATGGCTCGGGCATGTAGTAGCCGCCCACGGCCGTGACCACGTACGCGGCCAGGAACATGATCAGGCGCGCCGTCACGATGCTGCCGGCGTAGAACCAGGCCCGCAGCATCCACGCGCGGTGCTGCTCAATCTGTCGCCGCCGGATGTTGGCGTACGCCAACGCTAGCGACGCGAGGAAGGCGATCCCCAGGAACCCGACCCCGGTCTGCGTCGCAAGCGTGCCGCCAAACGCCCGGCGCGCCACCGGGAACGCGCTGGCGGCTCCCACGGTCGACAGCAGAAGCACCACATACCCGTTGGCCCTGTGCGCGGCGGTGCGGCGGCGGATGGCGGGCACGAACTGGAAGCAGGCTAGGAAAGCGGCTGGCAGCACCGTGGCCAGGTGTATGATGATGCCGATGCGCTCGAGCGAGCCGGCCGCCGAGTAGTAGAAGCACTCGCCGGGGGCGGCGTGCCGTGTCGCGCTGCTGGCTGGGCTCGAACCGGCGCTGTTGCTGCAAAAGACGCCGTCGATGTCGAGGAACGGGAGCCGCGCCAGCGTAAAGCCCATCAGCGCCCCTGCAAACACGACAAACAAGCCAAAGTTGTAGGCTTTGGTGAAGCCCAGGGGGTGGTAGATGCGGCCCATGAAGGACTTTTGTGGTGTCGGCGCTGTGCTCGATCGTGTTTCGGAAGGCAAGGCTGGATTCTGGGCGCTACTCTCGCCGTCCATGTCTTCTTTTTCTCGCGGCATGATGTCGATGTGGCTGTTTGACCGTTCGACTCTCATACCATACGTTGGTTTTTTTGCGAAAAGGAAATATTTCCCTCCCACTCGGACAACGAAACCGACATTATCCCCATCATTGCGTCCGTCACTCTCCCTTCGTCACTCAAGGTCTTTTAGTCGCCATTGTCACCCATCCCGATCCGGACTGGTCTATGAGTGGCTTGTGTGAATACCACCCATTAACCACTATTGGCCTCATCTGGTTGGCCAGCTGCCGCCCAGCCTGCTCGCTTGCGCCTACGTCCGTACCATTGGGACCAGGATTCTGGTAGCGGCCGTTTTCGCCTTGGCCAGCCATTCACCGCCATCCCTTGCTTCATATTGGGTCTGATGTCCCTTCATTCCATGCGTCGGTCCACGTGTTCGGCAGCTTTCCGTCACACTGCTCGACGCCGGTCGCCGATGGCCGCGTCGGAAGCGCTGCCCGCGAGAGGCTGCCCGCGAGAAGCTCCCGTGTCCAGAAGATGCTGTGCCACTGCTCTGCCCGACTCACTGCCGACCCCGCAGGGCAGTTTTCCCGAGACGCACACCTTAATTCAACGTCGCCATGTAGAGCACGTCGCCAACTTCTGCGACAAATATTGACTACATTTACGCCGTCATCAGCGGCGCTGCTACATATAGCTTCTCAAACCGGCTTCTCATCTTCTTGGGCATGGTCGCCATCTTGCCCGCCATCCTGTCCTGCCCCCAGCCAAACGCCGAAGCCCAGCTGTCTACGAAACCGCGCCGGCCGTCGCTGCCGAGGGCTGGCTTTTTCCATGCCTCGAGCACCGCACCGTAGTGTTCTACAGCATCCTTGAGAGGCTCGGTGGGCTCCCAGTCTGCGTTGGAGGCGACCGGCTTGGGAAATACCTTTTCGGCCGTCAGGCGCACCAGGGTCGCGTCGGCAATGTTGTAGACCGGAAGATTGTCGCGCGACTTGATGGGCTTGGGCGCCGTCACCAGCACGCCCATCAACAGCGGCATCGATCCGTCGGACGACTTGAGCAACTCGCCGACGTTGTTGTTGCCGCCGGTAGGGTCCTCGCCGGGTTTGTCTGGGGATGTTAGCTGGGACTAAAGAGAGAGGGGCTGCCGAGGGACTGCAGAGGGACTGCAGAGGGACTGCGGAGGGAGGGACGACTTACACTTGGACCATAGTCCCCGCGGCACGGATTTGATGTGCTCCTCGACACGCCACCGCGCCTGGCCACCCGCCACCTTGTCCTGGGAGATCTGGAAGGTCAAGGTCGACTCCATGGGGGTGAGTAGGCGCATAGGCTTCCCGAATACGTCGAGGCCTGCGTCGGGCGAGCCGTATGTCATGAGCAGATCTGTGACGCCGTCGTCCTCTGCCTCTGGGTCAAAGTCGCCGACCCGGTCGAGTCTGACGTAGTTTACGGCCATCTTGCAGCCGATGACAAACGAAAATGTGCCGGCCCGCACCACCCACTCGGGATTAGGCTGCTTTTCGTAGTCCTCGGACGGGTTCAGAAGACCAGACTGCGGGAGAAAGACGTGCCCCTCGTTCTTGGGCCGGATGGGCACGGCAGGGACGGCAGGGACGGCAGGCTGGGCAGCCGCGGCCATCGGGCTGACAATCTCTTCCTCGACGTCTGCCATGAGTGCCTTGGGCGCCGCCAACGCCACCGCCGGCTTCTTCTCGCTGGCCTGCAGCACGAGCTCGTAAAACTGCACCAGTCCGACAGCATGCCACTTGGCGTCGCTGTCGCCAAAGTCAATGTCGAAGCTGGCAACCCAAAAGTCGACATGGACGCGGCCGGCGACAGGCGGCCCCCAGAGGTACAGGCGGGCGCCGAGCTCGACCCCCAGCGTGAAGCTGACAAAACCGAGGTCGACCTCAAACTCGCAGCCGACCGAGATGCCGGCCTCGGCCATGAAGTGGAACGGCTTGTAGTTGATGAGAAAGTCGGCCCATGCGTCGAACCACGCCTTGATGGGCCCGGCATGGAACACGGCTTTAAGGCGGCCGCCGCCCATGCACGCCTTGGGTGTAATGGCAAAGTAGGCCTGGCCTGAGATGCTGAGGCAGCTGCCAACCTGCCAACTGATGCCGAGCCGCGGCGGGTTGGGATACCCGACGGGCACCTCAAAGGCCTGGTGGAAGCCGCCGAGGGTAAAGACGAACTGGCCGACGGTGCTCGGGTCGGCGCGCGGGGCGTCGAACCAGTAGTACAGCGCGGCGCCGCCCACGAGGTGACAGTCGGGGTGCAGCACGTACGACCGCGGGCTGAGCTGCGCCTCGGCCTTGAGCACGCCGTAGTCAAAGTCGACGACGACGCCGATGCCGAGCTCGACGTGCGCGTACTTGAGCGGCGACGCGGCCGTCGGTATGTCGGCCACGGCCACGCCAAAGATGGCCAGCTTGACGCTCGTGCCGAACTGCACCAGCACCACGGCGTCTAGCGAGATCATCTGGAAGGCGCTGATCTTCATGCCGGCTGCGAACCAGTACGTGTCGTTTTGCGGCTTGAACCAGCCCGCCGGTCCGGGGTCCGTGATGCGGAGCAGCACGTCGAGCACGTCGTCGGCGCCGGACAGTGCCGTCGACTCCACAAACGGAAATTGGGTAATCTCCTCGGGCCGCGGCAGCCGCACCGACGAGTTGTAGCCGAAGCCGCCCGTGATGCCCGAGATTTCTGCAAACTCGAGCGTGATGAGTGGGCCGTTGAGTTTGGCGAACACAAAGATGGACGTAAATGCCGGCCCGTCCTTGGGCGTGGCGTTGCCGTAGAAGCCAGCCGCCATGAACTGGTACGGGACAAAGCCGACGACCAGCCCACCGGCGTAGTAGTCCAGCTCGCCCGTGTTGCCGTGTCGGATGACACCCGCGATGGTCAGGGGCGGCTTGTTGAACACGGCGGCCAGGCCATCGATCTGCACGTCCAGGCCCGGCAGGTCGTCCAGGGTCTTGATGTCGACGCCGATACTGAAGCCGATGAGCGAAAAGGCCAGCGGGCCCATATCAAACATGGCGTCGAACTGGATGCGGATCTTCTTGTCCTTGTACTTGAGCCCGATGTTGCTGATGGACAGCGGGCCGGCCTTTTTCTTGAAGGGGGCCGTCGCGCTGGACCCGCTGTCGTCCTCGGCGGGGGCGGCGGCGGGAGCGGCAGCGGGGGCGGCGAGCGCGTGCATGCCGGAGAGGGCTGGACGCTCCGCCGGCTTGGGCTTCATGAACTCGTACGACAGCAGGCAGGTCTTCTCGCCGGCGTCGTTCTTTGTGATGACGGCTACGTGGCATCCCGCGCCCAGCAAGAGGTCGGCCGGGTTCATCTCCTTGAACTTGTCCTTGACAATCAGCTTGTTGTCCGCCTCGAAGCCCTCGTTGATCTGCTGAATGTCCTTGCGGGTCAGGCCGGCCACGCGGGGTTTGGCGGATGCTATCTTGGGAGGCGGGTCCTGGACCCAGAGGAAGTACAGCTGATCGAACGGCTGCGTAATATTGCCGACCAGGGGCACGTCGACGGGTGGCAGGCCCAGCAGGGCCACCTTGACCAGGCGTTTGGGTCGCGCCTCGGCTCCCCAGTCGGTGCTCTGCAGCTGGGCAAAGGCAAGCGACAGTCCGAGGGTGTCGCCGCCGAATCGGAGACGAAGCAGGAGCTGGAACGATGACGGCGTGGGCTTCGAGTCCGTGGGGCGGTCGTCCGTGATGGCTGGCTTTTCCTTCTTCTTCACGATGCTGAGCTTCAGAGCATCGGCTTTGGCTGCAAACGGGGTGTTTGCGACAAAGGCCGGGAGCTCGAGATCGTCCTCCAGATCCAGCAGGCCCATGATGACGTCGCCGATGGTGGCGGCCTTGTCCTGCGGGTTCACGGTGGCCACAAACGTCCAGCTGCCCGCCTTGTAGTCGTAGCTGAGAGCCAGCTCAAACACGGAGATCAGGAGCGTGCCCCTAATCTTGAGCTCGCTCGCAGCCGAGGTTGAGGGCTTGGACGTCTCGCCCGCCAGAGGCTTGGCAACCGTCACGTAGGTGTAGTCGACCGTCAGGTTCTTGACCATGATGGAGTCTATCAGGGGAAGGACGTGGTCCTTGGAGTCCTCGTCAAAGAACTCGGCCAGGGTGGAGGCATAGAGCCCCGACAGTGACGCGCCGAGCCTCCAGATTCTCTGCTCGTTTACCTTTTCGTAGTGCAGAGCGCCGCTGAGCAGGGCAGGCGCCGGGTGCTTGGAGTGCTCGCTGGGGTACAGCGCGGCGCGGATCTGTAGGTCCAGGAGGAATTCGGTGCTAGCACCCCAGGCGAACTTGGCGTCCAGAGACAGCTCACCAAGCTGCGGCTGCGGCACTTTGGACAAGGTGGGTGTTTCGGCCGTGATGGCGCCACCGAGGGCAAAGTTGTCCTTTGAGAGCTCGATGTAGGCGCGGCTGATCTTGCTAGGCACGCAGTCGGGAATGTCGCCGATTGTGATTCCGGGAATGACGTGGGCCAGGTAGATGAACTTGGCGGGCTGCGTGTTTAGTGAGGGCAGCAAAACCGTCCACTCCTCGTCGCTGGGGGACAACTTCCAGGTCGAAGTGGTGTCATAGTTGCCCCAAAACTGGCCGCGGATGGTCCCGATTCCGCCCACGTCCTTGCTCCAGGAGTACGACAGCAAGAAGGCGGCCGGGGGCTGGTCCTTGGTGTCAAATGTGGTAAGAGCCTCGATATCGAAGCTGAAGCTGGCTAGGCTGGGGCCCTTATCTTTCGGCTCTGTCTCTTCAGAGGCCAGGCCGACGCTTACCCGGCGGAGGGCTAGGTGGGAAACAAGCGGCTCTTTCTCTCCTTTATTCAGCAGCTCCCTTACCGCGTCCTTGAGAGTTGGCTCGTTGGATCGCTCGGCCAGCCACAGCAAGACGCCGTCCAGGGGGGCTTCCGAGTTGAAGAGGAAGGTGAGTGTCACTACGGAGCTTGCAAAGTCGACAGCCGCCGTCGTGGTGACCTTGGGCCCGTCGACAGCCTGGACAGAGCAGGTGATGGCAAAGGTGACCTGGCCGTCGATCAGGGGCATGGTACCGTCCGACGTCTTGGCCAGCGACAACTTGCGCTTGGTGACAGCCTCGGCGCTCTCGAGCGTAAAGCCGGGTAGGGCGCCGCTGAGGACCGTCTGCAGTGACGTGCTGTCGACCAGGCTGAACTGCAGCCGCATGATGGTCTGGTACGAGTCGGCCGGCGTGAACCATAGCGCGTTCCGCCGCCCCTTTGCGGCGCTGTCAGACTTTTTCAAACTGACGGGTATGTCGGCGATCTTGCCGGGCAGAAAGTCGCGGGCGTCCGGTATGCCGGCGAACTGGAACAGGCCGCCGACGTTGGTCTTGATCTCCTTGGTGTCGGCAAAGGTCTGGTCAAAGTCAAGGCCGCACACCAACACGGCGCCGCCTTTGATGAGGCCCGGAGCCGGGATCGGGGTGGAGTCGAAGGCCGTGACCAGGACGTCAGAGTCCGAGCTGAATGACAGGGGCACCGGCCTGACAAGATCGATTTGGAAAGACGTGATGACCTTGGCTGCCTCGGGGCCGGTGAGAAGCACCGAGGCAACTGCGTCCATCTGTGCAAACCATTGCGCTGTCTCGTCGGCCGCATCGAGATCGGTCGGCACTCCCTTGGGTGCGGCCGCGAGGATGAGCTTCCTCTCGGGGCCGAGGGCGGCGACGAACTTGTCGGTGTCGCCGCCCGAGAGAACCTGGCCGACGTAGGTGCCGGTCGGCTTGACGGCGGTGCTCGCGTAGATTGTGTACGACATGTCGGCTGGTGTCTAGTGAGGGCATCTACGCGTTGCCGTCTTGGCTGGCCTCGTCGATCTGGATGGCTATGGGGTCCAAACACGCTCGCATGGTTCCAGCCAGCGGCTCCCTCAGAGCCTGCTCCCCCAGAACCTGCTCATCCCTGGCAACCTGCTCCCCTCAGAACCTACTCACCCATCCTCGGAACTGCTCCATGTATCGGTACAACCCGAACCGTTCTTCAGCTTCAGAGGCCGAGAATATCGCCGGGCTGCAGCTGGCGGGCTACCGAATTGGGTTTGACCGGTCTGGGCTGGCTGAAGCATCTGCCACGTTAGTGTTAGCGGTGATAGCTGTGCGTCTTCGGGCATGTTGGTGCATCACAGCGTGGGGATGGCCAGTGATGGCGTCGTGACGTGCCCCGTTAACTGAATTCAACAGCCGCTAGTGTCTGCAGGTGTTCTGGGCGTCAGTGGTCTGGATGTCCGGGAGCTCGGGCTGTCCTTCCGATCTGTCACGCAAAGACCCCGCACCGCAGCGTTACAACATGCACCCCATGGGTATGACGCCAGGCGGGGTCAGTGCATGGCCTAGACCCTTGGCCAAATTTCAGCTGTCAGCAGCCAGAGCATTCCGATCCTGCTCTACACGCACACACACACACGCCTCACCTCAATCCAGCCCTCACATTGGCCATTGCCTTCCGTATACGCGTGATGTAGCTTCACGTCGGCAGCCGGGCGCCGGCGCTCGACAACTGCTCCGCTCCATAAGGCTCGGACTCACTGGCAAAGTCGCGGGCAGTCGCGGCAGTCCGACAGTCGCCGAGAGTCCACGATTGCGATCCAACAGTCCTCAACATGGCCTCCGACCCGGTACTGCTACCGGTTCAGCTCGACGCCTTCGTCCTCAACCCCTCGGTGTGCGGCACTGGAGAGCCCGCCGACAAGGACGCGCGCATCTCGCCCGTGTCGCAGCCAAACTACACCTTTCTCCGCCTCGACAACTTCCTCCTCCAGCCCGACGTCCAGTCCCACGCGACGCTCCATAGCACCGCCCCGGCCGCCCTTAACCCGCGCCTGACCGACCTTGGGGCCCGCCCGCCCAAGCCGCTGCGCCATCGTCACGGCGTCTACCTGCACTGGACGCTCCCGCGATGCTACCGTGCTGGTGTCGTCTCGTCTGGTGATGCCGTGCCCGCCGAGCGCGCCAGGGACGACCGGCGCAGGCGCGGACTCGACGTGCCCGCCGAGTCTGAAACGCCCCTGTCGTCGTCGCCCGAGTTTACCGAGCCGCCGACGCGTTGGCTCGTGGTCCGACAGATCGATGTGGACAGCATCAAGCCCGAGGCGGCGCGGGCCGCGTTCAAGGACAAGGAGTACCAGGGCTGGGTAATTGAGAGCGACTATCTCTGGTCCCTGGACAAGATCCCGCTGGATATGGACCTGCAGACGGACATGGCGCCGTTCGTGGTGGGCCAGCCCGGCCCCGACGTGCGCATCGAGCAGCAGGCCGAGGTCTTTATCGGGCGCAAGTACTCGCTCGAGGAGTGGAAGGGCGCCGCCGCCGAGAACCCGCAGTCGAAGCCGCCCAACATCAGTCTCCTGCGGAGCAGCAACCAGTTCTTTGCCGACTTTCAGATGCACAACGCCAACGTTTTTAGCATGCTGGACAACTTTCAGTACGCTGCCGCCGACCCCAAGGCCAAGACCGAGGCCAAGTACCTCGACTCTGCCGTCGCCAACTATTACCTGATCGGCTGGCACTGGAAGGCTGATGTCGATCCGCTGTGGCGCTCCGGGCGCAACGGGACGCACGCTCAGAGCATGGAGACGCTGTTCATGAAGATGATGGGCAAGGCGCCTGGCGATGGCTGGCTGGATGACAAGTCGCAGCTGCGGCTCGTCTGCCACGGAGCCATGTACAACGTCATCTGGGACCACACCAAAAAGCCGTCCAGTGTCCCTGCGGACCGCTTCTCGCAGCGCCTGCGCGACCAGACGGTGCCAGCCGTGTCGGTTGGCACAACGCCCATGGACGCGTTGGTCTCATACTGCAGCGCGCGCAAAGGCTCCGATGGCGACTCGCACGAGGTCCAGAAGATGGAGGAGGACATCCTAGCCATCTACTCGCTGCTGCATGCGCGCGATGACGGCGTCGAGGCCCAGCGCGAGGCCAAGGACTCCATCTACAACTGGGCCTACTCGCGCGGCCAGGGCGGCACACGTTTCCACTTTGCCGGAGAGGACGCCCAAGGCCAGCCGCTCAAGCCGAGCCCGGACGCCGTGGTCAAGCTGCGGCTCCTCAACCAGGCCCAGGCCCTGCTGGACGCGTGCAGCCGCGCCCTGATGCAGTACCGCTGGGACGTCTTTTCACTGTGGTGGAAGTACGTCAGCGACGTCAGCAACAAGAAGGATGGCGTCCAGAATCTCAAGTTTAAGCGCGACACGGAAGCCGCCACGACCAAGATTGCCGAGCTGGAGAAGCGCATCAAGGTACTGGCCGGCGACGTGGACAAGCTCAAGGCCGATTCGGACCTGTCCAATGCCAAGCCCGGCTCTGAGCCCTTCTTTTACCGTGCCCGCGATCCGACCGTCCTTGTAGGCGGCGTGGAGTCTGGCTGGGCCACCGATTTCCTCGACAAGGTCAACGTGCGTGTGCCCAAGGCGGCGGTCACCTACCAAGCAGAATGGGGACTCCCACCCGGCCTCAAGGCTCTGGTTGCTCTGGTTCGCACCAAACTTCCTTCAGATATCGCCAGTGCCGGCGAGGCTCTCTTGTCAGAATTCCACGCCCTGCGTAGCAGCCTGGACGAGCCCCTGCCCGAAGGGAAAGAGTATCCCCAGTTCCACGACCAAAAGACATCGGACAAGCGGTGGCGGGACCGCTGGGACCGACAGCCGTGGTTCCCACTGTATGCCGAGTGGGAGGCCGAATACACGCACGTGCCGTGGGAGAACTGGCGGTTGGACGAGCAGACTGCGCGCCTGTCGGCCAACAAGACTGTCCGTTACGGCATCACGACGCCTTCGGGCAAGCCGCTGTGGGAGGAGCTCAAGGGCCGGCTCGACACGCGCGTCCTGTCTGGTCGCGTCCTAATCCTGCCCCAGCCCAGCTTCTCGCTGCGTGCCAAGGTCACTCAGCTGTTTGACAGCACGCCCGCGTCGGTGCTGGACAAGTACCTGCCAGAGGCGGATCGTACGGCGCTGCTGGCCAACATTGACCAGCTTGCGTATCTCTCGTCACCCCTGGCCGGCTTCACCGATGGCCTTCTCACGCTCTCGCAAGGCACACACCTGAAGCCCGAGAACAAGACGGTCAACAGCGCAGGCGCCGAATCGAGCAACGCCATCCTGGCGGCCGTGTTTGAGGATGCGGGCTTCTCGGCCTCGGCCATCAACCGCATCCAAAACAACTCGGCCGTGACGCCGTATGCGGCCCGCACGCGCTTCGTCGACAATGGCTACTCCCCTTTCAAGCCCGTCACGCATGGCCAATTCCGGTTCCTCAAGTTCAACATTATCGACAAGTTCGGCCAGGCCCTGATGGCCATCGACCCAGAGCCCAAGGCGACCGGGCCTGATCCCATGTACCCCTGCATCAGCGACTTTTACGAGCCCCAGCTCGTAGTGTCCGAGGGTAAAGACAACGCCAATACGGTACTAAAAGAACGCCCTGGCCTCTGCGAGTTTATGCAGCTGCCACCCTCGATCAACCAAAACGCCCGCTTCAACGCCACGTTTGTGCGGCGAGTTCGCGACGACCCGCCCGAGCTGAGGATCCCGCTCAACGTTCCAGGAGGGCCGTCGGCATGGCGGCCAGCGTCCGAGTGGGAGAACCCGATCTGGGGCTGGATCATCACCAACTACGCCGACTACGGCATCCAGCTCTTCCGCACCGACGGCACATTTTACCGCGAGGTTCGCTTCGGCGGTCCCCTTGGCGCCTTGGCCGCCCCCAAGTGGATTCCCTTTGCCCCTGTCCCCAAGTCCGACCCCAACACCTCCCAGCTGGACCTGCTGGCCGAACGCCTGACGGACGTCACCTACCTGACTGGCTTCTGGCACATGATCACCACTGCCCAGGACGCCCTCCCGCCTGCGCCCACGGCGTACGCGCAGTTCCTCAACTCCATCGTCGGCAAGCCCCTGGCCCTGGTCAACATGGGCTGGTCGCTGGAGCTGGACGGCCCACCGCTCGTGACACAGTCGACCAACGCGTCGGTCAACAAGCCCGAGGTCATGCTAACGGCGCCCCAGCCGGACGACAAGAGCAAGCGCTACAGCTTCCAGGTTCGCCTGGGTAATCGCGAGAGCGAGCACGACGGGCTGGTCGGCTACTTTGACGTGACGGCGGCGTCCGACAATATCAAGGACGCGTTCGACATGGGCTACATCAACACCTTTTTCGCCCCGGACCCGCGTAGGGACGAAAAGCCCCTGTTGCCGCTCAAGCGCCTCAACTCGGACACGTACCCGACATTTACGCCGTACTGGCAGGCCCCATTCCCGACGGCGCCGCCGTACGACCCGGCCAGCCTGGTGTCGGCTCAAACTTACGACGACCAGCGCAACCGCCGCATGGCCGTCTACGGCGCCATCGTGGACCCCTTTACGCCCGTGCACGCCTACAGCAGCCTGCTGCCGCCGCAGACGCTGCAGCTGCCTGGCTGGACGTGGCAGGCCGCCCTGAACAACATGACGGCCTTTTTCCACGCCGGGCCCATGGTGCTGGTGGACGACGTGGGCGGTTATAACGGCGAGCCGCTGACGGCCGAGAACTGGCGAAAGGTGCCGGCCCGCAACGTGGCGCTGCCAGGGCTGGGCGCTGGTGAGTGGAACTGGCTGCAGCCGTTTGATCTGGTCACCGAAGAGCTGCTCAAAGCCGGCTCGGACACGGTCGAGGTCGACGACGGGGACGTGGACGTGGACGTGGACGATGGCGTCGCTCCAGTCTTCAACGCGTACGGCATCGAAAAGAAGGGCAACCTAAACAAGCCAGGATTCGAGAAAGGGCCGTACACGGCAGTGGAGGGATTTTTGCAGCTGCGGAACCCGCTGATGATGCCCAAGCCGGAGAAGGGAGTCTAGATGTTCATTCATGTACGCTATCTACCCGCATAGCTATCACTACAAAACCTTGTCCTTCAGGTGCGTAAACGACCCCGGCTTGTCCTCCCTCGACACATAAAACACGTGGTTCAGCCGGTTGGCCGTGCTCACGGAAATCTGAGTCGTCGCGTTGGCCTTGGGGCTGCCCTCAAGATAATCAGGCTTCTGCCACTTGCCGTCCACCTTGACGATGCGCCGCAGGTTGTCCTTGGAATCGGTGTAGTACAGGTACACCTTGTTCTCGAAAAAGGACAGGCCAATAGTGGTCGAGTCCTTGGCGTCGTTGGTGTTGGCAATGTTCCAGCCCTGCTTGTCGTTGACCGAAAACTCCATCAGGTGCCCCTCGATGCCCTCCTGGTACACGACGTAGCGCTTTCCCGCGCCGCCGTCGGCCTGGGCGTCGTAGTAACTCCCCAGCGACGAGTTGGGCAGGACGGCCTGGCTCTGCAGGTACGTGCTGGTCGACCCCGTCTCGAGGTCGTACTCCTTGAGCGTCGTCTCCTGCGCGTTGGTGCCGTTGAGGTAGTAGACCCAGGCCGAGTCGCCCGAGCTGGCCAGGTCGACCTTGAGGTTCGCCATGGCCGTCGTGTTGAGCTGCTGGTAGACGGGGCTGACGATGGAGACGTTGTTGACCGTCTGCTCCGAGTTGGCGTCGAGCCGCGGCCGCGTCACGCCCACGACGAGGTTGACGCCGCGGTACGTGGCCGCCGCGAGCTCCGACGGGTTGAGGATGTTGCCCTGGTGGTCGTCATTGTCGGCGGCGAAGGTGACCTGCTCGCCCTTGGACTTGTCGCCGGTGCGAAGCGAGAGGCCGAGCTGGCCGGCCTTGGTGTTGTAGAAGAGCTGGATGCTCTTTTCGTCGGGGACGGCGGGGTTGACGAGGGTAGCGATGGCAGGCATAGCGGCGAAACAGCGGAGGTGCAAAGTCAAGAGAGTAAGTCGGCGACAGGCGAAGCGATGGTCGTCAGAAAGAGCAAGCTGATGAACACGGAACGATAACCAGATTACAGAGAAGACCAACCCGCGACAAAAGAACAAATCTGGGGACGCCCAGACTCCCCATATCCAGCCGGCGTCTGCCCTCACACGCCTCCTTGCATCCCGAGATGTCGCGAGGACGAGCCCAGACAGCGGGGTAAGGCGCTAACGGCGCCTCCTGCACCGTCAGCCAGCTGAAGGCCCAAAAGCAAGAACTAAGTCCAGGTGATGCGCCAATATTGCAACGATGCAGACGGTGCAGCCCTTCGGAGATGTTGCACTCCAGGGCGTCTTGATCCACGCCCCGACAAATGCATATATTGACAGTGTCAGCATTCAGCTGCTGCAACCCGAGCGGGATTGCCTTTTTGGGCAAGGTGCATTTACCTGCAGACCAGCTTCTAGGGCTGCATGGTCTAGAACCCAGGGGTCCATCCTAGCTACGCCAGCCACTGGATTCCGTCACCATCCGTCAGTTCTGTCGACCATGTCGGCATCGGGGCCCCTAGCAACCTGGCGCGTCAAGCACTATCAATCCCGATCTAGAGCATTGCCTGTTGGTGTAGTAAGATCTCGCCTGTAGCAAGCAATCTGTGGTGTTGGTACAGCAAGCCATCCCCGCATCGCCAACATGCCCATCTTCTCGGGAGGCAAGAGCACCGCCATCAACTCGCCTCGCCATCTGACCCTCCGCCATGCCCGCAAGGTGGCCGAGGCGCAGCGGCGCGAGCTCAACCTTCCGGGGCCCGCTGAGGCCGGGGCGCTGCAGGTCATGAGCCTGCCGAGCTCCAAGGCCATGGCGTTTGCCGTGGCTACCGGCGAGGATGAGGATCCGCTCGACAGTGTAGAGCTCAAGCCCGGTGAAGAGAAGCTCAACTCGTTCTGGGCGCCTGGCCTGATCGCCGGGCGCGCCCACCACATCAAGGTCCGGCAGGAGATCGATGCCAAGAACGCTACCGGTGACAAGTCGAGCGAGAAACTGCGCCTGACGGCCGAGCAAGAGTTTTTTGTGGACGCGCCGCAGTTTTCGTTGCCCGACGGCAGCGTGCACTCAGTTCATCCGCCGCCAGGCTACGCCGACGATGCCCGGGTGCTGCCGCACGTCGTCCTTACGGACCCGCATCTGCCTTGGGAGCGTGACGGCAGCCCCTTGACTGAGGGAGAGAACGACCCGGATCCGCGCAACCGGGTGCCGTGGCTTGTGCTTGTCTCCTTTCAGCAGGATGAGCTTCTCCTGCCCCCTGAAGATCTGGAAGGCATGTTCAAGGCCACCAGCGCTGGTGTCATCAAGCCCGTGAAGCAAACGCCGACCATGACGGTCAGCACGAGCATCGCGGATCTGTGGGCACTGGGCTCAAACGATGTGACGTCCCCTGTCACCTCCGACCTGGGGCCAGCGTCCATGAAGGACAGCCGAGGCGACTTTGTATTTCTCAAACCTGACCTTTTCCAGGCCCTCTTTTCCAAGTTCGAGGGCGGCAAGCGGATCGACTCTGCAAGCCCCGACACGACAGTCTACCGCTTCATGTCGCATGTGCGCAAGATCAACGGCTCCGGCATGGCACTGGCCGGCGTCGAGGACACGGCCATCTTCTCCATCGTGGTCGGCAGCCGTGCCGGTCCGCTCGATATCAAGACCCCAACCGTCGTTTCCACACACCTGCTCTCCATCGAGGGCGTCGAGAACATGAAGCTGCCAGTGGCGTCCAAGTACGTGGCCCTGTGCTCACTGCACAGCTGGAACTACACGGTCCAGCCGCCCGGTATGCTCAACGTCCACGAGGGCTTTGTCGACCTTGGCCGCAAACTCGACGTCCTCGGCCCGCCCCAGCGCATCCTGGACAAGGTGCGCTCCGCCACCGATGCTGCATCCGTCAGAGCAGCAGCGCGCCTGGCCGACGGCTACTCGATGGTGCGCTACCGGATGCAGACTGGAGAGATCACGGCGGCGCTCTTCCGGGGACCCTTCACGCCGACGGTGGTCCCGCCGCTGGCCCACCTGGACAAGTGCTCCAACTCGGGAATCGACCTGCAGATCCTGGACAAGGAGGTCGGCCTGGTCGACATCTCGTACTCGGTGGCCTGGCAGGTCGGCCGCACTCTGGCCCTGGGCGACGAGGGCTTCACGGCCGCGCTGGGGCGACTGCGTACCATGATCCAAGAGCCAGCCATGCGCGAGGCCAAGCGTGACATTGTCAACAGCGCCGGGGCCAACGTTCTCAGCCGCGCCGAGCTGCTGACCGACCTAGCTGGCATGGTGGATAACCTTTCCGCGGTTCAGCTTGGTGGGGACGGCGACGGCACCATATTTGAGCCTGGTGGCCCCAGAAAACGCTGGTTCCGCCACCGTCTGACACGCCGCGAGATTCCCAACCTCAGCTACACGTCAGCGGCTGTCAAGGAGAGGTATCCAGACACAGCGCTTGCCGCGGCGACGGCGTTGGCTGCCAGCACAGACGGGACCATCTTCAACGAAACCAACATCCCGGTGTCGACCGACTGGATGCTGGTGCTTTCGTGGCTGGTCGACCGCATGTACCTGGCTGGTGTGCCGGCGCACTACCTCATATCGGACCCGTCGCACCTCGAGCCCGAGTCGCTGCGCTTTTTCTACATTGACCCGAACTGGGTAGACGCGCTACTCGACGGCGCACTCAGCCTTGGGAACCACCTAGGCTTTGACCAGGACCGCGTCGCCATCAAAAAGGCTCTCAACATGTACATCCAGAGCACAGAAACCTCGCCCACGTCGCCTCAGATCCCCACGTACGGCTTCTATCTACGCTCCGACCTTGTCACTATGTTTCCGGACCTGCGCGTTACGACGCTGCCACCGCGGCCGCTGCTGCTAGACGGCCCGCCAGACCGAGCGCCACTGCTCCGGCACGAGATTGTGGCCGACGGCGTCATGATGGGCCTGTTTGACCGGCTGCCAGGCTCGCCCGAGTTTACCAGCCTCGTGTTTACACAGCCGCCGCACCAGCAGCGCTTCGCCGCGGGCTTTCTTGTAGAGGAAGCCAAGCTCGGCGTCGAGGTCAAGCGGCAGTACACTGTCGATCAGCCGACGCGGGAGACGGACGAGAACCGCCACGACACACTCAAAACCATCTACTATACCCCCGACTCGGCCGACAGCCCCTTTGTGTGGGGATCCGAGCCCGGAGAGACGGACCTGCGCCTGCTCCAACCCGAGAAGTATGCCCAACTGCAGATCGCCACGCTCCAGTCCATGCCAACACAGCCAAACAAGCCCGACGGCACGCCAGGCGACCCGTACTTTTCCGAGGACAAGCCCACGTCGGCCCTGCTGGCCATGCAGCTCAACGACCCCAACTACAACCTGACGGTCAACTTTGAGACGCCCGAGGCTCGTGTTGCGCTAATGGCCTTGTCGGGACCCGACGATGCGCCCCGCACACTGCTCCGGCTGGAGCCGCCGACTGTCGAGCGTATAGGAGAAGAGGACAATGCCAGCGACGACGAGTCCAGCCCTTGGGATGGCTCTGACGACGAGACGGTGTACGAGAGGCACGAAGCCTACCAGGCCCCCAAGCATCTCTTGGCCAGCAATGCTCCACATGTCGGACTCCTGCCGTCTGTCAAGCTGGCAGAGGACGACAGGGTCAAAGGGCCGATTCCCGTGCTGGCGGCCATGGCCATGGCGCCTGCATCTGTCTCTGCAACCGGCGCGGCCTCGCGAGCATCCGCCCCCGCTTCGTCACCCGTCTTCGACACGGTCATCAACAGCCGCGGCACCAACACGGTCGTCCTGCTGCGCACGCCCAACCTGGCCCAGGATCTTGTCTTTAGCATCCGCGTGGCCAGCGACAGGGCCAGCCAGTGGCGCCTGCGCGAGCTGTCGCTCCGGATCGAGCTGGGCGCGCCGGCCGCCACCAAGCAGGACCGCGTGTACCTGATGGAGCGGTACGACGGGCCCGGCCCCGCCATGCTGAGCAACCTGCGCTTCAACGTGCTGGCGTCGAACCCAACCATCAAGGGCACGCGCTACCTGCAGCTGCGCCTGCTGCCGCGGTCCAGCAAGGGCTGGATCGACATGTCGACCGTGACCGACATGAGCTTCCTGTTGTCGCTGGCCAAGGTGAGCAGCCTGCCCGAGCGGACGAGGCAGCTGATGGTCAAGAGTTGGGCCGACTACATCACGGAGCAGGGCATCATCACGACGGTGGACAATGTGGACACGCTGGTTACGGTGGTGGATAGTAGGTTCAGTACAGTCTAGTATCTGAGTATCTGGGATAATGCCGTTCAAACCTGCAAAGTTTGCTGTCGCTTGATCTCCTCTTCGATATGCCCTCGGCACCCTGACTTTTCGCACTCCCTGAGCTTGAACTCCATGACATCATCCGCCTGAGGAAACCGGTCTTCGCAGCTCCATCTCTTGTCCACCTTGTTCGCATCCGCGGGCTCAAAAAGAATTCGGAACAGCTGGATCGCCGTCAAGGCCTTGAACTGGATCAGATTGCCGCTCCGCCGAAGCTTGGAGGCACCCACACTGATCAGCGTCTCCGTGACCAGCAAAAACACGAAAATGGTCGCCAGAGCTATCAGGCCGGTCAAGGAAAAGGTCAAGACCTCCGGGCTTGTGATGACAAAGTTGCCGGCCCCTGCGGCCGCCTGGCCGTTGGCGTCCTGTAGCATGTTTGGCCAGCCCGCGTTGGACTCGTACATGGTGGTGTCGACAAAAACATTCTTGGTCCCCACATAGCTGGCCATGACCAGGCGCTCCATGTCGTTTTTGATGCTGGATGCGCCCGCGTCGATGACTCCGTTGGGACTGGTGGTCCGCGATCTCAGCGCCGAGTCGCCACTGGCGTTGCCGAGCTTGACGACAAGCGGCACCGCAAGGGCGGCCTCGAGGACCTTGAGCAGAACCTGCTCGATCTTTATGCCCGGGATGTTTTTGAGATCGTAGATGGAGTTGACCGTCTGATCGCCATAGGACCACGTGTCCTTTTGCCAGCAAGAGAGGACGGGCCTCTTACGCTTGATCCAGAAGCCGGCCTGATAAGGCGCTTTGGGGGCAGCGCCGCGCGGTTCGGTTGCATACCATGGATTTGAGCCCATGGAGATGCTGGCTCGATGCGACGACCAGATGAGGATGACAAATGTCATGTTTCCCGTTCGCACGGCCTCGACGACCGAATCCCGATCGTCTGGGATCAGGAAGCTGGCCTTGGGGGCGTCGGCGATACTTGTGTTGTCGATGGGAATGGAAAAGTTGCGCTTGCCGTCCCATAACGAATAAAAGTCGGCAGTGGGCCGTTCCTCGCGCAGCCAGCCGTACTCGGTCCTGCAAGAGCCATTGACTTGAAGCTTGAGCATGGACCCTCGCTGCAGCCCGAATTCGTACCCGCTGACGTTGTAGCTGTACGTCACCTGCTGGACGGACTCGGTGTTGTTCCATTGCCCCATGCCCTTGGTCGCTATCTCTATCCTGCGTCGGAACGTGGCACCAGCAGCTTCTACGCTACCCAGTGCGCGCATGACAGCAGGGGCCTTGAGGCCAAAGTTTCGGAGGCTGCCGGCAGGATCGGTGTCACCCTCGGACGGAACTGGGTAGTAGACCGAGTCCTGGTCTGCCGGCGCGACGGCGCCGAGCACCACGAGGCCAGGCACGACGACGCCCATTGCTTTGTCGACCCCGAACACGGTCAGAGCTATAGTGGCGAGCAAGAGACCGTACGCACAGTCCTTTTTCCACGAGCTGGCCTTGTACGGGTATGGCTTGGGCTTGGGCTTGGGGGGTTGGGGGTCTGGCTGTGAAGATTCGGGCTTGTCGGTTGGAAGAACCGTCGCTTGGGCAGTCTTTTCGTCTGATGGCGGAGCTGCCACTTGGGCAGCTGGCTCCTGCTCGGGCTCGGGCTCTGGCTGGGGGGAGACACCCGTCATCTTTTCTTGGTCATATCGTTGCTCTTGGGGTGGTGAAAAGTAGTGCCACGTGTAGGCCACCATCTCCCTAAAGGCAGACCAAGGATCGTTGCTGTTCCAAAGCGTGACCAGGGCGGCATACCTTCGCCGAAAGTGCTGGTCCTGAAGCAACACAGTGAAGAAGATGAAAATATTCCAGAGCAGCATGAAGATGAGCCCCATGGTGACGGAGATGGCCGCCGACACCCAAACACCATCTCTGGCGCTAAATGCGATGGCCCATCTTTCGTTGCCATCTTCGGTGGTCATGTAGAAAGGGGTGAGGAGCATGAAAGAGTGCTTGGATGGTGGTACGTTGAGATCCATCTTGACGGTTGGCTAGCAGTTTCTGGCTGCTAACTGCTGGCTGTTGTTGCTGTGAAGGACATGCCGAGCCTGCCGACTTGGGTCTTATATGCGCATCTACTGAGGCAAGGCTACAATATCAAGTTTGCCACCATACTCTGTGGGATGCCAGATAGTCGACGGCGCCTTGACCGACCGGGTTCTGGCCGAGTCCATTTGTGCCCAATCCTCGACGGGCGCCTCGGGCGCAACATGTCCTTCCTCGCTCACCCTCGAATCTTCCAATGGCACCGGCAGTTAGAGTTCGGAGACGAAATGCAGTTTGTGGCTTGAGTCGTGTCCAGTTGGCGAGTCCAGTTAGCGAGTTCAGTTAGCGAGTTGTGACCGAGAGGATGTCAGCTCTTCCCTTTCAGTCGTCAACTAGGCGAGTCCAAGACTAGCTCCCAGCCTATAAAGCAATACTCCGACAGCGGGCTGCGGGCACATGCTCTTCCCCGCATTGCCTGGCCTCGCCGTCCAATCACCGCGTGGTGACGAGGAGTGCATTCACCAATGGAACTGCCCTCCAGCTGGCCTCGCAGGACTGGCAAGCCACAATATGCGCCATGGACCTTCGGGCCGAAACGCGCATAGGTTTGATGCCTCTCGGTTCCCATCGGCGGTCGAATAAAGGCAGTTGTGGTTTTCAATACGCAACTCGCAGCAGAATGCCGGATATCCACCACTTGCTGTCCGAGACGATGGGCGGGGTATGCCGCGCCGAAGAGCCTCCTTGTGCTGTTAGTTACCCAGTTCGGGCACTTTACGCCCGGGTGACGTGGGAAGAGCTCAGTTGGGAAGAGCTCCATTGAGGCACCCTGTTTGGTGGGTTGATGCGGTATTCACCTGTCGCCGGGTACCGGACCGTCGCGAAGGCAGGCTGCCGGGGATCCGGTGTCTTGGCGAATCTCTTTTCCGAGCAGGCCGGTATCTGGGCTTGTATATAACCCAGAGGGTTGTTCACATAGGTGTACGATGGAAAGCATCAAAGCAAGCACAAGCCAACATCTGGTTTACCATCTGCATACAGCAACAGCCGTCCCTACCCCCTCTCCATGATGCGCACCCTAACATTCTTGGCCTCCTGCGCCTCTCTGGCCATCGCGCAGTCGGGCTCGCTACAGCAAGTGTTGAGCGAAGGCGGGCTTACCGACTACCTCAACCTGCTCCAAAGCGTCAACTCGCCGGTCTTGACCGAGGGCACCAACCTCATTGTCTATGCCACCATAAACGCCGCGTTCAACGGCAACTCGACCATCAAACGCCGCGACGAGGCTGCCGAAAATGCAGCCTTGGCGGCAATCCAGACTTCCAACAGCGAAGCAACGTCGAGCGCGAAAAAGCGGGACGCGAGTCTTAGTTGCGGGCCCGGGGTCGCGCGGCGGACTTGGCTCAGCGACCCTCGCTGGGTGAACCTGGGTCCCGGACGCAACCAGACCGTGGTGGAGAAGCAGCTGGCCTCCTCAGGGCCCGTCGTCCTCACCGGCTTGGGAGAAGGCATCAGGGTGACGGGCTCGGAGCTTCGTTTCGACCGCGGAGTGGTCTACCCCATCGCAGAGTACGTTTTATCCACACGTGCCCACCATGCTGAGACTGACAAGAGCAGCTTCTTCAAACTGCCGGCGACCGTATCTGAAACGCTCCCTTTTGTCGGTGCCGAAAAGTTCAAAGCTGCCCTGGACCGGGCAGGAATCCTCCCCGGGCTGGACAACACGACCGCCATCACCGTCCTTGCGCCCAGCGACAGCGTTTTTGCCAAGGCCGGAAACTGGACTGCTGCCCAGCTGAAGCAGCACATCATCGTGGGGCACGTGATTTATAGCACGCAGTTCCGGGATGGGCAGGTTCTGCCCACGCTGGGCGGAGGCTCTGTGACCGTCTCGGTGCAGGGTGGCATCATCAGCGTTGGCGGGGCGCGCATTGTGGCGAGCGACGCCATTATAAAGAACGGTGTTATTCACACCATTGGCAATGTACGTGCCCTTGACTCGCCTGGATAGCAGAGCTGACGCGATATGCAGGTCCTGAAGCCCACGACACCCACCCCGGTGCCGTCGACTGTGCCGGTTGCGGCCGGAGCTATGCTAAGGCCACTGGTATGGCAGGCCATGGTTATCGGCTTTGCGGTGATGCTTGGGCAGTGGTAATGTGAGCAACCTTGGCTAGAGAGGAGGTTGGTATTTGTGACGAAATCTTACGACGGGCTTAATGGTCTTTGCTAGCGTTGAGGGATTTCCTTGCAACTGGGCGTATTTGAGATAATATGAGATCCGATGCCGCGTGTGGTGCCACCGCAGATGACAGTAGCCGCGCACGTGACATGATCAGCCATTGCATTTTAGCACAGGTCACGTCTCAGCTTGGCAGAGGCATGGACAGTACGAACACGGGTACAACCTGGCACTGCGCAAGCGAATGCGAAGTTGGCTGGACCCGTGTAATCGAAACAAATGTGCGGACAGGTGATGCGGCTGCCAAAAGCACAGCAACACCGACGGACCAGATTGCGGGATTATGCCGTCGGACGGATGCAAAATCCAAAGGCGTGCACACGTTCTAGACTCTGCCGCTGGGTGCGTCCGTCCCATCCCATGCCGTCGTCTGATGTTTGGTTTCACTGGACTGCCGTGGGAGGCCTCGGTCTGAGGCCTTGACCAGCCGTATACCGTATTCTCGTATCAAGTCACCCGGCAGTTTTCCTGCGTTTCGAATCCAGGCACGTGCTCGAATCGGAAGTCAGAAATCTTATCGAACCGAATTGATATCAAGAAGGTTTTCACGTGGAATATAACTTTGGGATGCGCCCGCTAGAACAGTGACAGGGAAACTTATCGCATCAACTTGCCGTGACAATGGAAACCATACTGCGCGCCCCCACGCCACTACTTGCCGTGGCCGCGCTGCTGTGCGCTTGGCTGTTCCCACACATTCGGCGCCGGCGCTCGCTCGCCAAACTACCGCTGTACGGCGCCGAGCTCGGCGGCTACACGCAGCGCGAGGCTGCTTTCCGCAAGCGCGGTATCGAGATTTATTGCGACAGCTACCGAAAGTTCAAGGACACCGTGTATCGCTTGACGACGTCCGATGGAGAAAAGATAATGATTCCGCGGGCGTTTTTGCCGGAGCTCCGGAACCTGCCAGACCATGAGATTGACAACATTCGGCCACTGGAGCGGGTAAGCCACGCATACCGGTTCCAGGCACGCATCCTGGCCCAAGCATCCGACTGACCGATGCAGAGCCTCGAGTCTCGCTACACCGGCATCATGCGCAGGAAACATTCCCATTTCCTGCCGCAGGTGATACGCGCCGACCTGACGCGAAACCTAGCCCGTATCAACCCTGCCCTATGCCTCGAGGCCGAGCGTACCATCGCCGAGGTGTTCCCTCCGACGGACGGCTGGACATGCTACAGGATTGAGTCCAAGCTCGCCGAGGTGGTCGCCACCGTGTCAGGCCATGTTTTCATGGGCCCCGAGCGCTGCCGCGACCCCGAGTACCTGTATCCGGCCGTCCACTACACCAAGCATGTCATGACGGCTGTGCGCGCCCTCAAGATGTGGCCCAGCTGGCTGCGACCCCTGGCTAGCCTGTTCATGCCCGAGCTACGGCGCGCCGAGGCCCACCGCGCCCGCTTCAAGCGCTTCCTGGCCCCGATCGTCCACGATAGGCGACAGCGCATGGCACGGGGCGAGACTGGACCTGACGACATGCTGCATTGGATACTAGCCAGGCCCGAGAGCCAGGGCATGTCGGACGACGACATGGCCTTGATCCAGCTGGGACTGAGCATGGCGGCCATCCACACCACCACCAGGGCCGTGACGCACGTGTAAGTGCTGGGCGACTGACCCCCGTTGCTGACCCCCCTGCTGCTAACGCCGTCAGATTGTTCGACCTCGTCGCCCATCCCGACGTCATCCCCGCCCTGAGGAACGAGATCCGGGCGGCCAGCGAAAACGGCGTCATGACCACCAAGGCCCTGTTCCAGATGAAGCTGCTCGACAGTGTGCTGAAGGAGTCGCAGCGCGCAAACCCGACCGGCTTTGGGCGTTTCTCGCGGCGAGTCTTGAAGCCGCTTGTGCTGTCGGACGGCACGGAAATCCCGGCCGGCACCACCATCGAGGTCGCCCACGGCTCCATGGCCATGGACCCGGCCATCTTTCCGAACCCCGAGGTTAGCGCCATAAAGCAAGCCCTACAATCGACCACTTCACTAATACAGACAGAAATTTGACGCATACCGCTTTTACCGACTCCGCGCAGCCAAGTCCGCGGAGCAGCACCAGTTCGTCTCCGTCACCAGCACGGGCATGGGCTTCGGCTATGGCCGCCACGCGTGCCCGGGGCGCTTCTTTGCCGCCAACGAGATTAAGCTCATCCTGGCGCGGCTGCTTCTTGACTACGACATTTCAATGCCCGAGGGGCTGCCGGGGCGCCACGAGAACATGATCATTGGGGCGCTTCAGCTCCCAAAACCTGATGCGGAGCTGAGATTCAGGAGGACGAGGGATGTGTGCTAGAATGTGCTATTGCTTTTCCCACCCATTCGCCTTGTCCTTGGCGTCCTGTTTGTCCTTCTTGTCCTTCAATTTCTTGGCGGCCGCCGCCTTGTCCGCCTCTTTACCCTCTCTTATCAGCCGCTCGGCTTCGCGTTCCACCCTCCGGTCAGGGAAACTGTCCTCCCCGTACGTGCGTCCATAGTAGAAAAAATCCCCATAGTCCGCGCGCCGCCCTCTGGCCTTGTTGATGAGTTGTCGGCAGTTGACGCAGGGCAATTCCTGGTAGTTGTAAACATAGCCGTAGCGCGCATCGTCGTAAAACTTTCTGGTGCCTGCCTTGGCCGCCATCCGCGCCGCGTCTTGGTCGAAGAGGAAATCACAGTTGAGCGCGATGCCGCGTATGTTACTCTCGTTGTAGGCGGGGTCGCTGACGGTTGGTTAGTTCTGTTCCAGTTACCTCCAAAACATGCCAGAGGGGGGTCTTCTCCAGCACCTACCTCCAAAACATGTCGGCAAAGGGGTACGTCTCGGCGCAGTTGCCCCAGGGCGTCTCCTCTCCCTTCTCCTTGCCCTTGCCGAGTGGCTCGGTCCCCCTCACGACGTCAAAGTGGATGCGGTCCTCACGACGCTGAGCCAGCACTGCGTGGCGCGCGTCCCGGATCACCTCCAGCCAGGTCCCCGTGGCGTTTTCGCCGCCACGATCAGCAAAGTGGCCCCCGAGAGACGCACCGAGCCTGTACATGCCACTCTTGACGTCCCAGGTGCACTGGAACATGGCAGGAATGGCGCGGAAGTCGCCGGGCCACCTGACGGTGCCCAGCTCGGAGCACCACTGCGCGTACATGGCCGTCAGGGGCAGGTAAAAGTTGTACTTGTTCACCTGGCCCGAGATCGCCGGCCCCAGCAGGCCGAGGAACATGCCCAGCATGTCATAGTGGTTGAACAGGTGGAGACCGCCCGACACGAAGCCCGCGGTGGAGAATTTGGATGTGGTGAGATCTTTGCCGAGCCAGCCCGTGACGTAGAGGCGGCTGATGTGCTGCGACGGTTGCTTTTGCCAATCTACGCCGGCGTGGAATTCTTTGCCAGCGGGGAGGCTGCGGCTGTCAGATGACTGTCGGACCAGCAGAAGGGGCGCACTCACCTCAGAGCCTTGATCCATTCCGCCAGATCCTGCAGCCTGGGCTGGACATTGGGATCGGGCTGCCCCCAGATCACGGGGTCCTTGGCAACCAAGAATAGCCAGTTGATGATCTACATGTTGGTATCAGCCAGTTGTCTGCCGGCCATCGGCTGTCACAATCTTGACTCGCCTTGTTCCTGTCCCACGAGTAGGCCTCGCGCATGTCCAGCGAGTTCCTGTCCTTGGCCTTTTTGCCCTTGTCCTTTTCGACAAAGGCATGGAGCACTGCCGGCGTTGGGTTTGCGACGGCGGACATGGTGTTGGGTGCTGGGCGAGGTACGAGAGGTACTGCTCGGCTGAGGTACTGCTCGGCTGGCAATGCGCCTTTATCTGGTCTGCCGCCGACTCCGATAACATGCGTTGGCTGGATTTCTATGGACGGCGAGGGCCATGTACCTGTACATCCGTCCAGGAAGGGTTAGCGGGACATGGGTCATCTGCATGCACCTTTCAGCTGCTGCAGTCTGGACTGTCGGGGTCCGACACGGATAACGGCATAAGGATCTTATTTGCGATGCTAGTGAATGGCTGCTTCAGTCTGCCAATCGGCTAGTCTGGTCAAAACGGAGCCGGTCTAGACTGGTCCTTGCAGATACTGCTTGCCTAATAGACGCGGGGAGAAGTGACTGTCCCCGCTAGTGTGAGGGGTTGCTTAGGGCATGGCCTGGCCGCGGTGGAAAGGACGGCGATGGGTTAGGCTGTCGCCAGTGCCGTCAGGGTATGTCCCTTTTGGCCTGATACTGATGATGAGTGCCGCTAGACGCCCAATCCTTGGCATCGCTGCGAGGGACCCCGTGGATGCTACAAGATCCTTGACTAAGCTGCGTCCTAGACTAGCTAACTAGATGTAGCACCTGCTTTTTGGTGGGTGGATGATCAACACCGCCAGCGACTGCGTGGTGGGGCCATACTAGTCGGAGGCAGAGGCGCTCATGCCGGGCCCTAGTCGAGTATCCAGGTAGATGTCGACCAGCCGGCTCGCCACGGCCGCCGCAGGCTGCCCGGTCTAGACCACCCTGCTTGGACCTGACGGTGTTGTCGGAGTGACGCTGATGCTGGGCGAGCCACCAGAGCGCTGTCAGACAAGCTGTCGGTAACCTAGCAGGCAGACGAATGCCGCTGCCATCTTGAGCTTGCAGCATGCAGGCTGTCGGTGCCACGGCAAGGCAGCGATGCCTGTAGCCTACCCAAGCTCCCTGCAAGTGGATTTCAAAATTCAGCTATACCAGCCAACTCACGTCGAACCAAGGCACCACTGTAGGACGCCGTATACATGGCGATGGCCAGTCCCTCAGAACCCCAGCTCATCCAACTGCGGAAACGCCGACGCGTCCAGTTCCAGCCAATCTGTCGGCGTCCAGTCATAAAAGTCGGCTGGAAACTGGAGGTCGGACATGGCCGTTTCCACCGGCACATGTAAAAGTCCATCGACTGGTGCTGTCGGCGTGTTTTTGGCAGACTGGTGCCTCGCCTCCAACCGCAGTTCTTCCAGGATGACGGTGTATCTACGCCCGGGAGCGTCAGCAAACAGAACACGGGCAAGATGTGCGTGGCAGCGCTCGGCCAGGGCAAAGAGCTCGGGTGCTTGCTCCTGCCCGTCGGAGCCCCCGGACTGCTGAATCTCCCAGACAAAAATAACGGCAATGGCGCAAAATGTGACATAGTGGCTCCACCAAAAGGCATGGAACAGCGACTCGTCCCCCGCGATCGAGCCCACTAGCTCCAGCGCGGTGCGCGCAGCCTTGAGGCACTCGACCACCATGGCTCGCGGCTCCCCCTCGCCCTCGCGCGGCCTGCTCCGGCTCAGGAGAAGAAAGGGCCGGGTGGCATGCATGATGGCGTGCGCATGGGCGAGTCGCAAGGCCACGGCCTGTCGACGGAAGCTGGGCACCAGACTGGAGGGTCTAACGGCGCCCAGAAGCGGCGGCAGGGCAGCTCGCCACTCGTGGAGCTTCTCGTCAAACCCCGCGGCAAGCCGCAGCGGATCTCTGCGCGATGGCGTCGGCCCGATGGCGCACACATCGCGGCAGGTGGCGGCGGTGATGCGCCCGAGCTTGGCATGCTGCACCACGGCCTCCATGGGGCTGTCCTCGCCTTCTCCCATGGCCGCGACAGTCGCCTCTGGCGTCATTTCCTCGTCGGCAATGGAGTCGGGGTACTCCCGGTCAATGTCGTCGTCGTGGAGGTACCGCGGGCGTCCCAGGACGACGCTGAGATGGACGTCAATGGTGTAGAGAACCCAAACGGTCCGGCGACCGCACTGCTGCCGGATGTAGTCTCGTGGAGGCGCAGCTGCTCTCCGGCTCGGCTTCCGGTGCAGTCCCAAGGCCGAGACGATCTGGGACACCGTGCCCAGCAAGTACCAGGCCTGGTTGACGCGCGAGGTCTGGAGAAGGTACAGGACCTGGAGCAGGCGGGCCTGAGCAGACTCTAATTTTGGCAGTCCTGTTTCGACACGGATGAGCCCGGCGGCCAAGGAGAAGCTGTCTGTCAGCGACTCTGTTTGGGCGATGGCTCTGCCTTGGCCTTAGACAACTTACTATGGGTCGCATTCGCGCAAAACCTCGTCCTCGTCGCATCCTTCTCGGCCCGGCGTCGAGTGCATCGACATCCTGGCCCGCTTCTGGATAGAGATGGCCAGCACGGTCAGGACGACTGCAGCCTTGGCCCCGCCGATCTGAGCCGAGCTTCCAGGCTGGGCTACGCTCTCCGCCTGCTCCATGGCCCGCAGCCAGCCCTCGGTGGTCTGTCGATGCAGAACACGGTAGGTCACCACACAGGTGTCAAAGTAAAAGGCCATCAGCGAGGCGGCCCTGAGCGGCAGACCATCAGGCTGAGAGTCGAGGATGGGCTTGTCGCCGGCCGTCATCAAGGACTGGGAGCTAGTGGGGCCTTCGGCGGCCAAGCCGGTGTTGGGCCTCCAGCTCTGTGACGAGAGTCGCATGTGGGCGCGGTGGAGGAATGCTAGGCCCGAAGTCTGCTCCACGTACTGGCCGCCTATCTCCGACGGTTCCAGCTCGGTGGAGCCGCGGCGGGTGATGGGCTCCGAGGGAGGGTCCATATGGGCCTGGAAGCGCGGGCTTGCGAGCCTGGCTGTGGCGAGTCCCGGGGGTGTGGCAAGTCTCGGACTTGGCCCTACGTCGCCTGAATGAGATTCACGGGAGTGAGGCGTTGGAGACGGCCCCGGCGGCGGAGTCGGGGGTCTGCCACGAGAGTAGCTCGCGTGGTAAAGACATGTCAAACCCCGTTCGGCGCAGCGCGCGCAGGGCATGGTGCCGCTGCATCGCGCCTTTTTCGCAACATGAAGCGCTGGGACACTGAGATCCCCGTCATCCGCCGCGAGAGGCCAGAGCTGCAGATCCTGAGCTGCCACGACGAGTACCTGCTGCACACTGCTTTCGACGTCGACGGCTTCCTGGTCGGCTACGGCTGCATCGCGCCCGAGCCGCTGCTGGAGATGATTGCGGCCGGCAAGAAGAAGGACTACGTCAAGGCGCGCGAGGTGCACGACCGCCTTCTGCCCATCACCAAGAACGTCTACCACCGGGGCTCGCACATGGAGGGCACTGTGGCGCTCAAGCACGCGGGGATCTTGGAGCACGCAACCGTGAGGTCGCCGCTGCTGCCGCTAGCCGAGGGTGCAGGAGCCGAGATTTACGCGGCCATTGCATCGGCAAGTTTGAAGAAGGTGGCATAGTTTAGTCCAAGTAATTGCAAGTCATTTAGTGCTGTGTACCTCTTCCGTGCGAGGTTCCGTGATTATACTGGCGGCTCGATCTTGCTTCTAATACGAGTAGCACTTGACGGCTTCCATCTGTGCCGCCGCGATTTATGTTGATATCTGCCCAGTCCAGATGGAATGTATTCAGCTACGACAGGCTAAGAACTCATCCACAACCCTCCATTGCAGATCATGCCCACCACCCCCGCAATCTCTTCTGGGTACGCCGCCCTCCCCCCGTACTGCTCGACGAATGCCCTCTGCTGCTCGCTGTCAAACTCCCGGCCCGGCGCCAGCGGCGTGATGGGGTAGAACTGCGAAATGGCCACCTTGGCCTCGTGCGGCGCCTGCGCCAACATGTCCGTCATGGTGCTCCCGACGCTGACCGCGTTGACCGTGCAGTGCTCGGCCAGCTCCCGCGCCCACGTCCGCGCCATGGCCTCGAGCGCGCCCTTGGTGCCACCGTACAGCTTCAGCCCCGCCATGCCGATCTTGCTGCCCACCGACGAGAGTGAAACGATGCGCCCGGACCGGTCGTCGGGCAGGTGCGGCCTGCACGCCTGCGTCAGCAGGATCGGGCCTAGCACGTTGGAGACGTAGACGGCCTGGAAGTCCTCGGCCGTGACGGCGTCTTAGCGGCGCCGCGTTGAAGTGCGCCGCGCTGGGCGGAGGCCATGTATGCATGAGAGACAGCCCGTTTGTCCCTGTCGGCTTCTCTTTGGCAGCAACTCCACTCGCGGACCAGCAGACGTGGCGGATGCTTACGCCTAACGAGGTGCCATGGTAGGAGGTCGACCGTGAAACGGCAGTCGGCTCGACGCGGAATTCACGCTTCGGACGCTTCCTGTAATCGAGGCGGGTTGTCGGCCAGGTGGTCGTGGCCTGGTAGCTTGTTACTAACCGATGCTAGCGAGAGTGCAGGATGTCATGGGAGAGCCTCGCGAGATGGTACACCCGCTTCCAAGTTGGGGTGTCTCTTTCATTTTGTCGACTTTCCAGATGGCGAGCGCGGTGTACCCTGAGGCTGCTCGTTCGTGGGCTTGCAGACGGCAGAGCCTCCAACTTGCCCGATGCGGAAGCGCGACAGACCCACAATTACGGGTCAGCTCAGACAAGGTGGGAGCTTAAAAAATTCCCCAATTTAGCTAAACGGCCCATTTTCCCTCCCACCTTGGCTGAGGTGTTTGTTTAATTGCCAATGCAACGCATACGCAATTGCTACGGCCAAATAAAACAATAAATATATATAAAATAGCCTACGTTAAACTTTATTTTTTAATTTATTTTTACCCCCTTGCCACCTTGGCTGAGATTTTGGGTCCACTTTTTCCCACCTTGTCTGAGGTTTTCGCCCACCTTGGCTGAGCTAAGTTAGTGCACCCCATGTCGGCCTACCCCCCATGATCGCCCACTTTGTACGTTTCGATTACCACCCAACCTATTGCATTCAATTGCAAATTTTTACCTTTATTCAAGCAACCTCGATGCAAAACGAAACTAATTCCTAATTAAATTCGTCCAGGCTTTTAAATGCATTATTTTTTTCTTCCAAAACCTCCCCCCTTTTCGCTGCAACCCGGTGTATATCCATAAAAGCTTTGTTGGGATTCGCGGTTACCTTTTTCCTTTTGCGAAGTTGTAATGCTTTTAATTGGCTTTTTAATTGCTTAATTTTTTGCCGGGCTTTAGCCAAATCGTATTTATGCCCGTTGTAGCTTTTTTAAAGCTTTTTTAAAAAAAAAATCGGGTTGTAAAGCTTGTAAAAAAGCGGGCTTTAATAATGCTAATTTAAGTGGCCAATTTTTTTAATTGCTTAAAGGTTTTTTATAGCATTTGGAACGTTCGAAATAAAATTATTAAACGTTTTTTAGCTTTATTATTTTTTCGCAAATTGTTAAATTTTGGCCCGTTAGCTATCCTGGCTAATATTATTAAAAACGAAGCGGTTTATAAAGGGCTTGGTTATATTGCAAAGCTACAAACCGAAAGCCCGTTACCTTAATAAAATTATATAAAAGGTTAAAGCCACGGATCGTGCGTAATAATAAACGGATAAAAATTAGCGCTTTTTTATTACCGTTAAGCAAATAAATAAGGCTTTAAACCCAATTTCCTTTCGATATGCTTATTTTAAAGGGTTAAATACGGCAAAATCGAAAAGTTACAATATGTGGAATAAATAAACAAATAAATAAAATAAAAAAATGTCGTTCCGAAAGCACAAAAGCATAAATTTTGTAATAACGTGCAATCCGTACCCATTTAAAATTAAAAGGCGAAAAGCAAAAAAAAAAGCTTAATGCAAAGGATAAAAACCTTTTGCAGCCATTTTAAACCCGTGCAATTATTGGTCCAACCGTTATTTGTAGCAATAAATTCCCACTTTCGGAAAAAGGTTAAATTTGCAAAAAACCATTGCTTTTGCACGCTTTTTTTTAAAAAAATAATATAAAAAAACAATAATATACCCGTAGCCAAAATGCATTCGATAAAAAAGGTTTAAATGCGTAATCCAAAGTTTTTACGTTGCAAAGCCCGGGCCCCAGCAAAGCTTAAAACAATCCCGTTGCCAGAGTCCTTCCTTTTTGCAAGTTACCCTCGTCGGCGTTATACGTATTTTCCGGTTTAATAGCGGCCATTTCCGGGATAAAAAAGCGTTCCCACCATTACTTTATTATAACAATAATAACCTTTTAAATACGTGCGTTTTCGATGCGCCGGGCCCTTCCGTTTTTAACCTTTGGATATCGGCTTAAAAAGGCTTGTAACCAATGCTTCCCAAACGGTTAAAAAGGCTTCCCGTTGCGGAGGATATTTTCGGCAAAAAACCGGATTTCCGCGTGCGTTAATAAAAAGCTTAAAAAGTTTTGCAATAAAATCCAATTAATTAAACGCTTTTCCTATTTAAAAATTATCCGTTAATATTTTTTTTTTGCTTGCCGGATAAATAAACGGCTTTGTAAACGCCCGCGTAAAGTTAACACCGGTATTTTATAAAACCGAGCAGCCCGTCGGATTCCGCCCTTTGCTTGCAACGCAGCGAGGGCTCGCTCGACGTCTTTTTTCGTATACCGCTTTTCCGGCATTTAGGCATTAAAATGCAAAAAAAAGTAAGGAAAACGGATTAGAATTAATAGAAATAAAAGGGCGGGAGTACTTTAAAAGATTCCATGCTGTGGGCTTACAAGGTGGGCGATCATGGGGGGTGGGCCGATATGGGGTGCATTGACTTATCCCCTCCACAATTACACCACCTTGGGCATCACGCTCGTTAACCATACTCTCCGATGGCGGCACCAAAATTCCTGCCTTGCACCGCTACTTTTTGTTACACCCCATTGTCCGCCCTTTGTTACCGTCCCTTTGTTACTCTCCCTTTCCACCTGTCGAACCCACATGCCACCCAAGCCGTTACTCCGCCGAGCCGCCCGAGTTAATACCTTCCAAGTCACCTTTGAGCACCTCGCCCACTCCACATAGGGATACGCACGCAAACGAGAGCTCCAGAAGCACCAGTCACACCGAGGAACCACGTCCCAAAGGAAGAGGCCGCAGCAAATTGGCGACGATTACGCTCCCAGTTACTGCAGGACAACGCCATCCGAATCGCCAGTGCACGTTACGCTTTGGCAAGATTACCATCGAACCGACAAGCGACAAGTTTATGGGCATGTCCGGATGCCGTCACTCCACCCGGTCCTGTTGCCGCGGAAGCGCCCACCCCCCGCGAGAGTGATGGCCGTGGTGACAGCAGCGCTCGCACCTCGGCGGCTGCACCTGGGTCAGTACAAGCTTAGTATTCAGTTCACTTCAGGCCTCCACCGCCTGCCAAGGCTCCAGCAAGCCAACCCACTTTGCTGCCGTGGAATTACGCTTCCGCACTCACGCGTCGGCATATACGACAGTTGTTACGTGGCCCAGCGGGAACCTCGACGTTTGCTATAACTAACCCGTCCTACAGGCAACTTGCCCCACCTTTACGACCAAGTGTTTGGGTTTATAAAGGCTGCGTGCTAGATGCTAGTGAGACCCTGGTCCTTACTCTTCCCTCGATGCATCGCCTCGTTCCTAACGTCCTTCCCAGCCTGCCTGCGGTTAACGACAACGCTATCACGGGCAGAGACGACAGCTGATTGATATTTACGATGTAGCGCGAGACGCTCGAAGCTACAAGAGTTCCGCTCTCTTTGGCCTGAGCAATCTCGTGCTACCGCTTCAAGCCGCGAACGGTCGCATTGCAACAATGGGGTACGGAGAACGAAGCCGTCGAATGTGAGAAACGGCGATTTGCTATCTAATGGCACACTGCACCAAACAGCGGTACTTGGCCTTATCCTGCGCTTTTGACTAGCACCCCTACCGTGCTGCGCCAGTCTATGCTCCTCGAACCGACCATAGCCCGCCAACTTCTTTGCCGTTTCCCTCGCCCCTCTCCTTCAGCTGTTCGCAAAAGTGTTAGTAGCAAATGTCGAAGCCTTCGTGGGAGATGGGGCATTTGTTTCGGCGCTGTACATCGAGTTGGTGTAGCTTTTGTCTCTTCTGACTTTTGCGGCCGGATGTTGAGCCGGTTGACGCACTAGACGCTGACCTTTGACGGGAACCACGACTTGGTCTGTGATGCAGAAGTGTGCTGGCTGGTGTGCTGGCCGGTGGGCTGGTGATGCATAGAGCCTCCCACTTGCCCGATGAGCATCAAGCACTGAAATCGTTGTCATCATGCCTCTTGCGCCGCTACTTCCCTTTTATGCCACACCCTATTGTCCGTTTCTTGGTCAAGCCGCTGTCACAAAGGAGACTATCAACAAGGGTGCGGTAGTGGGTACCGCACATGTAAGAGAGGTAAATCATTGTATATAAGGAGGGCACGCGGTCGGAGATCATGTGACCTCCCTTTCCCTCTCTTCAAAGATCTAGATAAGCCTACAATAGAACCTTTCTTGCACCGTTCGTCCATCATAAACCGCATTGGGCGTCAAGCCCTGGCCCATTAGCACTGGGGCTTTTGGGTGGCTGGACCGGATCCCGGGAGCTCTCAACCTACCCGTCTTGTTGTTGACTACATTATTTCGGCCTCCCCGGGGTCATTCAGGAGACGGCCTTGCGGGATGGCGCGGCTGATTAAAGGGCGGACTAAGGAGGGGTATTAACCGTGTAGACCCATGCACTTGGAGAACTTGGTTCAATACACCCGACTTCTATGATCCATGCCTCTGTGATGCCACACCAGCCATGCTTTCCAGGTAGGACTTCACCTAAGCCTTAGCCCTCCGCGCTCAACCGGGACGAGCATGCGCCTCACGTCGGTGGTTAAGCACATGTACCCCACAATTCTGTTTCACCATGCACTCATCTGTAGCCGGACATGTTTTGCTAATATTTAAAGTCGACACACTTCATTCCTGTGTTTCTTAAGCGTTAGCAAGGCTGGGACGTTTAAAGGCTGCACATTTTACGGGCCATACCTCATTTTGGCTATTATAAGCCGGTTAATCGATGTCCAGCTTGCCAGCATGTGGCCCAAGCCGCTGCGTTTTGATGCGGGAAAACATGCGCGACTGCCTTGCCTATAAAGCCGGCTCCCTGGCCAGGCAGGCCGCCTCCCTGGTTTTGCAGGCCGCCTCCCTAGCCTCGCAAGCCGCTTCCCTGGCCCGCATCTCGTAACTGCTCCGGGCTTGTCGCGCACACTCCTCGGCGACCATAGCCTTTTGCTGTTCGAGCATGGCGTGCTGCTGTGCGATAACCTGCAACAGTATCAGCCGCGACTGCTCCACGATACGCGCGGTCTCCCGCACCCACTCCTCCGTCGCAGGGACGTGGTCTTCGGTGTTCGACATCTTGTGTGGCTGGGAAAGTGGCAGTGCTGGATCCTTCTTTTTTGGTCGGCTCGTTACCCGTTTTTTGTTAACTTCGGACTTGTTAGCACTGCGAGGACTGAAATAGGAAGGATGCGGCTACCTAAGGAAAGGCGAAACTTCGTTGTAGACCGTAATGGCAGGCCAAACTGGAGTGCGTTTCTAATTAATGGTTTCTCGTGGACTTTGTGCGCAGTGCGCCGAGCGCTAGTTGAAATTTTCATCTCAAAGACCTACAATTATATGGTTTCTCCCCCACTGTTTCGAATTGGATGCGTGCAGCCGGCGCGCTCCAGTGCTGCTAGCGAATGTCTTGATTGGACAATGGGATTTGGGCAAAAGAATGGAAAAGGAATATCAAAAAGCGAAAGAAAGAAGAAAGAGAAAGAACTAGGGGAAGGGCCTTTGCGCTACATTACTGCACCCATTTACCATCGAAATATCGATACGTCGACAGCAGTCGTTCCCCGACATTGGCAAGGAGATGGCAGAGAGCGGCGACCAGCCACTGTGACCGACCACGCCCAAAACCAGGTGCAGACCAGCCCGAGGGACAGGACCCCGAAAGCTTGTTGTGGCCCGGAGGTGGAGATAGGCGTACGTTATATATGCAAAAAAACCTTATGTTGTTTTGGCCCTTGCTCCAAAAACCGTAATCTGCACAAACAGTCATTCACGTGACAAACGACTGCGAACAAACTCCAATGCTTCGAATCTCATGGGGTTTGGCTGCGTGGTTGTATTAATCAACGGGGGGGTTTATACTGCCACAGATCTTAGCTATTTAAATCCGCAAGGGATAGTATTTATTTTTGGCAAAGGCGCCCCAGCGGCTGCAAGTCCTAACAGCGATACCATCACCCACCTGGCGCGCCGGAGCACCCGGCGTCTTTCGAGCCCTCCGTTAGGCAACTCCCGGAGGCGAGCTGTTTAATGGGGTGTCCCCAGCGATGAGTCTCAGGATTGCATTGCCGATTTCGAACGCATTGAATGTCTTCCTGACCGTGCTGCCCACCTCAGCTTCAAGACAGATTCAGCGGAGGATGCTGCAAAGCTTAGGGACAAATTGTGGCTTACGGCGATTCTCGAGATAGGGAAGGAACTGGGCGGGATTCAAACAGAACTGGCGAAAAACAGCCCCGACTTGGCCAAGGTCCAGGAGGAGGTCAAGCATTCTCTAGAAGTTATCGCTATGAACTAGAAGGGCCAGGTGGCTTAGGAATCCGCTACATCCTCCACTGAAACATTTACGTCGTGGGAAAAAGGGGAGCAGAAATAGCTAGTTGTAATGCTCAGGCATTCTCTTACAAAATTGAAGCCTTGACGTAAACACTCGCCCTGTGCATTTTGCCTCCTTTGGGTAGGCCGTGGCAGCAGGATTGCTCTTTTCTCTCCACTTCTTTCTGCACGGCATTGGGAAGTGGGAGCCGCGCGACTGAATATCACTTTGTATGCACTCCCATGCCTCGTCCGGCCAAGACCGGGACTTGCAAACGAAAAAAATGATAAAAGAAAAGCCAGCCGAGACAGCAGAGACGCTGAAAGGCCCAAGCTCCAAGGTCGCCCAAGCTCTCAAGTTGTCTACAAGGTTGACTGGTCGACAAATCTCCACCTAGCCATTAGCAATGTGGGGCCCAGAGCCTCTGTTTTGGCCACACCCGCGAGCGATTACAGCCTCGTCACATTCTCGACATCAGCCTCAGGCGCGCAGTTACTGTCGACGATACTACTTCATTACCATACTTTTGCGAATGCGCTCGCGGGCCGCACCTGGTTGGGCTTGGACGTTTGGGCGGGGGGGGGGGGGGGGGGGGTACTGGGCCATCCCAGTCGCCAGTGTCATTGGAGGAGATATTTTGCTGCAAAGACTCTGACGCCTGCTGACAATTGGTGTTGAGGGGGACGGTGGGTAGCAGTAATGGTAAGGGCGGCGCTAGTGTTGAGGGATCGATGGTTGAGATTTGCTCTCGTAAACAGCTGGATTCTTTGCAAGTTCGTGGCATATAAACCCCCTCTCTTGGTTGATCTACTGCTTCAAGTTAGCCCAGATGGGCGGAAACACGTAGGGTATTCTGCTTGTGTCTACCAGAACTAGCCTCATATGCACAATCTTCGGCACACTTGTCGAGACCACTGTGCCTCCTCTTGCAGCTCGTCTGCTCACTGGCTCTGGATCCTTGGCTTCCAACACGGTCGTCATCCCGTTGAGTATCGCCGAGCTCGTCTTGGCTTCCGCGCTCCATCTCGCCGGCCCCTGCATCAGGTTACGATTGCGTCGCTTTTCGCTTTGCCGCTGCTTGGTAGACGTGGTAGATGACTTGACACGCAGTGAGTCCGAGTGGAGAACCTGGACGGAAAAGAGTCACGTTAGGCTTGGGTGTCTGAAGCGGGTGTCCGAGGGGAGGAGCCGGTGACATTTAAGGACGAACCTTAGGCTGGTCTTTCTATTGGGCTGTGCAATTGCCCGTCTCTTGATTGCAGGCGGCGGTGATGGCCGCGGCTGGGTGTTAAGTAGGGGAGTTTCTGGGCAAAGGTAGTGACACTCCAGATACGAAAGAATAGCAGTAGGCACAGGCAAGGTGCTACACGAGGAGAACGTTGGACTTGAGAAGCTATAGGTACCGTGCGACAGCGAGATGTATCTGGCCTCAAATTTGTGCAAAACACTGCAGGCTCGTGGGTGGGGTCGGTGCCGGGCGCGGCGGGCGTGGCGACCAAGTGAAGAGCACAGTTTGGGTCCCGTGCTTGGCACATGGGTACTTAAGCCTGCTTTTTCCCCAAACAAACACCAACAGGCAAAAGCCCCCCTCTGGGTGTGTTATCAAAGCACCGATCGTGCGCGGGGGCCGACTTTGGCATTCCGGAGGGCTGGCCATACGCCGTGCGTGAGTTCAACACTCACCACACCGGATCCGTTTTTTTTTTTTTCAGTTTTTTTCAGTTTTTTTTGGGGTATTAAATTTTTGCAAGCAAGCACTTCCTTCCCATCGGTTCTTCTTTTCCTATGCTTCCTGTCTCTATCCTGTTCCCTTTCTCGCATCCTCTGTCCGCTGTCAACTCGTTTCCCACCCGCCTGCTTAAGCCTGGCAGACCTGGAGCTGCCCGCGACCTGAGCCTCGTTACGGCCACTCTTTACCTGCGCCTACCTTAGTTACTGTAACTGAAAATGTGCTCATGCCCAGCCGTGCTCCCGCTGCCGCTTCCTGAGCCTTTAGCCCACCTCGCGAGACCATCGGTGGTTGACGAGACCTTGGTGAGGAACTGGTTTTTGATATGTAGAGTAGCCTATATAGGTCGGCAGCCCGCTGAGGCTGATAAAGAGCGGGGCGCACCACTCACACGGCGGGAAGAAACGGCGGAGTACCGTAAATAGTAAATGTATTATTGATTGCACTACAAGGTCTTTCCGGCGGCATGGTCCGCACCGGCTGCCCAGCCCAATGTTAAGACTGGTCGTGGCTACCTCGAGCTGTCGGCGCCTGGATATACGGACACTCGGGCCTGTGCCGGCATCATTATTATTGGCGCTGGGCGTGTGGTTGCCAGCACTATAAAGGTGCTCAACGATCCTTATCTCACCATGCATTTTGACAAATAAATTGCTGGGTGGTCGTTGCTGGCTGGGTCTGGGTTGAGATACTTTGACGATGCAGGCACTTTTTCTGGCACATATTCATGTTGTTCATATTTCGGGCGGCAGTGAAGCCCTCCCTCCTCCCTCCTCTCTCCTTGCCCATTCGCTGGGCCGCCGGCAGGTCCTTGATCGTAACATCGCCCCTAACTCGCTTCTCGTCGTTTGCTTCCACATATCGGCCAAGGTGGGCAAACCCACTTGGGGAGGGTAACGCGCTAAAATCCAAATGATGGATTCCGGTTTGCATTGGCGCGCGTCGTGATCGATTAGCCGGTTGGCATGGTCGACCACCTTTAGAAGAATCCATTGCGGCGACCAATATTTCTGCAGGTTGAGAGCGGCGATGGTCAGCGACTGCATGGGAACTCGGGCAAGTTTGTTCAGACGACATTCGGGAGGCGGTATACAGTACTTGCAGATCGGCGGCGCCAACATGGAAACGTCAGCTAGTCGACGGCTCGGTGGTCGTGGTTGGGGACGAGATCAACGACACCAGCGCAGCAGTGCGGCTGGGGCGATGGTAACGTGAAGCGCGGCCGCCCTGTGTTGTGCGCTTGCTGATGGCACCGCTCCTTCTTGTGACGGCATGGTTAGTGGCGCGGATCTGACATCTGCTATCAGGCTGGTGGCCAGGAACAAATGCATAGACAGCGCAACACTTGTAGACTTGCACGAGCTGGCAGACGACTGGGCGCGGGCCGACTTGGCGGCGGGCAGCCGACGCTGGCGGTTGAGGCGAATACTTGATGTAGTGGCGGCTGGCATGGGAAGCTCGGGCAAGTCTGTTCGGTCAAAGTGAGATACTCAGGAGGTGGTTTGGCCAGCTTCAGTCTCTACGAGTTTCGTAGCCAGTCGTGCCTGCTTGTCGACAGGCAGCGCAGGCGCAGGAAAGTGGGCGTCAACGGTAGGCCGTACATATTGGCTTGGTCGTGCTGTTGCGGGATGAGAACCAAAACACACTGGAGGACCGTGGGGCTGATGTTAGCGGACTTGTGTATGGGCTCTGGTTGACGCTGTGCTGCGAGCGAGTTGGTGCAAAAATCAGAGTCTGGGCCACGCACTATAAGTGGTAGGCTCGAGCTACCCTGTACCCTGTACTTGGCCCAGCTACCCGTCCGTGCGCAGGCAGTCACCTTACGGAGGTAGGAGGGCAAAGTATTCCCCCACTGTCAGGTATTTCCGCAAGCGAGGCAGGGGGCAGGGGCCAGGCTGATTCCAATTGGTGGCCCCGTGGCCAAGGCAGGGCCCTTTGCCCTCCTACCTCGGTAGCGACTTATGCCCAGCCGGACCAGGCTTCCCCGCACCCAACATCTCGCAGACTCAAAATGCGTCCTCTCTGGCTCGCCTGGGCCTCGGCCTCGGCAGCGTCCTTCTCAGAGACATGCCTCTCGTTCAAGCCCGAGTTCGCCGCTTCGACGCTCTCGCGACTGGAGCACATCCCCGCCAACACGACGCTTCAGCTGGACAGCGTCCCGTCGTGCAACCGACGCAGCCAGGCGGTCCAGACGGAGCTCTGCCGGGTAGCCCTGCAGATTGCGACCTCAGGGCGCTCCGGCATCAGCTTTGAGCTGTGGCTGCCTGCGCAGTGGAGCGGGAGGCTGCTGGCGACGGGCAATGGCGGTGTAGACGGCTGTGAGTGACTGTCGAGGCTACAAGTGTCGCCGTGCTGACCGCTTGACAGGCATCAAATACGAGGATCTCGCATACGGCGCGGCCCACGGGTTCGCCGTCGTGGGAACCAACAACGGCCACAACGGCACGACGGGCGTCGAGTTTTTGAACAACCCCGACGTGATCGAGGACTTTGCGTACAGAGCGTAAGTGAACACCCCCGCAAGTCGGCACCCCCGACGTGATCGAGGACTTTGCGAAGTGTACCAACCCGTATACGCCCGCTAACCAGTCAGCCTCCACACTGGCACGTCGGCGGCCAAGAGCCTGGTCGAGGCCTTTTACGGCACCGCCCCTGCCCGGTCGTACTACATCGGCTGCTCGCTTGGTGGGCGCATGGGCATCAGCGCTGCCGAGAGATTCCCTGACGACTACGACGGCATCGTGGCAGGGGCGCCTGCGGTCGACTTCAACAACCTGTACGGCTCACGCGCCAACTTTTTCACCATCACGGGCGCGCCAGGGTCTCCTGACTACATTCCGATCGACACGTGGACGAGCGTGATCCACCCAGAGGTCCTCAGGCAGTGCGACGGCATCGACGGCGTCGTTGACGGCATCATCGAGGTACCCAGCAAGTGCCACTTTGACCCCTCGGTTCTTCTGTGCGCAGACCAATATGGCTGCCTCAGCGCCGCACAGGTCAAGCAGGTCCAGCAAATCTACGCTCCATACACGTACCCCGACGGCTCCCTCATCTTTCCCCGCATGAACCCCGGAATGGAGCTCAGGGCGGTGGACGGACTCCTGGCCGGAAAGCCGTTCAGCTCGTCGGTCGAGTGGTTCCGATACGCCGTCCTCAACAACCCCGACTGGGACCCCGCGACCTACACCGTCGACGACGTCAGGCTGGCCGAGCAGCTCCAACCGTCCATCAAGACCTACCCCCAGACGTTGCCGTTCCGCGGCAAGCTTCTCGTCTACCACGGTGGCCAAGACCAGCAGATCACATCCTTCAACACGGAGCGGTTCTGGGACATGGCGGATCTTGGAGACGCCCGCTTCTTCCGCATCTCGGGTATGGACCACTGCGGCGGCGGGCCAGGGGCCTGGGTTTTCGGCCAGGGCGGCTATGCGGCTGGAGTTTTCGACCCGGAGAGCAACGTGCTGGCCGCAGTGGTGAGGTGGGTCGAGAACGGTACTGCTCCCGAGACGATCACAGGCACCAAGTATGTGGCAGACGATCCGTCACGGGGCATCGACTTTCAGCGAGCCCACTGCAGATATCCATTGGAGCAGACGTATACGGGGAGTGGGTGGGAATGTAAATAGTGGCGTGGTTTTGGTGCAAGTGCTGGTCAATGGGAATAAGAACCAGGCGACGAACAGGAATAAGAATCAGGCGACGAAACAGAACAAGGGAAATGTCGTCTGGGCCGTTCAGGGCATTGGTTGGTGTTTGAGCCGTGTCCACTCAGCACGCATCCAGTCTCTCGGACCATCTTGCCTTTCCACCGAGCGCTGCAGCAAGGCTGTCGATGGTATCACCCGAGGCCGTGTGCTTATCCAATGGGTCACCCTCCAATTCGAGTTTCTCGTCACTGACCTTGCGTAGCTCCTGAGTCACTCTGTATGTCTCCTTATTGGTCGCCTCGAGCTTCGTACGCAGGCACTCCGTGTCTTCCAGTAGCTTCTCCTTTTCGGTCTGGGCGTGGACCCCCTGCTCGGCAGAGTTCCTGGCCGCGCGCAATCTCTCAATCTCTTGCCGGGCCACGCGAAGCTGCGAAGACAGCATCTCCTTTTCGGCTTGGGCAGAGTACCGAGCCGCGCGCAAAGTCTTGATCTTCTCGGACGCGCGGAGCTACCAAGTCATTGTCTCCTTTTTATTTTGAGCATTGAAAGCCTCCTTCCTTGCCGAGTCCCGGGCCGCGCGCAAAATCTTTTCGTCATCCGCGCGGACTTGCGAAGATAGTGATTTGCTTGCAGTTTTGGCATCGAGCGCCTCCTTCCTTGCAAAGTCCCGGTCCACGCGCGTATGCACTATTTCGACCTGGGCGACTTGCATATATCGTGCCCCCTGCTGCTGCTGCGTGACTGCCAAGGTGTTGGCTTGGTCGAGTTTGTCCCGCAGGTTCTTCTCCCGAGTCTGAGCACCCTTCTCGGCCTCCTTTGACCCTTTTGGGCCTGCTAGCTGCGTCCGTAGGCTCTTCACGGCGTCCCTAGCCTTACGTATATCTTCCTGCGGGCCATCTGCTTCAGCTTGCACCTTAGGCAATTGGCGCCGCAACTTATCCTCGGAAACCTGGCCTTCCCGTCGCTGCTAGCTAGCACGAACGTCTACTCAAATCGTCTTCAGATCCCGATCACTTCCATTTCGAGGAATATTGTACCCAGTAGGTCGCTGCAGCTGCTCACCTTTGCCTCCATAGGCTCCGAAGACGTAAATATCAACCCTTCCTCTGCCCGCTTCTCTTTATTTTCCCAACATTGACACCAACAGCCACTACCACCACCACAGCCGCATCTCGTAAGTCTAACTTCTGCCAGTCCTCTGCGCCCGACTGCGGCCAATACATGCTTATCCGTTCAGTGTCCAAAAAAATACAAGCGCGCTATCAATCAACGCCCCCTTGATCAACCCACCGAGCCACAAGTCTTTTCACATTCCCATCACGTTCTCATCATACATGCTAACTATTACCTAGAAATGGCGTCTCAACATCCCTGGTCCGGGGTCAGCGGGACATGAAGCGAACAAACAGGCCAGGATCGTTAGCCTGGAAAGCTCGGAGTAATTCTCCAACTAGTCGAGTTATAATTGGAGAAATGTATGGCGAAGTTTAGTGGATGGGAAATAAATTTTTGGAACCGGGTTTGCCATCGCCAGCTAGCATAATAACAATAGCAGTGGCGACATTTACGCGACGTAATGGTCTTAGCGACTTTCAAGACTTTTCCACGTTCAGCACAGCCAAACATTTCACATACACAATGTTAGTACTCTGAAACCCAGGCCAGGCAGAAACGACACATCGCGCGTGATCAGCCGGACACTAAACCGCACCAGATCCCATTCACACCTGACCCTAGGACTAACCCGAATCCTAAACATAACCCTACGCCGCTTTTCGACAATTAAGGTGGAACAGCAGACGAGCTGACCAGCCGCACCCACCCCTACAACCATGCGTCAAACCACTGCACGGCCTGATGAAAGGCCGCCTCCTTGGCGTACCGCTCGACCTTGTTGGACATGTTGCCACGCACGGTAAAGCCGTGGACGACCCCAGAGTACAGCGAGATCTGGTAGGGCTGGCCCGTCTTTTTGAGAATCTCCTCGGAGCGGTGGCGCTTGTCAGCGGGAAAGATGGAGTCGGTCTCGGCGGCGGCGATGCCGACCGGCCCGACAGCCTCAAGCTCCTCCTCGTCGACAAACGAGGGGTGGCACAGGAAGCCGACGTCGATGCCGGACTTGAAGTGGCGGCAGACGTACTTGGCGCCAAAGCAGACGCCAACAGCCCCCAAGCGCTTCACGCCGTGCTCGGTCTTGAGCTGCTTGACGGCGGCCTCGACGATGGGGTCGACGGCAGCGGGGGTGTGGGGGTTCTTGCCGTCGGAGCCCTTGTCCTTCCAGGCGGCAAAGTCAAAGTCCTCGGGGCGGTTGAGGGACAGGGGGTCGCCGTTGTAGATGTCCAGGATCATGGTGGTGTAGCCGTTGGCGGCGTACTGGTCGGCGAGCAGCTGGCTGTTTTGCCAGATGCCGATGACATCAGGGAGCATGAGAATGGCGACATCCTTGCGAGGGGAGTCTGGGACGGCGAGGTAGGCGTCCCAAGAGTCGACCTTGACTATTTTGCCCGAGGGGGAGCCCCTAGGTCGGGAGTCCTGGTCAGCGGGGTTTTGTGAGAGGACGGGAGACTTACTCGTGCTTGGCGCCGACGGTGCAGCATCTGGCGGGGGGGTTGGAGGCCATGATGGAGCTGTTGCAATGCTGAGGTATGAGCTCGTTGCGAGAGTCTGGAGCTGAGATGTGAGATAAAGTCTGGTCTGGTAGTTAGTGAAGACTGCGTCATCGTTGACCGGGCCCACTTATTTTTGTTCTTGTGGGCCAGTTCGCAGCTTTCGGTTCACGCCTGCAGCCCAACACACGACAACCACACAACAATGCTCAAGTCCACGTACAAACCGGCCCCCGAGGCCTCGCTCCCCCCCGGCTGGGCCGAGCACCAAGCCCCGACCGGACACACGTACTACTACAATGCCGCGACGGGCGAGTCCACGTACAAGCGCCCGACCGCCGGGCCCGCCGCGCTCCCGCCGGTGCGTCTGTCAGATCCACGCGTCGCCAATGCCTTTATAGCGCAGATGAGGGAGGGAGGAAGCAGCAGCGTGGCAGGCCGAGGACGCGGAGGTGGCGTGAGAGGTCGAGGGGGACGCGGCGGTGGCGGCGGCGGCGGCGGTGGCGGCGGCGGCGGCGGCCGACCGGTACCACAGCCCACCGATAAACCCAAATCCAAGGTCACCATCCCAGGCTGCGAGCCGTGGCTGCTAGTCTACACAAAGTACGGACGGCGGTTCGCATACAACCCGGAGAAGAAGACGAGCTACTGGCGGATACCGGAGCGGCTGAAGGGTGGGATTCTGGAGCTGGACAAGGCGCGGATTCTGGGGAAGGCGGGGGGAGATAAGGTCAAGGTCGAGTCAATGGCAGAGGACGAGCAAGAGATCAAGCAAGACGAGTCAACGACACAAGACGAGCAAGACGAGCCCGACGGCAGCGACGACAGCGAGTACGAGGACATCGAGGTCACAGACGACGAGGCAGACGAAAGCCCCGCGAAACGGCAAAAAACAGAAGACCGCGAGTTTGGCGAGGACGACATTGCGTTCCAACTGGAGGCCATGGGCGAGTACGAGTGGCCCGAGGAAGAGGCCGAGGAAGAGGCCGGGGACGAGGCCGGGGACGAGGAGGCACCCGACGCCCGCGCCATGTTCAAGTCCCTCCTCGACGACTCCATCAGCCCCTTTAGCCCGTGGGACAAGCTCGTCGAAGAAGGCAAGGTCATGGACGACCCGCGCTACACGGCCCTGACCACGATGCGGGAGCGCAAGGAGGTCTGGGAGGAGTGGTCGCGCGAGCGCATCCAGGCGCACAAGGAGCGGGCGCAGGAGCGGGCGCGCGAGAAGCCGGACCCGCGCGTGGCCTTCATGGCGCTGCTGCACGAAAAAGCCAACCCAAAGCTGTACTGGCCCGAGTTCCGACGCAAACACCGCAAGGAGGCGGCCATGCGCGACGCGGTGCTGTCGGACAAGGACCGGGAAAAGTGGTACCGCGAGCACGTGGCGCGGCTCAAGCTGCCCGAGGCGACGCGCAAGGCGGACCTGACGGCGCTGCTCAAAGGGGTGAGCCGGGAGGGGGTACCACCCGAGGTGGCCGGAGACGTGCGTTTTATTTCGTTGCCGGCGGAGATACGGGACGCGCTGGTGGAGGCGTACATGGCGAGTCTGCCGGTGGAGTAGTGCTGTAGCCATCGTCACGAAACGCGGGAGGGGAGGCGCATAATTCATCTAGCTGTAGTCTTTGGCGATGCTGTAATCCCGCCAATCGACGTGCGCTTCAGTCCATGGTCTGTAGTCTATCTTGGCGTCATGTCTTGACTTCTCGCCACCATCATGTAGTCCAGGTCCATCCGTCCATGCAGTCATCACATCCATGCCGTCCTAGTTATCACGTCCATGCCGCCTCACCTCCAAACCATGTCCATCGCCTCCCACACCCCCCGCTCCCGCTCCACGACTTCAGGACCTCCCTCCTCGGTGGCCACAATCTCAATGCTCCCCAGGCCCTCCAGCACCCGCCGAGCTCGGTCCGTCGCAGCGCGCAGGGCCGCCGTCTCGGCACGCGTGCGGTCCAGATGGTCCTGCATCAGCTCAATCAGTTGCTCCCGCGTCTGGTGCGGGCGGTACTCGTTGATGGCGTGCTCGACGTTCATCAGCAGCGCCGTGATGTCCTTGATCTTGTCATCGGCCTCGGCCGGGTTTGCGGCCAGCACGCCGACGAGCTCGAGAAAGTTGAGCAGCAGCGACTTGGCCAGGCGCTTGAGCACCAGCGGGCGGTCGGCGTCGCCGTCGGGGATCAGGCGCTGGATGTCTTGGGCCTCGAGGCCGGGCAGCTCGTCCTTGAGCGTGTAGAGGCTGCCGAAGCAGCGCCACTGGCCGTCGGCGGGCTCTAGAGGAGGCTGGAGGTTGACAAGGTCTGGGGGAACGTCCACGCGGCTCGACTGAGCGCGGTCCCGCAGCTGGGCGATGCGCTCCAGGCGATCCGGCGTAAAGTCGCGCCAAAAGGGCGGCGGCGGCGGAAAGGTGGTGTGTGTGGCCTCCTCGTCCATTGTGGTTGTGGTGGTGTGGTTCTGCGGTTGTGTGGTGTGGCTGAGCTGAGGTGGGTCATCTCAGTGCTGGCGTCATGGCCATGGCCCACAGAATTCCGCCAGCTCACAACTCAGCCCAACAAACATGGCCGACGTCCGCTCGCTCCTCCGCCAGCAGCGCGCCCGTCGCATCGACCACCCGCACGCCGCCTACTCGGACGCCGGCAAGCTGCTCTGCCTGGTGTGCCACCAGCCCGTAAAGCCCGAGTCCTGGGACGCCCACGTCGGCACGTCGACGCACCGCCACCGCGCCGCCGCCAAAGAGTTCGAACCACCCGCGGAGCCGGCCCAAGGGCCCAAGAGAAAGAATGACGAGCCCGAGGACAAGGACGCGAAGCGCAGGACCGCCGCGGTGATGCCGCCCAACACTCCCCGACGCGCGCCGCACACGCCGCCGCTGCGCCAGTCGGGCACGCCGGGCCTGGGCGTCGAGCTGCAGATACCGTCGCGGCCGGCGACCCCGAACGCGCGCGAGGGCCTGGGATTGAGGATCTCGCCGGTGGAGAGGACGACCAACAAGGCGCCCACCGCGGGCTTCACGGCGGACAAGGTCGACGAGGACGAGTGGGCGGCGTTCGAGGCAGAGGTGGTCAACGCGCCGGCGCCGGTTATTGTCGCCGCCCCGATGACGGCCGAGCAGGTGGCTGAGCAGGTGGCCGCCGAGCAGGTGGCCGCCGGAACCAAGCGGCGCACGGCAGCCGACCTGCAGATGGAGGACGAGCGCGAGGAGGCCACGCGGGCGCTCGAGACGGAATTCGAGGAGATGGAGGAGCTCGAGGCGCGTGTGCGGAGGCTCAAGGAGCGCAGGGAGGCACTACGGGTGCGGACAGTGGTCAAGGTGGACAAAACATCCCCCAAGGAGGCGAGCGACGACGAGGATGAGTCGGAGGATGATTGGGACGCGTTCCGGTTCAGATAGACTACAATAAATCACATGCCACCCGCTCCCAGAACCTCTTGAGCCTCCACACCCTCCCCACTCCCCGCGACTCCTCCCAGCGGCGGACGCCCTCGGACCGCTCCCTGACCTCGCCGGTCCAGCCGGCAACAAATCGGCGCAGTCCGTCCTTGACGCGCTCCTTCTCCACGGCCCTCTTCTTGGCCACGAGGGCCGGGGCGACGGGGCCGCCGGGGCAGCACTCGGCCGGCAGTATGGAGCGCGTCACCAGGGCCTCGGGTGACGGGCGGGCGGCCAGGCGGCGCGACAAGCGGATGGACACGAGCGAGCGGGCGAGGCGGCGCGACACGGCTGTAGTCTGGGTGACAAAGATGCGGCGGCCCATCAGGTCGGCCAGGGACGGGCGGGACCAGAGGAGGGGGGGTAGAGCATTCTTTGACCGGCGCAGGCGGAGCGAGTGGACGACGGGGGCAAGCGACAGGTGGCGGAGGTGGTGGTTTGTCTGTGGGTGAGGGTGAGCGCGGGTGAGCGCGGGTGGTAAAGGAATAATGAGCGCTTACCCTCGATGTCGACAAGAGGTCGCAGACCTCGAGATAGCCAAATATGTGGAGGAGAAGCTCGTTTGGGAGGGTATCGAGAGGGGCGGAAGCGGCGGCAGCGGCAGCAGAACCAGTCCGAGCAGCGGCAGTGGCAGGACCAGCACCTCTCTCAGCACCAGCACCAGCACCAGATCCAGCATCACCCCCAGCCCCAATATCACCCCCAGTACCACCACCACCCATCACCATAGGACGTTGCAGAGACAGCTGGCCGACGCTTGATGAGTTGTCGGCCGCACGGCAGCCCTCTTCCCGATCTGCCATGCTGCCCTGATTCCGGTCGTGGCGAGTGGCGTGTTATCGGGGGGGGGG